TTCAAAGATGATAATATATAACTCTCTGATTTTTTCTCATCTTAATTACTGTAATATTTTATGGGGAAATGCTTGTAAGAATCTATTAAATAAACTACTGATATTGCAAAAGAAATTTGTTAGATTAATAACAAATTCAGATAGATTAGCTCACACATTCCCAATTTTTCAAGATCTTAAAATACTTAATATTTATCATATTCACACAATCCAAACTGTTTCATTCATGAAAAAAGTTATAAGCAAATCTGTACAGTTCCCTTCAAAATTATACGATCACTATTTCAAAACTAGAGAAAACCTACATCAACGTATAACTCGATTTGGTCATAACTTAGATATTCCTAAACATAGAACCAGAATTGGTGAAAATTCTATTAAGGTCCATGGTTCATATATATGGAATTCCCTCAATGAAGATATTAGAAATAAACCATTAAATTCACTCATATCTCGTTTGAAAATTGACCTCCTGAGTACAGAGTAACCAAAACATTTATTTCATTTCTTTATTGTCTCATATTATTGTATTTGTATATTGTATTTATATTATATTATTGTATTGACCTATGTACCACTTTAAATGTTCACAGTTTATCATGTTTATTGTAAATTTAATTATGGGCAGTCATACACCCCCTGGGGTGTCATAGCCTGTATAATGTTGTAATTTTTGTAATGAAAACTGAAATAAATTATTTTGAAATTGAAATTGAATTGAATTGAATTGAATTCAAAGAAAATGCTTTTCAGAAATCTTTGGAAATGGTTATACTCTCGAGTTTGCTAGAGATGGGAAGAATCTTCAAGTAAGATGAATGTTGGAATGTCACAACAGGAAATTGGCCCATTCATTGTGTACATGGTACAGAGGAATCTTTCTCACATTGTTTTTCATCATCCAAGATTTGTATATCCGCGTTTTGATAAGACATTCGCTTTTCACTTGGTCTGAGGTTGGAGCCCCTGAAATCTGAATCAAGATGCAGTCATGCAGTCTAATGTTTTATTTTTAGTAAACACAATATTTGTTTTATTCAGAGAATATATGTTTTTTTGATCATTTCCATTGCTTATACATAAAGATCATCAAGAAACGATGTATTCAGAGAATATATGTTTTTTGTGATCATTTCCATTGCTTATACATAAAGATCATCAAGAAATGATGTATTCAGAGAATATACGTTTTTTGTGATCATTTCCATTGCTTATACATAAAGATCATCAAGAAACGATGTATTCAGAGAATATATGTTTTTTGTGATCATTTCCATTGCTTATACATAAAGATCATCAAGAAATGATGTATTCAGAGAATATACGTTTTTTGTGATCATTTCCATTGCTTATACATAAAGATCATCAAGAAATGATGTATTCAGAGAATATACGTTTTTGTGATCATTTCCATTGCTTATACATAAAGATCATCAAGAAATGATGTATTCAGAGGATATACGTTTTTTGTGATCATTTCCATTGCTTATACATAAAGATCATCAAGAAATGATGTATTCAGAGGATATACGTTTTTTGTGATCATTTCCATTGCTTATACATAAAGATCATCAAGAAATGATGTATTCAGAGAATATATGTTTTTTTGTGATCATTTCCATTGCTTATACATAAAGATCATCAAGAAATGATGTATTCAGAGAATATATGTTTTTTTTGTGATCATTTCCATTGCGTATACATAAAGATCATCAAGAAATGATGTATTCAGAGAATGTATGTTTTTTGTGATCATTTCCATTGCTTATACATACATAAAGATCATCAAGAAATGATGTATTCAGAGAATATATGTTTTTTTTGTGATCATTTCCATTGCTTATACATAAAGATCATCAAGAAATGATGTATTCAGAGAATATATGTTTTTTGTGATCATTTCCATTGCTTATACATAAAGATAATCAAGAAATGTGAGGGGCAACATTTGAAAGTGAAAGGTTCCTATATGTAGTATCTGATCATATAGAATTACTCAGAAAAATGTCATATATAATTATATCCTGAGCTTGCAAACTTCAAATAACTATTATACAATAATATCTGGCAAATCAATAAATCATTTTTCAGTCGCAACCATCATTTGTAAATTAAAATAGTCTGTTATGTGACATGCAAAGTCCCATGTTTTTATTCTTTGACCCCCTAATTACAATTTCTCAAGACGTGATATAGAGTATTTCTGACATGTCTGAACCAAATGTCTTCTAGAATCTGCTTCATACATCTGATCGGGTTAACTTTATGTGCGTATAATAAGATATACCATTTACATACAATGTGTGCTTTACTTTAAGGGCAAGTAGAGATGGCTGAACCACATCCAATAACTTTTAACAACAATTTTTTTAACATAACTAAAAAGTGTGATATTGATATTGTCTGCTGTTGCCTCACAGGCAGATGAGGCATACATAATCCAGCTTTTCATTTAGATAGCAACGTATATCAATATTTGAGGTTATTGTAACCTGATCTGTTTTTCAGCTTCTTTAATAACATTCATCAAATGTACACAAACCCTTTGATGAAATAACTGTGCTTCACACAAGGGACTATGGTGAATGATGAATACCGTGATCTTTGTTGAATGACAACAGTGTGGAGCATAATTGTTGTGAAAATACTGTGTCATTTTCAAACTTCACTTGATACAGTTAGACTTGTCTAATCTGAACGCCAATGGGACCAGTTTAAAGTATTCAGATATTAGGTGTTCACATTTTTTAATGTGTGAGATTGTATGTCTGTATGAGATAACGAAATTGGGACCAAGAAAAGTGTTCATATCGAGAGGTGTTCAGATCAGACAGGTGTTCTGATATACATGTTTCACTGCAATCACTTTTAGAAAATTTGTCTCATATAAGAACATTAAATACCAACATCCAGACAAAATATATTCATAGATTGTTATAAAACAAACAGTATACTATGTTAAAATAGAAGACATATCAAGGTCCAAAGTCAAAATTTTGGCATTGCATAAAAAGTTAAGTAAATATTGAACAGGTTGTTCAGTCTCATTGAAAAAGTTGTCTCAAGATAACATGCCCTATCTTTGAACTTTAGTCACTGAAGAAGTCATACATAGATCTTTAAATACATGTTGTGCACATGTTATATACATGAATAAAATAATAAGCTGGAGTTAAAAATTGGTCAAAACATAGGTTGGGAGTTATGTGTCTTTTTATGGATTTTTCAGGTGTTGCATATGTGGCTGGTTAATTGAAATTATTGGCCTTTATGCTCAGTAACATAATTTGAAGTACAGTTTAGTTTCTGCTTTTTCAATTTACCTTTTTAAAACAGCCCTTAGAATAAATTTTTTAATTGTTTAATTGGGATTATACAGGCCAAAATTCCCGTAAATTCTCTAAATCCACCTTAATTTTAATCTTTAATACATTTTCTAGCCAGTAATACATATCTAACCCAAATCCAAAAATAAACATCCTCTGTCTTTTTTTCCTGTGATTCATTACTCTGGTAATATATTAAATAACTAAAGTTCATTAACTTCAGAGAATGATTTATTTTTGGACAGTTCGCTCGTCATCCAACCAGCTTTATCAAGATTACATTAAAAAAAATCTTAATTAACTTTAGTTATCTTCTGTCTTGTTCAGGTATTTTACTCTACATACCTACATAACAAAAATAGCATTGTTTTACATTGCCAAAGTGACAATGGTATATTACTTTAGTTGACTTCAGGGCAAACTGGAACATTAAGTTAGCAAGTGTACGAGAAACCATGCTACAAAACATGTTGACAGCTTTATAGTTAGAAAAGTTTACAAACTAGATCTTATTTCCAGACATAATGTTAGTGAACAACTGTACCAAGAACAAAATGTTATTAGTTCTCTAGCATGAGTAAATGAGACGATATTAGTGCCAGTGTTATAAAGTTACTCAAATGTGCCTTCCTTAAGGTGGGACCAACCCAAGGAATTCCTACTTATTTGACTTGCAACACTTGTTTGTATTTTTATGAATCATGTTAATACCAACACTTAATATAAAATATCTATAATGAGTAATTTTTGGGACATAACACACTTTAATTATTCAAAATGTATTTCAAATTTGAATCTCAAAAGTTTGTTTCATATATTTTACGATTTATTATTTGATGCCATCCTGTGTTATTTTATAGACACAATGTGTACAAAATATTACATTTTAGAATATAGGCACAACATAATGTACTTCTGAGCAGAGTTTAATAAGAAGATGAAGCTCTCTTTTAAGAAGCAAAATCCAGCATTACAAAGGGATTAAACATGATTGTTGACACACATATTTGAATATTACACATTTTAGATTGACACATAAGAGACACATAAAACATGTATTCATATTTTATTTGACACAATATGGATAATTAGATACACTGTGAGTAGAAAGACATAATGTGAGTTATTAGACAAATTGCGAGTAGAAAGACATAATGTGAGTTATTAGACAAATTGCGAGTACTTCTACACATAATGTGAGTGTATAGGCACAGTATAAAGAGAATCAAATGAATATACTTTTATTTTTTAAGGTTATTGTTATTTATTTCCATATTATTCAACACAATTATTTACATAGATTGTGAAGGGCCGAGGCTATATAGCATTATTGCCCCCCCCTATACTTTTATAAAATGCAATAAGAGACCAGACTGAGGAGAGGCACTGAAGGTGACATTGCTCTGAACATAGATATTGATTATTGATGTTATATCAGCTGATTAAGCAGCCCTTCAATATTGTAGACTTAAATTGAAATAGAGTGTTGCACCACTTTGACATTTATTTGCACCCATGCACCCATTTGAGATTGACACAGATATTTCCAAGTCAAAATAGGTAACCTCCATTCCAGATTGATGTTGAATTTGAATTGATTTTTAAGGGGAGTAAGTGGCCATCTATACACATTCAGTTCATTGCACTTACCTATCGTGTTTTATGTGCTTTTAGGGTATTTGAAAAATGAACACAAGAAGGGCGACAAGGTTCATGTTGTCCACTGTCCAGAAGAGCAGCCTCCCGTCAAAGCTCTAGCCGAGACACAGTTGAATAACTTCTCAGCAGATGTTGTCTCTCGTAAGTTGTTCAATTCTACAGTATTAATATAGTAGTACAGTATTTTGAATATTACTGTATAATGAGAATTTTCATAAAATTGAATTTTGTAGCATGAATTTTTATAAAATTGGATTTTGTACCTTTGTCCTCAGAGTTAATGTTATATAATTTTTAATTATCTTTTTGACCTATCTTATAGGTCATATTCAACAGTGAAACTGAATTTTTCAAAAAAATTCCTTGCCATAAAGATATTTTGCTACAATGTAATTGTGGTACTTCAACTGCATGTATTGCATTCTGCATTTTAATTCATTTACATTATGCTACAATGAAATACATTAAATTTGCTACAAAGAATTTTTCCTTGCCACAAAGAAATTTTGTTACAATGTAATTTTGCTACCATGTGTATTACATTCTGAATTTTAATTCATTTACATTATGCTACAATGAAATACATTAAATTTGCTACAAAGAATTTTACCTTTCCACCAAAGAAATTTTGCTACAATGTAATTTTGCACCTTGTATGATTTAACAAGTTTGCCTTTCCATGAAATAATCAGATACCAATGACAAATTCTCATTTTACAATATTTTCTGTAAAAAGTATATTTAAAAATGAACTTATATTGCCAGATGTTGCACAACGCTCTCACATTTACAAAATCAATTTTCCATAAAGGTATTAGGATTGCAATTGGATGAAAGCATCTTTTCAATAAAGTACCATCTGCTTGACTTAGCATCAGGAAATATTCATTGCCATGAGCACTTCTGGAAAATGTCTTATGTCAGTAGAGTTGGAATATGCAGGTTTTTTTTGTGGATGTACTTGTATAATATGGCCAAAGGGTTGACAATGTTTTTTAGCATGATTTATTGATTTGATTTTTACTTCCATTTCTAACCAGTTCTATCCATTTGTGTCATGCATGATATATTATACATAGTACATAAGTATCCATATAGCACTTAACCAAAGCCTCCTGTACTAAACCTTTGGAGCACAAAGGGCAATATTTGAAGTGTAGGAACATTAATGCTTCCCTCTCACTTGGTAGACAGGATTAACTAATAATATTTCCTGTCTTTTCAGCTGAGAAATGGGAAGCAGGTGCTAAACAGGAGGAAGAGGAATCCATACTTAACATGTACAAGAAAAAACTTGCAGACAACAATGTAAGACCAACATACCCCGTATCCCACTAGTTATTCTCTTGAAAGCCCATGATTTAAGGGAGAATCAGATCTATAGGGAGTGACAAAATTGCAAGCAACAAGTACTGTTGACTTATCAATATATTCCTTACAATCTCAAATACAATATCTCCCAAAAGACCCTAGGAATAATATGAGCTTATGCTTTAAAAACCCTTCGACCTGCACCTTTAACCTTTGACTTATTGGGTGTTCAGAAATTCTTGTAATAAAACGTTATAAAAACCCTTCGACCTTTTGAGTTCTTTGTTGAGATACTCACAGTGATGTGTTTAGTAAATGATGCAGGCCTGTCAACTGTCCCGCAATTTGCGTATTTGTCACGCATTTGATGAAGAATTTGAATTCACGCCAGTTATTTTTGCGTGACAGAAAATGTCACGCAAATACGCATTTTACCTGGTAATTGTCAAGCAAAAAGATTTCTGTAGAAAAATTTCTAAAAAAGTTCGTCTACACAGCAAAAATACGAACGAGGGAAAAAACGTACGCATTTCGTTCGGACTTTTCACGCAAATTACGTATATGTCACGCATTCCGTTCGAAATTTTTCGTACCTACCCCCCCCCCCCCTCAACATTTCTAAGTCACTCATGTTAGGTGTTCCCAAGTTGACAGGCCTGATGATGTGTCCAAGGAGAGGTGAAAACAGTTATTGTACTCAAGTAAATAATTTCTATCGATCGTTTCTTGACTTCCTCTATTAGAGTTCAAAATATGCTCAAGGGCAATTGGGGGAGGGGGGAATCTGCACAAGTTCCAATTTTTGGTTCGATTTTTCCATGCACAAGTATTAAATCCATTAAATTTGATTTGTTTAAATAATTTAAATGCATGCGCCATCTATACCCTATAATGACCTTATGTTTCGGGAATATTTTTGTTTGGTGCAAAAATACATGGTGGGGAAGATAAACTGAACTGAAAAGCAATTTGAATCATGGGAATGAAATACCTCCATTCATGTGCATGTGCAAAAATTTGAACCAAAAAATGGAACCTCGTGCAGAATGCCCCTAGTTAGCTCAGATGGTGAGCTATTGCAATCACTCACTTGTGCTCTTCGAGATCGGCAAAAATCGCTCATAAAAACTGTTCTTTTTGGACACCTAATAGGTTGAAGGGTTTTTAGAGTATTCCCCCAAAATATTCTCAAATTGAAACAATGCGTCTAAGAGTTATTACTGTATTTGAAGATCTTGCAAATCTGATTCTGCCTTTAATACAAACTCCTAATAGAGCAGTCTGGTAGTTTCAATTATATCACTGCATTACACAAATCATATTTGTATAATGCCATTTGGGAAAATCCAAACTAAATAAATATCTTTCCAGAGAAATTGATTTCCGATGAACCCTGTGATTAAATCTGAATTTTGATTCATAAATCGTTATGATAAAATGCTTATTCATTCTTTATAGAAACAATTTCTGTTTAACCGCAACATATACCCACTAGGGTGTCTAGTCTAGCGGCTTGTTTTTATAGTGTATATTATATAAGAATTATGAAATAAATAAATTGAATTGAAATTGTTCATGATAACAGAACCAAACCATTTTGATGAGATTCTTGTAATTTTGAAGGCCTCCACTCCAGTTAGAGTTGTTTATACTTTTTATACATTAAGCCTCATTTACATGTTTATATTTGCTCTGACTTATTTTTTGTCTTTACTCCTGATGTAGTAATTGGTGTAATGAAATGCTAAATGTGTGATTACATGGTAAATTTGGTATTGTGGAAAAATCTTTTGCATATTGAGTTTCACCACATATTCATCCATCTACTTACCAAAGACGAAGCCCCAAATCCCCTCTTTCAGTGTTAATTTTGCGATTGTGCTGGCCGATTAATTCAATCTGAAGTTTGAATATACTTGGAAAGTCCTCATGTTATCTGATTGATTGTTGAATTAGTTTATCATGAACCTGATTGTCTGGGGTTGAAACCTATGGTATAATGCATCTTTAAGTTATTGTAAATGTGAGATAAATGTTAAAGATTGAGAAATGCATGATGAAAATGAATTTGGAATAGCATTATTTAGAATGTCTAAGCATCTAATTACCATATTCTCTCTAATGAGCACACAGTTCCAATGAGCGCACATGCAACTTTCATTTTGAATGTGGTCATGAGAAAACATGAAGTTTAATGCATTGGTTTTGATTGTTTACACAAGATATTGATTTTCTAAATTTTTGGAATGTGCGCTTTTAAGATGTCAATTTGGAAACTGCACTGTGCGCTAATTTGAGAGAATATGGTATATCAAATACTCAAGAGAAATATTCCCATATTTTGCAGGTTGCAGGGAAAGTTACGAGTGAGTTTGTTGTTGGATCTCCAGGGAGAGACATTGTACAGGTAGCTGAGAAGGACAATGCTAAACTGATAGTCATGGCTAAACAGGGGCTCGGTGCCCTTTACAGGAGTCACTTCCGCAGTGTGTCAGAATACGTCCAGAAGAATACCACAGTTCCAGTAAGTGTTTATACAGAACCAGAGGCCCCCAAAAGCCCCGTATCTGCATCCCCACTACCTCCGTCCCCATTAGCGATGGAAGATCAACCTCGAGAACGAAGTGGAAGCTTCCTTGCCCGTCTGATTGGTCGACAGTCTTCATATGAAAGGGCTGGGGAAAGTCCCGAACCAGTCAAAAAAATTAACCCTGATCAGAAGAAATATGCAGACCGCCGCCACCAGAGGGAGCTGATGAGGCATCCTTCTGATACGATCCCACAGCGGGAACGCAAGAACACAATGTAGGACCAACATCCTTTAAAATGAACTTAAAGTGTAAATGTTAAAGTGGACCGTATTACATAAGGCATCTTTGCTGTCTGAAATTCTGAAATAACTCTTTGTGGGAATGGAAATTGATTGTGCAAAATAAAATGAAATTTATAAAGGTTGCTTTATTGTACACGTTCTAATATAAACTCACCCTTGAGCTTTGATGGGGAAGGGTTCAGAAGTTTATTTTAGAAAAGGCTGATCAAAGTTGGAGATTTTGGAAGGCCATACAAAGTAAAGGGTAACTATATTGGTACATTTATACAACAATGTAGAAAGATATTTTGATATATCTATTGTCATCGTTGTACAGTGTTATCCAGGATAATATTGGTGACCATACCATAGCATTGAAAGTGTGAAATAAATGAACCACAGCATTGTTACTTGTAAGTATCGCCATTTTATTTCAAAATCTGACATTTCGGTGTAATATTCAGGCCCGTAGCCAGGGGGGGGGGGGGTTCGCAGGGTTCGGACGAACCCCCCCCCCCTGGCCAAAAATTCTTTCAAAATCATGCAGTTTTTCACCATTTTGAGCACTTCTCAAGTGATTTTAGCCATATTTGGGCCAAAATTGTCAAATGTGAACCCCCCTGGAAATGTTTGAAAACTGAACCCCCCCTTGCCAAATCCTGGCTACGGGCCTGATATTAAACTAGTATACTGAAGTATGAAAGCACAAGTGGAAATTTACGTGTATATACAAAACATCAGGGCAGGTAATAGTATGCATAAAATGTCTATGCCCAATGTGTGACGCTCAGGAGCGCATTCAGAATTATAGGCCTAATACGCAATTTACAGTATTTCTGGGTAAAATGGTATTGTAAATAGTAGGTTTACTGGTCACCTTGCTCATTTCTCCTAAAAGATGAGATTTCGGGAAGGGGACAGTAGCATGAATTTTCGCTGTAAATAATGTCTTTGTGGTAGCTGAAGCTTCATATTGATCAGTGGATTTCTAGATTTGATGTTCAGGAGTGATGAAGATCATTTTGTAAATCTTTATTTTTTAACTTGCAAAAACCATGCAAGATTTATATTAGGCTTATTGAGGCAATATGTTGTATATATTCTGATTGGTGATGGATGAGTCTTTGTCATATGACTATTTACAGTGACTAATATGACTAATATTTTCATTTTGTAAATTGTGACCATGACCAATGAATGGTGCACAAATAGAATCAGGAATCAATTTGATTGGTGCACAATACTCTACCTTCATTGGTGTAGATTGTGCTGATTGGTGTACAGTGCTCCATTTTGTATAGTAACACTTGTATCTTGTAACATGTAGCAGTGCCATGGTGATTGTGCCCTTTGCATTCGTTTGACTTCACTTCTTAAAAGAGAGCTTCGTTTAACTAGACTCTGCACGCAGGGTATGGTGATTGCAAAGTGTACATACAATATGTTTAACTACAAAAAAAGTATCATGTGATTTTCAGAGTTTTCGCTCATGAATTATAAAAAGGTGCCATATTTTTGTGATCAGTGATCATGATTTCATTAAAAGTATTTAACAAATTGCCAAAAAGGTTGTGACATTTACTCATTTAGCGTTTGAAACAATACAATTGATTTTTGTAAAGCAAATGATTAATGGACACTGTAAATTATTGAAATACCTTGAACCATATTTCAATGTATATATAGTTTTATTACGTTTCTGTTGTCAACAACATGTATTGCTTTCTATACTTATGTGTTTAACAGTATCATGATATGTGTCAAAGTGTCAAAAGTGTCTAAGGGCCCAGGTCAAATGATAAACATGAGACTATATATTTAAGCAAAACTAAATTTAATTTGCATCACTCACAGTAAAAGGTCAGTTTTGTTAAGCTAAAATCAAATGAAATGGCATCATTTAAAACTGATGATTGATGTCATTTCAATGTTCATTGAGGCTTAACAAATGGGGACAGGGGGAGTCCTTTCTTTAAATAACATGAGTAAAAATAAGCATTAATATGTTGACTTATCCCCGAGCATGAAGTACACCCCAGGACAGGTACTTCTAAAATTCAAATGTTGATAAATTACATTATAGATAACCCCAAAGCTTGTTTATCATTATGTGTAATTAAAGATATCTACAAGAAATTATTGAGATAAAATATGTTTCAAATGGATTTCATTATCTGTTTACATAGATAGAAATGCTGTTTGTAAATTGATTTATTTTTGAAGTGTTGTGACAGCGAGATAAGTATAAAAAATTAATAAAAAATGTAAAAATGAAAAACTAAATTATGCCTTATTTTTGTATTTCTCTTTGGCGTGTCTCGATATATTGAAGCACAGTCTGGTAAATCATCCTCTTCGTAAGCAAACCTAGACTTCAATGGCTGACCTTAAAAATATTTTCACCACAAATTGATTTTTTTTATTGTAACATATTTCCAAACACAAAGATGTCATGAACTTAAGTCTTTAACTTCACATTACAATGTAATACATATTTCTATGCATTGGCCTCATGAAAAATCCATCCGTTCAAAAAGTCAAATTCAACACCCACTGAAGTAAAGTTTTCATTGATGTACTAAACCCAACTAGCTAAAAGTCATTTTCAAATCCATGACATAGCCAGAAGCATGCATATCCACTTGGTGCCATGGTTACACTAATATGAAGACTAGACATTCTAAAGTATTTCTGAAAACAGGTTAGATGATAATATGCTTGATAGTCATACATGCAAGTCATACCGATTTAAGATAGCATTAGAATATCAAACACTTGTATTTTGACCTCAATAACTGTAATTGAGAATGCCCCATTGACTAGAAGTTTAGGTAGGTATTCCCCACCAGAAGACGCCTAGCATAGGCACAATGATTTGACATGTGTTTGGCTTTAGTCTACCAAAGTAATAATATTGGTGGAATTTATCCCTAAGAAGGATCATCCTTAGAACTTAATCATTCCTTCAATTATTGAAATGCCCCCCCCCCCCCCCCCCTTAAGGATGCTGCATACCATGAACTGATCACCAGATACAGTTTGAGTTGAAGGCTCAAGTTACATTATCAGATAAAAAAATTTGTCTCAAGTATTCAATCTGTTATATGGCAATGCCATGAAAACATTTCAAATCTTTGCACAGTCATTGAATACTTCACTAACACATAAATGTGGTCAGAATATTTTGTTAAGTTGTTAAACAGAATGAAAAAATAAACTCAATACATTAAGTGCATGTTTACAAAACTATGTATGTCATAACTGCATTCCTATTCCAGGGAAAAATCTGTAATTATCTTTAGTTTGAATTCACTTTTTAAAAATATGGACCTTTACAAACATTGAAGCCTATTTATAGAAATAAGAAATAAAAAAACTTGGGTGTACAAATTAACAAAAACATTATGGTCTCATCTTCATGGCCCAAAGTCCATCAGTGTATTTACCAAATAAAAAAATGATATCGGACTTATAGTAATTAACATCCATGAACAAATACAGTTTATCGCAAAACAACATTGTTTCATATTTACCCAATGTCATATATAAAGTTGACATGAAGAGCAAGATGACATGTGAAACTATAAATTTGCCAAGGTCTAATAACTACTCAGCTTATCTCTGTGTGAACAAACACATTATTAAATAAATACAGTAGTTGAGACTTTATTACTGTATACTTGTTAATATCAATAGAGTAGTCTAGGTTTTTGGAGTCTTGAATCAAAACCTTGTATCATATCAGTGGGCTCCCCTATTACTACCATCTTAGAATCAGTTCTGGGAGGCATATGGGTGCATCCTCCTGACGCAGGGCTCCAGACATCCACTAAGTTTATTCTTTCTTCCAAGGAAAGAGACGGTACAAGTTCTGGAGGCCTGTGTTTGGAGGATGATATGGGTGTTACTAGTGGTGGCAGTCACGAAGAAAACTGGAGTCAACACATTTAAGACAAGGCATTAACATGCAAAATGTCACTACCTGCCATTTGTTACAGACACTAACCACCAAACACCAGCTGCCAAACACCAACCGGCCAATAGCCAGCTTTTGCCAAGGGTCCGAACAGTAATGCAACAATATGTAACCACATTTAGTGGTGACATAAAAAACTGAGCCAAAACAGACTTTTGTTGCCTTTATTTTAAATTGCATGAATTTACTTCCATGACTGTTTATTTAAGCTATGTTGCTTTATGTTTTGAAGAACAATTCCATTTCATTCATTATCTACAAGTCTTACAATATCACAATGAGAATCTCTTATTACTCTAAAACAATAGGAAACAACTGCAAAGAAGTATTCCAGATGTAAGGTGTAGGATACATGTAAACACACCTGGTTTAAAATCACAGAAAAATTAATTGTGAACAGAACATATTGATCCCAATGCCATCTATACATTTGTCATTTCACAACTTTATTAATACTAATACAAAAGTGATCCAACAAAGCTTATGTGTCGACAGTAATGGACAGCACGGTCACAAATTTTTCAAAATTTTGCAAAAGATCATTTTTTATTCATTCTGAGCAATGAACTTGAACTAGAACATCACTTGTATTTTGTTACAGAAATTCATCAAAATTGACTTCAATTTCAATGTTATTGTCCTTATCACCCTTTTTTGAATCACTAAATTTTTTCTCTGGATAATGTTTCTTGTCAGACTTTTTACCGAGATTTTCTGAATTGCGTCTTTGTAAAAGTTGAACAAAATTTTCTGTAAATCTTTCAATACGAACAAGATTATCTACAAATTTCTCATTTGTTAATTTCACAAGGTGTTCAATGTACTTTGACGAGACCAACATCTCTCCATTATGAGACAAAGGTGCCTCTAGATGTTGAGTACTGCGAATTGCTATAATAATTTTCCCTTTTTGTCCGATTGTGATTCCCGAATTACGCATCCCAGAAGCGACTGCAGCTGCGTGTAAAGTCTGTGCGTCCCCTACTTCACGACACTGAATATGTAAAATAAAAGGCTCGAATTTAAACACAACATCACCCGAAATCTCCTCCAGGGATTTATTCACTTCATTCACCTCGGGACTAGTGTGACTAACAAGTAGCCATTTGCAACCTTTCTTCCTACTTTCACCACTCTCGTAGATACACAATCGTCCAGAGCAGGAGCTTGTCGTGAAATAGTTCTCACTTGAATTTATTTTCTCGATCAGTTCAACAATCGGAGCATCAATGCTTCCTTTGCGACTTAGATCCACTGCGGCAAGACATTGCTTTTTCTGATTATCAAAAGCAGACATGGAAATTGTCTATTTCGTCAACTGCACCAATTTTTCAGGTCTCAATGTAATTAAATTATATCTCTGGTATTATTCTTAGGTTCTGCAAAAGATCAAGTCGTATCTACACGTATACAATATAGATGTTTTTTCAATGGTACATGTAATTATCTATCACATACAAAGCCAGTTGTAGATTAGCGAGCCATTCTTATGGTCGATTGCATCTCGCTCAATGTCTTCTGACCTCTTGCTAAAGACATGCGAATGTCCATCTGAAAATACACATGTAGTCTCCTTAGAAAACTTGTCATCATCAATTTACTTTAAAAATATGTTCATTTATCATCTTAAAAATAAGTTAATTTATATACAACAAGGATGCCTTAGGAAACTCTTATTATACATAATTGCGTGCATTTTATTTACTTCAGTATCACAAAATTTGTGTTTAGTTCAAATGTCCAGACAGAGACAGATAAAGCAGTTCCTTCACTTTTTGAAAAATTGTACATAAAAATTGAGCAAATTACTGTTCATATGATTGAATAAACTTAGATGCTTCAAGTTGAAAGATGATCTGAAAGACTGTGCCATCTTGTAGGGAATTCTTACCTGATCGGTTAACTGCTTGTTCTGCTGAAAATCTGTTCTCGCCCAATCTTTCAAATATTTCTGTTGACTTGGATCCTCAACCTCACGAATCACTCGCAGAATTTGTCGATATAGGTTCAGCACTTCTCTGCGTAACATGAACTGAAAGCAATACATAATAGACATCATAAAAAGGCAATAATAACATATCAAGTACATCGATAACACTCGGTAACAGTAAACATTATAAGCCTGTAAGTGTGCCTTTGTGATACCCCGGCCCAAATGATGGACCGATCAGCTAAAGTAATGCTTACCCTAATAAGCATTTGAATACTCGGACGTTTCACACATTTCTGAAGTTGACCCAAATCTTGGATAGGAAGGCCCGGGTCGGATCAAAAACAAGTCAAAAAGTTGCCTGACCCTGTCTTACATCTGTTGATTATCCCTGTTTATAACTGATTCAAGAGCATGGCACTGAACAAACCTATATGCTTATTTGTTATTTGTTAAGTTGTTGGTTGGGTAACATGTTCATGACGTCACAAATGATGCGAAGAATCTTTAAACCAATCAATGAAGTCTGTATTAATTGTTTGATTAGTTGTTGATGTGGCAAATACGTGTCTGATGTCCAAGTGATTGCATCATATTCTATTTTATATATATCATATTTATTTATTGATAAATTTAAAAAAATACAATAATGATGTTTTAATTTGAGGTCAAAGTCCGGAAATTTGATCAACTGATTTAAATCACGTTTTAAAGAGGTGAAGAAGTGAATAATTCCAGGAGCAAACGTGATCAATGGTTCGACGTCTCCCACAAGGTAGTCGCTACGCTCTTACAGTCGAAACAGAATTGTTTGTGACTACTTTGAATTTAAAAATAAGCAATCAAATGACCATATTGAAACAGTTTATGTAAAAATAGAAACATTTATATTTATCCTAACTTTTGTATATTTTAGTTTGTTTTCTAGTTTAGCTGTCATATCTGTGTCCTCTTATATTTTGATACTTCTCTGCCATGTTATTTTCGGAAAAATTAACATGGCTGAAACTCCCTAAATTACAAAAGGCCACAGCTTTGCTGCACATTATACATTACTATCTGAAACAGGGGCGTAGGAAGGTGTAAATTCAACACTACGCCAAAAATATGAAAAAATTGTGTCAAATCTTTGATATCAAAATGCCTATTTTATGTTCGTAAAACGTGATTTTTATGGTAATACCTGTTACGCGGTAAACACGATACAAAAATATGTCATATTCCGCAACGAATATGGCATATTCACTTGCGGTGTATGCCAGATTCACCTGCGGTATATGGCATACACACTAACCAATGAGAACATGATACGGAAGTACGCAATTGTCAATTGCATCGATTGAACGAATAAGTAAAATTTAATAAATTATGATAATGATTACTGAATCAACAGTACTGTGTATCGAATATATTAACTTAGCAGAAGTATCAGTCACCAATCTCATGTAATAGACTTACTCAATCAATCCAGGATTCATATATTAGTACTTGACGCACTAACTATATTGGTAATCCAGCGTAGTTATACATTTAGAGTCGACTCTCGCAACCAATCAAATCAAAGCTTTCTGTATCACGTTTTCACCTGCGGTATATGTCATATTCACCTGCGGTGTATGGCATATTCCGCAAGTGAGTATGACATATTCCGCAGGTGAGTATGGGGTATTCACTGAAATCAATATATCGCATATTCACTGCGGAATATCGCATACTCACTTGCGAAATATGCCATATACCGCAGGTGAGTATGGCATATTCACCCGTATCACAAATACCGCGCAACCATGAATATATGCCATATACCGCGTAACAATACCTTTCTAATGTGCTTAAAATGTTCGAATGTTTTTCATCATATAAAATCACCATGGAAAGCCGATCTTTTAAATCTCGACAATACAGATTAAAGAAAATAGTATGATCAATAGAAACATGTCCGTGATCAATGATACAACTAACTCTAACCTTTTTTATAACACTAATTCGCAAACCCCCCTCAACAAAGGTCAACGTGATATTTTGTGGTAAATTGTTAATTTCCTTTCAAAAGAATTAAATGTGCCTAAATAGTTTATTTCCTAAAATAATAGTCTATTATCTTTCAAATGAAATAACAATTAGGGTAATTGCTTTCCTAGAACTGAAGTTATGTACTTTCGAATTTAGCAGGCATCACGAAAACTCATTAAAATCAGTGGAACACGTAACTGAATAAATAACAAGTTCAAGTTCAACTTGTTTTTGTCTTTAACATTATATTTCAAGAAGTACTACAAATAACAATAACAATTAGTGATTTAGTAAGATAATAGATAAATGCTGACTTATTATTGTTTCAATATAAATTCGGTCCTTGCTTTTCGCTAGCAACCACATAGCAACGGAATATAAATTGAATTGGTGAAATTGAAAAATCGGGGGTAGGGGAAAATAAAAAAAACTACATCTTATATTGGGAGAGGTTTATGATTATAATTCTGGTACCACAGTTTACATAAGCATTACGGAACATGGACAAAAATTAACCAAAATCGATTTTCATGAAATAAAGCATGTTGGAAAGAGAATTCAATCTGTTAAATGAGCACTATCTACCAAACACATAATGATTAAAATGCATTTTCTACACTATTAGAAACAATGTGACTATCAATATTTTACGAATTTCATTTTTATTGGCTTAAACATCCGACTGTCATAGCTTTGCCCCTCTACCCCCAATCACCTTGATTCTTACGCCAAAAAGTGCCATTTATCTGTGGCCGAAGCTAGAAAATAACAGAGGCACAAAAAACTTGCAAAAAGTACTATTGAAAAGATGGAACATAATGGTGTCCAAAAACATGTCTTTAGTGTGCTCGAGATCACAAACTTGGCAATTTATTAACAATGAGGAAATATGACTAAAGAACATAGGGAAATTAATAAGCTTCTTTATTCTAGCTTTTCAACACTACGCATTGGCGTTTTGGCGTACATTGTTCCTACGCCACTGTGAAATATACAAAAGTTAGGATAAATATAAATGTTTCTATTTTTACATAAACTGTTTCAATATGGTCATTTGATTGCTTATTTTTTAAATTCAAAGTACTCACAAACATTTTTGTTTTGACAATACTTGACAATGGGCTGCCTTCTTCAGAGGAGACCTCGAGAAAAAGTATGGAGACTTGTGTGTTTTTCTATTTCAGGATAACATTACATTGCCTTCTTTTAGAATTTTTTTCATGGCCTGAGTTCGTCGCTAACATGCTAAATATAAGAGTTAGCTGATGTTTGATGTTTGATCTTCTAAAGGTTAGAACCCGAATCTTAATGAAACCATATCACCTTTGTTGCGTCTATGATGATGCATAAACACAGCATTTGATAGAAATTAGTGTAAATGCTTTTCCGACTTTTTCATTTTTCATCAATGTTGACTTCCGGGAAGGCGTTGTAGTTATCACGAAATAACGCATTGACCCTTGAACTTTACTTTGTTGACGTGTCAACCAAGCATGTCTGGTGTGAAAATTAAAAGAATATTAAGCAATGTTCTACATCCGCCAAGCTAAGTGAAGTAGCCAATATTTAAAATTACCAATTTCAAGTGAAGTACAAAACGAACGAAACTGCGTGATCTACACTCCCACTATTCGTCTGAACGAAATGCTACGTAGAAATATGAGCCATCTGCTGTATTAGTCGATTAATAGAGTAAGACCTGTTGGTGATGCTTTATAATTTAGACCAAAACATTGAAGAACAAACGAACCTGTAAATCGTGAAAACAACGAACAAATATTCGGTTTTCACATATGTTCGGTAATTTTTCGTATTGAAACTTCCGGAACTTACAAGGAAATCATTCATTTTCACGGTCCATGATTTACCTCTTGGATGTTGTGGCAAATGCTCCATGGTTGACGGAACAAAGGTGATATGGTTTCATTAAGATTCGGGTTCTAACCTTTAGAAGGTAAGTCGACTCCCAAACGTCAGCTAACTCTTATATTTAGCATGTTAGCGACGCTCTTATATTTAGCATGTTAGCGACGAACTCAGGCCATGAAAAACATTCGAGTATTTCGGCAATCCAGTAGATATTGTTGAGAAATTTGGAGAAACTTGGAAAATTGAAAAGGCAGTCATTTCCTTGAAATATCAGCATTTCCTGGAATTACCATTGACCTCTAGAACCGGGTTTACGTTAGAGGATAGATGTGGTCAGAAATCTGGAGAAATCAGGAATATTATGGGTGGGCGATAATATGTGATATATAATAATTTTCGGTCAAAACATCCCAGAGCATACATTATTCTTTAGTTACATGGCGATACTAGATATGAAATGTTGTACTATATATTTGGGAATATAGTGGAATGTTTACTTTCCTTACATGATAGTCGATATGATTGTAATTACCTGTTTTAGAGACAGTGCATTTTTAGGAAGTCTGGATGCCATTTGCCTCGTTTTCGATAATCGTGAACGGAAATGAAAGAGGAAGTGCAAAATCGACTTATTTTATCATTGCAGCCCTTCGCAGGTTGATGTGGTGAGTATTTACATGATGTATAAGTTACACTGCAGTTCAATTTCCCCTTGTTACAATCTGACTTCCCCTCGATACAGTCCTACTTCCCCTACAGTTTGGAACATTGACAGGTGGATTTTCTATCACCATTTCCTAGATCTAACCATAATTAGGCTAGATATCTAGTCTACCACCATACCACAGTCATGGCAGGCCTAGCAACCATTACCACGGCCATGACAGGCCTTACAACCATTGTCACGGTCATATCAGTTACCACAGTCATGGCAAGCCTTGCAACCATTGTCACAGTCATATCAGGGTTTAGGTACAGCTGGAAAATAACATTTTGGTAAAAAATTGCTATACATGTACCTGCACATGTTATTTTCTGGTACAAAATAAAGTATGAAGGCATGTGTGTATTTCCTTGCTTTTTTCAGGAAAGTATCATTACACTGTCAGGCCTGTCAACTGTCCCGCAATTTGCGTATTTGTCACGCATTTGCTGAAGAATTTGAAGTCACGCCAGTTATTTTTGCGTGACAGAAAATGTCACGCAAATACGCATTTTACCTGGTAATTGTCAAGCAAAAATATTTCTGTAGAAAATTTTCTAAAAAAGATCGTCTACACAGCAAAAATACGAACGACGGGAAAAAAACGTACGCATTTCGTTCGGACTTTTCACGCGAATTACGGATATGTCACGCATTCCGTTCGAAATTTTTCGTACCTACCCCCCCCCCCCGTTGATGGATGTTCGAAACACGAGCGTAGCGAGCGCGAAAAATTTGAGGTGTTCAAAATTTGGCAAGATGTAATAAAATTTAAACCAAGGTGTTCAAAATTTGGATCAAGGTGTTCAGATTTGGACCAAGGTGTCCACATTTTGAGGGGAGGTGTTCAACATTTCCAAGTCACTCATGTTAGGTGTTCCCAAGTTGACAGGCCTGCACTGTCTACTTTTAGTAAACCTGGAAACAGGTCAATGGTAGCTCCTGTGTTGTCTGGAAACTTTGAAAGAAAATTTGGAAAAATAGAAAGTGTGAAATATCAGAATTTCCTGGAGTTCCCATTGAACATCTTTTGGTTTTAGGGGCCCAAAAGTTTATATATTTTAGTTTAATATATTTCTGGATACTAGGCTCATCAAGTATCCTGAAATATCCATAATTCAGATTTTGTTGAAAGGTGGGAACTTGGAGTATCCACAAATATTCTTTCAAGAATATTGCCTGATATTTGAAGTATCGGTATATTTTAGGACATTCCAGAATACTACAAATATCTGGGATTTGGGATCTGTACGGAAACTATTGGATACTATACCATTTTTACCAAAATAAAAAATGTTGATGTTTTTTTGGCCCACCTTATATTTAGCCTAATTCCCAATTAAAGCAAATCTATGATTATGTATCATTCCAGCTTCAGTCCACTTGTTCAGTGTTAACACCATTTTACCATTAATCATTTAATTGATCAGATTTACCATAATACATGCAGAAAAATCAAATGGCTGAAATCAAGACTGACTGGTTCCGCAATTGAGTTTAAATTAAATTAGATGAACATAACACATGGTTCTGTTTTATAGTTCTGGTAGCTGACATTTCTGCATTTGTGAAGAAGGAATAAAAATCAAAAATAAGATACAATTGATGCCTTGTACTTTACATGATATCATATTCTTCTTTCAGAATTGATAACATATGGGATGGCAGAGCCAAAAACATCGTACATTTACTGCCCAAGATCTCCTAGTTACAGTCCAGCATCCCCTAGTAACAGTCAAACACCACCTAGTCTGAATTCACCCCTCCCATATAGGCGTCCAGGATCAAGTGAAACTTTCTGGAGAAAATCAGGACTGTCATATTCCGCTTATGAGTGCCCATATGACTTGACACTGACTGAAGATAGTGAGAATAGGGAAACCCAGGAGACCTGTCAACTTGCAACTGATGGCAATGGGGAGACCTGTCATTTTGCAACTGATGACCATGTGGAGATCCAAGGGACCTGTCAACTTCCAACTGATGAGGAAGTATACAATATTATCATACAGCAAGATGTGCAAAAACTTCAAGAACTAATAGATAATGGCCTTAATGTGAACCATAAACTTAAATTGCGGCAAACCATTATAATAATAGACACAGTCCCTGGCAATCGAGTACCATTAACAAACTGTACTTTATTGATTGCTGCTATTAGCACCCAAAAGGAAGAAATTGTTGCATGTCTTATCAAAAATAACTGTGATATTCAGGTGCGGGCGAAGCTGACTGACTAATACTTATTTTGAAGATGGAATGCCATTATGTAGAGCGCCGTTACTTCAAGCAATGGAACGCAACAATCCTCGTATATTCAGGATGCTCCTGGAGGCTGGTGCAAGAATCACATTTGTTGGGGACATGAGGAATATTTTTCAATGTTTACCGAGTGTTCTAGCACGATATATGATTGATGAACTATCTTCATTTAAGCTTGTTGAATTCATAGAAATATTAGTAGACTGTTATGAGGATATCGTGAATGAGCCAATGCAGGTTGGCAATCAGGTTTATTACCTCCTTCATCATGTAGCCTTTTATGATAATTTCAAGTTGGCTGAACTTTTACTCCAGAATGGCGCTATTGTTGATGTTGTCACCTATGTTGGTGATTGTACTCCGTTACATCTGGCGGTACTCCTGAACCATACAGAAATGACACGGTTATTGCTAAAACATGGTGCCGATCCCAATGCATTATGGGATGGGGATGTGGATATGGAAAGGGTCCTACTAAGTGATCACGATTTAATGGACTGTGATATAAGCAGGATGAAAGCTGTGCAGAAAACACGATACAATCGTGAGATCTTTTCTGAAATGTTAAACATTTTGTCTGCATGTGGGTTCAAGCATTGCCTTTTAAGTTATGATTTTCCCTATGGATGGTTTTCACCAGGCAAGGATGACCTAGTTTTAAGCGTTGTTAATGAGCAGACTAATCGTGCAGATGACCCTCCGATTTATGAGAAGTTTAACCAACAGTCATTTGCCAAACTGGACCTTGTACATTATGCAGCTGTGCAGCTCAGGAAACAGTTATTGGTGGCCTCAAATGGAAGATCAATTATTCCTAGAGTGGAGAGCTTAGTGGAACAAGGACTTTTGCCACAACTTTTAGTTGCACGTTTACTATTGCAATGGAAGTAATAATGCTTGGATAGACTCTTAATTACATTCATTGGTGTATAATTTTCAGAAATATATTTACTCAGATGTATTTTCAACTAAAATTGTGAAAATGAAGTGCCTTGCCAGGACTAAATTTTTCAAAAAATACAATTTTTAGTTAATTTTCTTAATGTGAACAATACCCCAGGAGGTTGCCTATTTTCTAATAAAATATATCAGAAGGTAACAGCCATACTTTCTCTTTCAAAATGGGGGATGGTATAATATATAGTTGAATCATGACATCCACACATAAAAAATAACATTCCATATCATACATGCTTGATATGGTTGAAATTTTAAAGCAGAATGACCATTCAAAGTGGCATTCTCCCAATACTGACCAGTGCAAGTTAACTGATAAGCATAGGCCCAGGTTAAGTACTGTAGTAATCCATACATATAATTCACAGGTGCACAACATCGATTGAAAAATTTGATATAACAAAACTAGAATTACAGTTTTGTACATGCCTCATAGTGAATTTTATTTTTGATAAATTAAATTACAAATCATACAGATTACTTTACTACAAATATATGTGACAATCTGTGAATCGCCCATTCAGCCATTGGTGTCTCAAAACAATTAAGTGTTGTAAAAATGATTATTGCAACCAGGAATTTCTAGAATAGGATATAGATGGCACTACACAAACTGTTGTTTATAATTAAGGTTATCAATTTTGCATAAACTATATATATTAAGTCGAATGAACTCCCAACTTTGAACAGGACTTATGTCTTAGGATGATTTCTATTAGTCGTTTGAGTATGGAAGGATGAAACTTATAGGTATACTCAACATATTCTATTATTTGAACCCTTTTTATGAAATATGTAATGATGTGGTATAAATTACTTTATTTCCAAAACCAGACAAAGAGCGATAATTAATATTTGATAAAAATTGTAGAAAGGGAAGTACCATTTCTTTATAAAAACACATAACATACATGTACATTTATAATACTATAAACATTGTTAACTTAGACGTTTGAGTGTTCAATTTGCCAAAATCACCAAATGTAAAAAATAGTCGCCAAATTAACAATGTTTACAATAATTACCATTTGCGTCATTTCCAATCGCAGTAACAAACTGAGAAATGTATGACAACAATATCACTTTATACATTCAAGTATGTACATGTCATTATAGATAATGCCATATATAAGTGGAGACTATTTCTGAATAAATTGGTCCTCTCTATGTCAAAAATTGAAACTAGTACTGGAACTATATTTTGACACACATTTCATTTTGGTAATATTTTGAATTGAATGCCCAACAACAACATCTATTTCGTATCAAAAAAAGAAACCAAAAGAGAATTTCACCTCAGTATTTTCCATCTCCATTACCAATATTTGGTCCAATGTAAGACATATTCACCAAACTAACAAGTAGTGTCAAAATGCCAATTGTTACAGTATTTTAGGCCTACAGAAAAATATTGATAAAAATGTAGTTTTGTTCCCTTTGAAATGTTGAAATAAAGACAATATAAAACATTAGGAGATCCCATCATTCTGTATTTATTTACAACACTAGAAAATATTTTTGCACAAGAATGTGATAAACACAAAAATAAATGACAATTTGATAATATATTCATAAAATCCCCACAATAAGTTTTGTGATGTAACCAGGACTATTGCAAGACATAGAAATCTGATGGAATGCAATTTGCCAATAAACCCTATATTTCTATATTTCATATTTATGAAAAAAACACACACAAAAATACTGAATAAATTGCAGATTCACTTATAGCTTAGACATACTAGCACACTTTGTCAGGAAATTCTGACCAATTAGGATACAAATCTGTGTGCTGTTGAACACTTGTGGATGTGAAAATCTTTTGTGCTATTTGACAAATGGTCTCTAATTATAATGCTATTAAAGCAATTATTTTTTCCAAATAACACCATAATATATTTTGGCAATACAGGTTTATGAGAAACTTTGAATCTAGTCATGAAAGTGGAACAAAATTAAAGCTAACCTTGAACTACAAGGATACCACTACAAGTTATGTTCCAATTAAGAATTTTTTGAATTTTTATACCATATAAGGAAGCATGCTTTTGAGGTTATCAGGAGTTTATTGAGTCCCAAGAGGCACAACACCTGTCGATAATGAATTTCGAGAACCCAAATTATTGCAAACATTTTTAAGTTGAGGTACAAAATAGTTTGCAGGTAATATCAAGGCCTCCTAAGGTGTTTGAATAACTCCAGTTTTTAGAATGCGGATATCCATGATAAAATCATGATGTGAACATTTCAAAAAATGATGATTTAGTTTATTCATCATCGTCTGATTCATCATAGTCTGATGACAATTCTGATTCTGAATTATCATCTTCGTCTTTCTCCTCATCATCTGAAATTTCCCATTGTGGATGGCTTTCGACTTTCTTGGCTTCTTTAACATCCATCTGAAGCAAAAAAATGCAATATAACAATCAGATTACAGTAAAGCCTTGTATGTGAGCATGTCATTATGTGCACCCTTCAAACAAAGTTCTAGTACATCAATACTTCATAAAAGCAAAATTCTTTAGATTCAAGGAGTCATAAAGATTCCCTTAATAAGGAGCATCCATTTAGGCTTCCATGGGTTTATTACTAAGAAAATATAAACTGTATTTAAAAAATAATAATTTATTAAAGGTCTTCTCAAATTATCACCGAATGGGTGGAAGACAGAAAGACCGTTCACAACAGTACCAATAGGGCATTAATTAATAATAAAAATGAAGAAAATTATATTACATATAAAGACATATAATATCAAATATAACAAAACAAATTAGATGATACCTTAATGTTTTCAGACTGGTCAAAATCAAACAATGAGTCAGAGCGTAGAACAACTGTGTACTGGTAGTTTCCTGGCTTAGTTGGGGCGGAGAATTTAAGACTGATCTGAAATTAAAAAATTCATAAAATTTACACATATCTGATATTTAGACATTCAAAAAGTTGCCATTTTAAATCATGTAAATGTGACAGATGTTAGTTAATCGTTTTAGAATAAGTTATGGATTGTGGCAAAATTAAATATCTGAAGTTATTCAATGATTTTGATAAAAATAGAAATACTGTCCCCAAGAAAATCTGTAGTTCATAAGTACAAGCATCTATGAAAATACAAGAATGTCTAAGTCACAGGAGCCAATAATCCATATCATAGAATAATGCAACTTACTTCTTCTTCGTGTTTGAGACTGGTCACTTGAACAGGAGCAGTTATGAGTTGGTGGTGTTTTCTATCTGCTACATAAACCCACCACCATTCTTGCTTGTCCTGCAAGTAAAGTGAAATGAACATATATATTTAATTATTTGTTACATTCACGGACTCTTCCCATGGTTTTCATTTAAGCAGAATGGAACATATAATCAAAGTATACATACTGGATGCTCAAATCATATTGATATTAAGGTATATTCCTTATAAATTAAGATTCACTAGATTCATTAACTGCTGGAAATCCAAATTAACATCACTATTTCATTTTCTTTTAACATCCAAAATATCACCACCTGTCATTTGTTACACTACGCCAAACACCAACTGCTGTCCATTCGTAACCAATGCCGAACACTGACTGTCGACCACTAAAAAAGTTGTGGTGGTGACATAAAAATCGAATACACATAGGCAGTGTTTTCAGTAGGCTTGTCCAAAATTGCGTCCCTTGGACGTAATGATTTTCAAAAAATGTGTCTCCCTTCAAAAAACTGCGTCCCTTGAAAAAATGTTCCCGGGAATTCAAAAGTCACGTTTTTACACTGGATGAAATAAATTGATGAAATTTTGTACCACTGCTTTTGCTATTTATCGGTCTGAATCAGCGTTCTTGCAAGTCTAGTATGTCATTGAATGATACAGATACCATCATAACTTATATTCTCCCATTTAAAACACCTTTTCCTTGCGAATTTCGAAACAATTTGCTATTGATTTTGCTTTAGCATGTTTAGTTAAGGGGCAATCTGCGCGAGGTTCAACTTTTTAGTTCAGTTTCTTGCGCATATGCAGTCTCAAATAATGATCACGTGATCACACTTGACCAATTGAAAATGGTTTGAATCAGGTCTTAAGCTACCGGCCAATCGTAGGACTCATACTGATTACTGCTCGGAAATCGAGTATTGTATAAATTTTTGTCCTATCACATGCCTCGTACTATTTCGATCAGAAATCAACTTCCGGGAAGGAAATTTCGAAAGAAAATTTTATTTCTTTTAGAAATAGAATTTTCTTCAATTATTTATTGGATTCTGACGTAATAAAGAGACTGAAGGTAAGATCTTTATCAAATCATTCATCCAAAGTTGATCGTATGAGTATGGCTTGCACTGCGTCCACAAAACGCAATCACTTTTTATTTCCGGGTCCATGGATTTTTCATTACGTTTTTGCAATACTTGGACGGCGTTATTGAAATAGCAGCATAGGAGAATCTGGCAGCAGTATGTAATCTTACCAGAGGGAAGTATGGGCAGTGGACGCTATGAGTTTCTTTGGACTTGGCCTCTAGTACATTCTCTTTCTTGGCCTCTTCTTGGAATTTTTCCCATGTATCATCATCATCTTCATTTGATTTAGGATCCCTATCATCAACGTCACTATCTGTGACATCAGATATGTCACTGCAGGAGTCTTCAGCATCGCTGTCTTTCGCTTTCTTGGGCTTTTTCACACGCTGCAAATTAAATATTTTTGTTTTAAAAAAGAAGTGTGAGAAAAATTCAGTTTCAAAATTTAACTTCAATTTTGCACATTTCATGTCCACAGGTAAGCTTTAATTAAATGTTTCATATTTTTGTTGGGAAAATTAGAATTTTGGGGAGGTCACTTAAAATCACCAGTTAATGGTGTGGCACGTACTCCATTTGGTGTGCTTTCATTACTCTGGCTTTCCTCTGTTTTCCCAGCATCTGAAGTTGGAGAGGCCGTCACCTTCCTCTGGATGACTTGTTGTTTAAAGGGAATAGGCTTTTTCTTGCCTGCCTTTTTACCACCCTTTTTCTTCTTCTGTTTTTCCCAAATTTTTGGCTTTATAGTTTGCACTTCCATCTAAATACACACAAAATTTTTTTTTTAATTACACTCATAAATAATTATAGAAAATGTAAACAGGAATAAAATGAAACAGAAATCAGAGCCAACAATACATAGCCTGGGGTCTAGGATTGCAAAATTATGATCTAATTAAATATGAAGATGAAAATTTCTAAACCTTTGAATGAAAATATTGATGACTGAACTGAAAGATCAGGAAACTGTATTTAGTAATGCATTCACAATACTTTTGCATCATCAAGATAGTACATGTAAATACGATGTAGCCTAATGGTCCACTCTATTATTGTCCTCTTTGACTATATGTCACCCCTGATTGACCATACATGGTACTGCACATATTTTACTTTTACACAATGATTAAGGGTTTGATTAGACACCAGATTAAGGATAACACTTGAAAGCGGCAAAACATACAACTGGAAGAATGTGCAAAGACTTTCCCAGAGCTTAAAAAAATCTAAAACCATTTTGTAAAATTCCTACTTTTGTAGTTTCTTCATTTTCATTTTCCTCTTCTTCTCCCTCATTATCCCCTTCACCATTCTCCTCCTCATTAAGCAGTGCAACACCGCTGTCCTTGTCAACATCATCCCCAAGCAGAACCTGTAATGGTTCACGTGTCAGACTGACATTCACTGTCACTATTGACCCTGCAGTTATACTGGAATCCTCATCATCCAATACTGAAAGAAATGAAAAGTTTTACACAATAGTATTCAATATTCATTTTTAACAAATTCAACAAATTGCCCATTGTGGTTGATTGGCTAGTCTGGTTGATTAGTCATTTGTCTTTACTCCTTCAATATTACCATTGATGTCACCTCAATAATGATATAATTAAGTACGAAATTATCACTTAAGAATTGTTCTCCCTCAACAACAAAATAGACAGGCTGATCTCATTCAAGTTTGTTTTCAGGTATCAAAACGAGATGTTCTTTTGAAAGTGCTTTAATTTAGAAAATCTTTTAGAAATCTGAATATACAGTATAACTTTTCATAATGAATACTCGTAAGAACACATTGCAAATGAAATATTTTTGTGCACATGGTTATTAAGGACCACTCCTTTGAGTAGTACATATACAAATGTATACCTGATGTGTGGACTTTCATGGTGATATGTGGCATAGATGTACACACATTCATTATATCTTTATATTCTTCATCTGATATACTGCGTAGTAGAGATCTTCTATCCTCCTCCTTCATACATACAAAATCTTTAATACCTCGAATATTTCGCTGAAATAGCAAAAAAGAATCATAGTTTTTTAAGAGTGATGGAGATGAAGTGTGCCATAATGACCAAGTATGGCATTTGACAGCGTGGTCAACATATATTCACCTTTTCGTCAAGCTTTGCATTTCAAATTTGTATGGTTTAAAGGAATATTCCTTGCCAAACCATCTCTCTCCTCATATGGTAGCTATAGCCATATATATGCTTGCCATGTTTAGCAAAACACGCAAAAATGTTTTGAAATGGTCAAATTTGATCCCTTAGAAATGTGATGCTCAATTCCAGTAAGCTGCCATCTTTTAAAATTTCACACAGGAAGTGATGTCATCGACTCTCAACTTTGCATATAGCATTAGGTGAGGAGCTATTAAGAATTACAAAACGAGCTAAATATTCTTTTTCAACTTTGTATCTTATTTAATCCTTCTGAAAATCTCTTCTTTTATTCTAAGTTGACAAGCCCTGAAAATATTTTTGCACAGAAAGTAATGATCACTTGTCTAGAAGTGATTTTGTGCTACTTTCCTATACTGTTATGTGCAAGGCTATAGAAGTCGAGAGTTGATGACATCACTTCCTGCAAGAAATCTTAAAAGATGGCAGCTCACTGGAAATAAGCACTAGATTTTTAAATGATCAATATTGACCATAGTAAAACATTTTCCCATGTTTTGCTAAATATGGAAACTATATATATGATTGTAGCTACCATATCAAGAGAGAAAGGGTCTGGAAAGGAATATTCCTTTAATTTTAACTCAACATACCCTTTTTGTTACAAAATGGCGGAGCATATCTTCAGAAATATGCGGTAATTGTAACAATGGACTTTTTGTATCCCATAATGCCTGGATGACCATTTTACTCATTCGCATGCAATTCTCCACAGTATCAAGACGTGGCTCATGGGCAACTGGAAATATAAAAACACTTCATGGGGAATTGTGCAATCATAGGCAACTGGAAACACATAATCGTTTCATGGGTAACTGGAAACACAAATTCATGCCGGGGCAACTAAAAACTCAAAAACATTGCATTGCCAACTAAAGTCATTTATACCATTAATGGATCTTTAATATCTTCCGAAAATCTCATGCCTCGCTGTGTGGCTAATTACCACTTTATGACAATCCAACAATCATGACTTACCTCTGCCAGCGTGTGCTAGGGCAACAAGTTGAGCCAATATATTCACCATCTCATTTATAAGATAAGGACACTTCTTTAGCATATATTGTCTGTCTGAAATATTGAAATATAATACACTGTTAATATCCATGTAAAATGACAATGTAACATAAGAAGAACATATAAGTTATCATCATCTGATAAACTGCTATAAACTAAGTTAGCTATAGTGTACCTGTATACTAACCATCTAATAGTTGTTTCAATAGTTAAAATCAGAATTAGCATAGAGCATGTATTTTTTTAATATTGTATTGATTCTTACCTAATTCTAGTGTTTTGGGGGGTAACTCAATGCGAGAGAAATGTGCGTACAACAGTGCTCTGGCTTTAACACTGTATGGGAAACACAGGGGTCTTTCTTTATTTTTCTCATTCAAGTTGGGTAGATCTTTCATAAGCTGAAACATCATGTACGAATGCAGTGGGTCAAGTTGTTAAATTAAGAAAATAAACAAGTGAAATAAGTCAAATAGGAAGCACATTGTAATCTTTCCAGATTTTTTTCAAATAATGTCTTCAAAAAATCCACTTGTGATTTACCAAATTCTCAACTTGTGCCAAATGTGCAAATTGACTCTCAACAGGGCACTTGACTGCTGTTGTTTATTCAGTTTATGCAAATTCACTTCAGAATTCATTTTTAATATTTCACCGTTTCTTATACTATTTAATTTATCCATTGCACAATGTTAAACATAATAGTAGTGCATACACACGATATACTAAGGTCTTCCTTACCAAAGGTATTTCTTCATTGTCACTGGGCCGTTCCTGTACTTCCTGGTTGTGACTCCTGCTGAACTCCAGTGAACCCGCCAATATCATGACAGCCCCTAAAATTGACAAGAAACCAAATAAGGTCACATTTCTTGGAATCGCTATGACCCCTCCTTTACCCAGAAGCACTTTTGTAGGGAAGATGGACAAATATGTTAACGCAGAACTATGTTACAGTATAATTTTCCAAAGAAAGTGTAAAGTTTAATTTTATACAAAATATACATGTCCCTTAATATGCTAATAGCTACAGAAGTCATGCTAAACTTTTAAGTAAGTTTTGTAAATAAACCAAATAACACCTAGTCAGGCCATTGGTCCATTTTATTCCTCTTCCTTAACAGCAATATATATAAAATGAAAGGAAGTTCTGAAATCTAAATGACTTAGGCCTAATATTTGAAGTATTTGAGTTACTTTTGAGCATTTTGGGTACCTTGGAAGTATTTTGATTAACTTACTTTTGAGTATCATGTTAGGAGTTTTGTGTAGGAAGCAGTAATAGAGTTGAGTAGTGTCTAACAGGACTGCATCTCCACTGAACTTAATAGACCTGTACCACCATGTACCCTAAAAGGAAAATTCTCTTATAATCCATTCTTTATTCATTTAATACAATACACAGTGCTACTACTAAAGACTTACATGGTAAAATGTTACATTCTGAGTGATCTAAAATCTAATCTTGTGCACAGGTATAATCTTTAAGATTTACACAGACAAAGTTCTATATATTCTCCAAATACAAAGGCAGCAGTCACAGGACAAGGCATTAGCATGCAAAATGTCACCACCTGCCATGCCATTTGTTACAGAAGCCGAACACAGAACGCTTACAACCAAACACCAACTTGAAATGTAAATGAGCTATTGCTTACCACAACCAGAGGAAGGATGATCATGAAGACCAAACCATAGGCTGCAAGGACCCACACTGAATTCTGCTTCTCCACAATCCACTTCGGCAAGGCAATACCAAAATGGGTGGCTGAAATAACATGGCAAATACTCGTGAGTTTACTGTGTATTCAGATATAGTACCGCTACATGAATTGCTTCATGCAATGCAATTTGGAATCTGAAGTATTTTGATAAATTGGAATTTAAACATTTATTCATTATCCATTTTGATTATTATGTCACAAAATTGTCTGAAAGTTTTGAGTGCCAGCTGTCCTCACCTCTTTTAGAGGTACCAAAGGTGTTCCACTTACAAAAGTTTTACTGTAATCAAGTAATATGAACAAGAAACAGCCACCTGATAGTACCATGCTTTATTCATATTAAAATTTGAATGAATTGCACAATTTCTCTGCTTTTCTCAACAATTCAAGTGTTGACTACACACAATGTATCTTCATTCCTTGCTAAGCTCTCTCTATTCCACTCTATTCTCAACTTCAAAACATGACAATGAGACAATTTGTGCCCTGCTGACATGATGTTTATACAGATCCCATCTTGTAACACTCATAAAGGTGCATCTAGTTGAGCTAGTCACCTGAAACTTTTTGTGGAAATGTTCCATGGAGTCTAGCTTTAATGTGCTAAAGAACAAGTAAGACATCAAGAAAGCAAAGAAATTAAACAACATTATGTGGGTGGTACTTTTTTGTGTCACCCTGTACTTACCCCCTGGACCATCAGGATTGCCATATTCCTCCCAGTTCTTTCTCGCCTCATCATCTGTTAATCTAAAAAACGCAATATTTTTTTTTGTTTTTTAATTTTTAATCTTTAACCTGCCATAGTCTCTCAATCAACTAGGTTCTTCTGAAGTTTTACGGAAGTTAATTTGCTTTGTTTTGAGAATGCCTTATATGGTCTACTACTTACGCTGCATGAGCCTTGGCAATTCTCATAAACTTCTTCTGGTCTCCACCTTCTTTATCTGGATGGTACTTTACACTGAGCTGTCTGTAAGCTTTCTTCACCTCTCTAGTTGTAGCACCCTAGAACAGAATGTGAATGTACAGTAAAGAAATTTGCTGTAATTGAATTTTGGACATTTCTGGATTTAGAACTAAATCCCTTTTGTGAATTTTCTCTAAAACATAGGTAACGGTAAGTCAATCTACACTGATCACTTACCCTGTCAATGCCTAACTCAGCATAAGGGTCAAACTCTGTGAAGTCTAATTCCACCTGAGACACTCTATACAGCAGTAGTGCAAACCCTATCCACCCAATGATAAATGCTACTTTTCTGAAAAATACAAATAGAGGCATCTTTCAATTTTTTAATACCTCATTTCATGCATCAAGTCTAATGTTGGATTACAGTCTTCCTCCATGACTCCCATCAGAAAATATTTTGATTGCGATAGAAACATTTCAGGCAATGTTTGGTCATATATATCCCACAACATGTGCAATTGGAATGATTTTGGTACCCCCCAAAATGATGTGGGAATCATGGGAGGTTTTCGACTTAATTACAGAGTTGTTCTATTTTATAGTGTGAATGTATTTTACACAATACAATTGCATATTTAAGATAGGCAATGACCATGGGCAGTTGATGAGTTCTGACTAGGCAATGATCTTCCCAGCATAAAGCAAGTGGGCACAGCACCCATCTGGGAATCCTTTAGCACTCACTTAAAATTGAGAAAATCCTGAAAAATGGGCAAACTTTGACCAATTTTGGTCTGAATTGTGAAAATGAGAATCCTGTAGAGCCCTGTTAGGGTTGAAAAAATGTTAATCGGAACTCGGAAGTTTAAGCAAGATACTGTCTTCATATATTTCACTTTCTTGTATAATAAACCCTCCTCTATTAAACTGCAGTTCTTGATATAAATTTTTAATTTCTCATACATTACACTCGATTTTACAGAATAAAGGGGGGGGGGTATAACCCTTTATACATTAACTCCAAATACAATTCACCCTTCATTTTCTTAAAACACTAGCAGAGAACAGGGAGATGGGTCAGAACCACTTCATGCAAAATATTTTCATCATACATACATCATACCAGTAAAAGTTCAATATATTAAATATGTGTAATAACTGAATGTTACTTGACTTGCACATATATATTTCTGGATTACATGTACCTGTTATACATGTTACATGCAATAATGGAACTAGCAGCTGGCTTATTAAATTACTCTACATAAAAGGTGTAGTATTACATTGATAACATAATGATACATGTTATTAGATAGACAAATACTTATACTGTAAATATGTACATCATTTGGTTTTATAGCATAGGGAAGTTAAAATTGTTGAACTTGTTTTGAATATTTTAAATTCTAAAAAACAAAGTTTAAGAGAGGAAATTATAGCATGTTTACCTTCATCAGGTCCATTCCAATCTAATTACATTTTTCATTTTATTACAGTTTTTAAACCTTTTTAAGTAATTCCATATTTCAATATGCAAAGAGAAAAGGCTAGCAATTCAACAAGGAAGGTGATATGTCAACGCATCATTCCAAGGGTCAAACTGACCCCCAAAATGTTTGAACTGAGTTTTTATCTAAACATTGCTTGAAATTTGTTAGAAAGAATGAGGGGGATTAAGGGGAAAAGTAACAGAAATTCCTAAAATAAAACTCATTTACAAATAGAATGTATGATTCGTCATTGTATTTGATACTCTTGGTCTCCTGTGTGATACTATTAGTGTATATATTCAGTGGAAGAAAACTTCAATTTTTTTGAACTACATGATAGACATTATTTTATCAAAATAATGGCACTTAACCGGGGAAATTCATTCATGATTCACATTATCTATTGCACAAACACATCAGCTAGTAGGTCTATTGTTGTAGTTATTGAAATCCTCATTACTCCTCTTGGAGATGTACACAAATATCGTGTTAATCTGAGTTACCTTGGCAACTAGATATTAAATAGTTACATGAACACACATTTTGTAAATTGTTTAATCATTAATTAGTAATTTTGGGAGGCAGAGGCTAGAGCAAGCCTCCCTCATGGGCGAAAATTCTTTCAAACTCATGCAGTTGTAAGCACTTTTCAAGTGATTTTGGGCTGAAATTGGCACATTAGATCCTCCCCAAGATTTTTTTAAAACTGAACTCCCTCTTTAGTAAACTTGAAAAGAAACAAGTCATTACGACAGGTAGTAGTAGTTTTGTACTCACAATGCCCTCTTTTTAAATTTTTGCCATGGTTTGCCCTCTTTTAGTCTCTGATTCTTTAATAGACACCCTTCGCATCTACACTGTTTCTTGGTTTTCTCTGGATCCTCTGAAAATCAAAAGTAATATGTGAAATAAAATTTAAAAGTATCTTATATATCATAGATTCAAACATGTAATTCATATATCAAAGCTTCAAACATGTGTAACTTCAAACATGTAAATACATTAAAGAACAGTAACTCAGCTTGTGGAACTATGCTTATATTGGTAATATAAATAGACTAAATTGCTATATATTGCCAGTTGTGTATTGTGTAATATGTATATGGCAAATAAATCACCATTTAATTTCATTTGGGGTAACTTTGATGTATGGGGTAACTTTGACACCTTGTTGTTTATTTCCTCTAATTTCCGATCTAGGGGGAAGCCATATTTTTCTTCTCGCATGGATTGGAATCTCACAAGCTTCCTTTTTTTAATTCATACATGGCTGAAAACAGGAATTCTAATTTCTAACAAGTAAGTCAAAGTTACCCCATTTCTCATCTTGACATTGCCTAACATGTCAACCTTACACACCTTTGCAGGCCATCCAACTAGCAGCAATTTACTTATTTGTCACGCATTTGCTGAAGATATTGAAGTCATGCCCATTTTTGCGTGACAGAATATGTCACCCAAATAGGCATTTTTTGATAATTGTCAATCGAAACTATTTCAGGGGATTTCCACATGAAGTGCCTACTTATCACGCATTTGCTTCCATTTTAGATGTTCCCAGGTTGACAGGCCTGCATTTGCCCTACACATCAATCCCTTCCTGATCTTTACATTTGTACATGGGCTTTCAAGAGAAAGCTCATGATTTATAAGATTGTAAGATGATAACGGTTTATAAGCATATTTAGCCTGTTTAACCGATCAATGATGTATAAAATGATAGTCCACAGTATTTACTCACTTCGAGAGCCATGTTAGATTTTGAAACTTATGGCTCTCAAACGGGGAAATGGACAGCTGAATAATAGTGACCTTTTAAACACGAATTAAGTCGATCAGCTGCCTACTTTTGTTCTCTCACTATGTTATACATCATTATCATCCTTCCCCTGCAAGTATTGGAGCGCTGAAGTACTTCCTTTTCGATCAAGACTTGTAATTGTTAGTCGAATGACGTTTTTACTGCCAAATTCCAATATGGTGTTTTCTGCACGGACATTTCCGTGAATTTCCGGAGGTTGTTCGAACCTAATCATTCTCAAAATTCATTTAGTTCGTTGCGTATCTCGCTCCTAGCAAACCGCCATATTGGAAATGGGTCAAAAAAACATTCACTCGATGAACAATTTACAAGTCTTGATCGAAAAAGAAGTATTTCAGCGCTCCTGCACGGATTGATGATACTGATGTAAGACACAGTTAGAGACCAAAAGTAAGCCGCTGAAATCTTTGCTCATATTTAAAGGTCACTATTACTCAGGTGCCCAAGTGCGCCGTGGGAAAGCTATTGTATCAAAATCCACATAGCTTTCGCAGGAAGTAACACTGTACGACTATCATTTTGTAGCATGAAATTTTGAATCGGAGTTGAAAAGTAGACAATTTACCTCAAAATGAGTAATCATGTAATACAAAAATCACAATTATCAGAAACGTGTTTCAAGTGTCATAATGTGAAGACAGGGACATAATATCGACTATTTGCACAACATATGTCTTGTGTTCGATTTTGAAAGAAAAAAATAAAAACGCTGACTTCCGGCAACTTTAGATTGATATTTCAGACGTCTACAGTGAAAGAATCATCACAAATATTTACCTTTAGCTTCTTCGTATGGCCATAAATAGTATGTACAAGGGATCAGGACTAAAGCATAAAATGAGAGGAGGAAATAGTAAAAAGTCCCCCCTCTCTCATCGTATTCGAATTCCATGCCAGCCATTTTCTACGTCATCAACGTAATCCGGCCCTGTGTAATTTTGTAAAAATGGAAAAATTCACAAACAAGTCGTATTATCAAGTTTCTTGAGGTAAATATGTAAATTTAAGTAATGAATTCCACCTCAGGCCTATAACACATATAAATGTGAAATATTTTACAAACAAAATACGACATAACTGCTCTAAAAGATGTGTAAATCGAATAAAACGGAAACTTCCGGTTTTAAAATCTGGCGGTTCCTTCAAAAGTTCGTAAAATTGTCTCGATATTTATTACTTTACTGTTTAGCCATTAACAATAACAGTTAGATAATTATTTTCATGGGTTATCGGTTATCAATGACCGAAGGGCTCCTCTGAGGAGCTGTAGAGTAACAAGTCAGATGGACATGAAAGAGTGCTAAACCCGGGTGCTTGCGCAACGGTAACTGAAAGCATGGCAGGACCTTCTGATCCAAAGTCGAATGCTCTTCCACTGAGCCATAAAGTCTCACAGTGCCCACACTTGCATATGTTATTTTACCAAAAATAAATGAAAAGGTCAATATTTTTATTTTAGCAATGGTAGTGGAAATGGACCCTACAAGGATTGGACATGTAGATAAAGAGTCTAAATGGCAAATACTGAAAGGTAGATTAGTAGTTAGTACTTCATATTTCAACCAAAATACAATTTGTTGTTTAAATGACTCAATTGTCAATCACTTGACATAACATCTCTTAAAACTTTATGTAAGAAGGTACAATATGATGTTACAGCTATTTTACTTTTGTATAGCCTACCAATAATTTATTCCAGGACTTCCACTTCACCATGACCACCTTGCTTTAGAGATAGAAGTGATTTGCAAACTCATCTATTCCAGTATGGTAGAACATAACAATGAAAGCCTTGAAGATGTCATTCAGAAACTCATATTTACACTGAATAGAGGTAAAGAGGTTAATTTTACAGGTTGGGCCATAAAACATGTAACACTCCTATATCTGCTCTTGTCAATAGAAAATACATTATTGTCCAATTTTATTGGTCCAGCCTGTATATGCATGTATAGAACACCACTCTCAGAACACCTGATAAGAAAATAAATACACTGAGGAATTTTCATAGCTTTTCACATTATTATACCATTTGAAAAAGATTCAAGTGTCGTAAAATATTGACTTACCAGATATTTGCCCCATTGCTATTTGCACTTGAGAAAATGTTAGAAATGGAATAAAATACAATGAATTTTTATACTTCAGTCAAAGGAAGAAGCCTTCCAGTTCAGCAGCTGCATGGAGGTACATGTATAGAGCAAACACTGAATGAAGTTACAACACTGTTGATCACTCTCCTTGCAGATATACAATCTCAAGGTATAGTCTTTTCCAATGAATTTCAATAAGTAAGTAGTCATGCATCAAGTCTCTGTAATGTAAACCCATGGTAAGCCCATCCCCCAGAGTCATAATAAGTGTGGGGGGGATGTGTAAAGGTTTGATGAGATCTCATTTGAAATCATATCAAATTTCATAGAATGAAGCTTCAAATTAAAGTAAATAATTTGGCATTGTTTTTGAGATTTCTTGGTCAACAAACCAAATTGCTATTTATATTAGTTACCTACATTGTGAAGCTTAATGTGCATATACTACACATGTATACCCTTTAACATTGTATATTTTCAGTCACATTTTAAGGAGTTACATATCCACTTTCATGGCCAAGAATTTTAAAATCTTTTTCTTGGTGTAAATTTTCATGTAAAGCAGCAATTGCTGTATAAAGAAACAATGTATTGTTTTATAGAGATGTTGAAGAGACTGGTGAAAGTTGGTTTGATATTCGTGGTGGTACAGGGGAAGCAGAAATTCCATACAGATCCTCTGTTGTTAAAAATGCTCTTCAAAACTGCATGTGCTATAGTAAAGGTATGTTTTGATATCAATAAACATTAGTACATGTAATAAATAATGTTATTGTAACAACAATGATTATCCTCAAAGCTTTCCAGGAAAAGAGAAAGTACAATTGCAAGTGTTAGGCAACAACTGCAGCTTCTCTCTGGTTAACAAGTTTAACAATTCATGCACTTTTGGAAGATTTTTGAACTTTTTGTCATTAAGTCAAAATACACTTAGACTTAGCTTGTATTGGTGAATGTAGCTTTTGGCTGTCAGCCTACTATTTTATAAAAACTCATTTAGATATGAATAGCACAGTAGCAGGTTCTATTGATGGTTATTACTTATATATGAGTTGCCTATGAAATAGAAGGTTAATCCGGGAGCCAACATCCAAAAGTTACTTTTGCGAATACAAGCTAACTCTGTGTTGGGGAAATTACCTCGGACACCTCCCGTCATCTCACAAGGCAAACCATCCAATGTGGTAATGCACAACACTTAATCAATTCGATGCTGTATATTTCAGAGTGGATCAAAAAATGATGAGCTAGTGAATGATAATCCAAAGGAGGTCCTACTTATTGTATGTAACAGCCAGAACATACAAAGTGACTCTGATGTCAGAGATGTAATCTGTTTGTTATATGGGAGTTATTTAATGAGCAACCCTACCCTGAGAGATCCCATTCTAGGTGATACCACCCTCTCTGGTATTATAGAGGTTTTAGATGTCATTAGCACTGAGACTCTGCTGCCACTAGCCAAGTATTTTAAAGGTAAAACTTTTTTTCAAAATTTTTCCACGAGTTGCTGATAATCTTTGTACTTGATGTAGGTTTGATAACATGAATTAATGAACAGTTGTCATCAGAGTTAAAAATGGACCCCATACTTGATTAATTTCTGCATTAATTTTCTCAATTGTTTACTTATTCATCTTAAACTGACAAATACTTGGAATTAAATGCCACCAACCACTCAGGTTAGTTACAAAAAGGGAAAACTCAAGTTCTCCTTTTTGCACAATCAGTTTTTTCTGTCCAAATCACCCAACTGCTACATAGGTTTAGACTGTAATAAAGGTAACTTAGCTTGGGGATATCATATAAAATTACAAAAACAAAACTTTTATAAATATATGATGAATATATTTTATAAGCTTCTAATAATTTAATATGTATACATGTAGATATTTTTCTCGATGGGAAGACATTTACAAATTATACAATTGTTTAGTAATTTTGATTTTTCATAGTAGTATTAATAGTTTTTACTTTTTAAGACACGTTATCTGATATACATTTCTCCTTTAAATTATATATCTCATTTTCAGGTTTATAAATTATAAATGAGTCAGTCAAATTTTTGCAGAGAGTGAAAGCAATATTAATCCTGGCCAATGATTTCTGGTACTTTTTAAGTTATAGAAACTTTAATATTTAAGGATAAGGGTCCAAAGATCAGTTTATGTGTTTTTGCAATGGATAGCTCCATAATGATGAGAGAGGGATTAAATAATACCAAAAATGGCCATAGACATTAATGATAAATTATCTTTAGCAACATATAAAAAGAAAAAACTGCCCCATGTACCCTTATTCCTCTATACAGTATTTATGCTGTATCTTAAAAAAATACAAATAAAACATTTACAATAGGTGGACAGTAGTTAACCATGGACAATGCCTTCAGTCTCTGATCATTTTAACCCTTGTATGTATCAACCATAATTACTTTCCATATACCACTCTGTTCAAGTTATAGTTTCACTCAGAAAATATGTACTGCACTCCAAACTTCATATTGCACTCATATTGCACTGAGTGTCTGTATGGAACGATCATGAGTGAATTATAACTAAAATATGTAATGCCTATGAATATTCTGTTGCAATGATTTTATGTTTATATATGCAACAATGTGGTCCATTTCTGCATGTACATTTATAATATACACTATATAAACCACACAATTCCTTTAATACAATTCATTTTTTTCTGAATAAAAATAATTTAATGCAAAAATACACACATCCATGATACTGCACGTCTTCCAGGAACTATAGATCTATTCTTGAATAATAAATATACAATAAATCTTTGCCAAATTTGGGACTAGCTACCTTATCACTATATAAGGTCATAATTTAGTCGCTACAGGCCCCTGTGACCCCCTTTCACAAATTGACTACACAGGTTTGAAACCTTCTCACACAGGGAGGTGTGAAGTGGGGGATCCCAACAGCTTGTACCGAGACTAGTCATAATTCTAAGCATTCTATTTCCAGCACTATGTAATATTATGCATAGCGATATATCAAATGCAATGCGCCAACTTGAGCATGTACTAAAATCAAACATGACCAGAGTGAAGTTACAAGCATTTTCTTATAATGCCCTAGGGGTCTGCTTTCATCTCCAGGTAAATACAATAACATTTGTTTATTTTAAAAGAGATTCTATGAAGGGTATTCTCAAAAGCCTCTTAACAATTTTTGAAAATGTGAAAAGTACCCTGGACAGGTTGAATGAATCATATTATTTAACTGCCATATTCTCTCTAATGAGCGCATGATGCGGTTCCAAAAGTAATGCATTAAACTTTGTGTTTTCTTGAGACCATATTCAACATGAAAGTTGCATGTGCCTTCATTGGAACTGTGCACTCATTAGAGAGAACACAGTAAATACAGTGTTGCTTGTACTATCTACAAATGCTTTTTCACGTCCATTACCCAATTTTCATTTGTCACTATTTTGGCATTGACACATGGCAGTGATTAATACTGACATATGTGAACTATTTAAGTCAAACCTGACTTATTTACATCTACATGTATCACAGTAATAAATGTTTGATTATAAATCTATATTCAGTCACATGTACATAATAGTAACACATTGACATATAACAATAAACCTCTGCTGTTTCAGGAAGTGGGGAAATATTTAATAATTTAATCATATTAAATTATAAAATATGCTGGGATTTGATACATCCTTAACAAAACTAACAAAGACTGCACTAAATATTTACACTTGTATGTATATAACTAGCTGTTTGTGTAAATAATTTGTTGAAAAAATAATTAGTGCATTTTTAGCAAAATTAAAACACCTTATTACTGCTTTAAAATTGATTTTCTTAAGAGATCACCCTAAACCTCTTTTGTCAAACCTTTTTCTTAACTTTTGAGATTTTTTGTGATTTCTTTCATTCTGACAAGTTTTAACATTTTAGAGTAAATTTTAAAAACTGGCCAATAGGTCATTTTTACAAAAAGTTCTTTTGTTAATGAATGCTTTCAAAACTTTTCTAGAAAAATAAAAGTGGTGACATGCTAAAACTATAATAAAATAAATAACAATAAGCTCACAAATGAGATGCTAAGCACCATTATTAAAATACAGTGACTTAATAGAGCCAAAAATACCTCTACCACCATAATATATATATACTATTTGAACTACTTAAAACTACATTCACTTTGGAAAAATACAAAGTGAGATGTGATCTCCATGGGGTCAAGTGTTGAAAAACTTTTCTCCAAAATGGAGCCACCACCAATTTTATAGAATTCCCGCATGGACTCCAATAAAATTGATATGAGAATTGTCTCAGACCAATGTCAGTCTATAGTAAATTATTGACAGAAGGACAGATGGATAAGTTAACAGACATACAGATGAGTGAATGATAACACAGGGTCGCTGTGTGAGTCAAAAAGTACCTCTACCACCATTATATACATATATTACACTGTTACACTTCTCAAAACTACATTTATTTCAAAAAAATGCAAAGTGAGATCTTATGTCACTGTGGCTGATAACCTGATGGTACCAGTATTTGTGAATATTCTTTTTTGAGTATAAGTTATATATTTGCCACAGAGTCAATACTTTCTATTTGTGGTGTACATGGTGTAACTCAGCCAAAATTGACAAATCAAAAGCTGACTCGGAGTATTGAACTCGATGTACAGTAGATGTTTCATCTATTGTACTCCATGACACCAATGGCCTTTTAACATTTCTAAAGCCTTTGATTTTAACTAATGCATTTAGATGCATAGTAATGGAGTATCCCTTTAAGAAGAATCGTCAGATGGGTCTGTTTCCAAAACACAATCGCCATTCTCTTCAGCTGTATCGGTGTTATTGCTATACACACTTGTGCTATTATCTGTCATACTAACATTGTTTTTACAATCTAAAAAGATGTTACCACCAAAATTTCCAAAGAAGAAATTATAGTTCATTTTCTTGTGTCCTTGTCTGGTCGACTCATCACGTATTAACTCTTGCTTCAGTTCCTCAATGGTCTGAGTCTGCACCCCTCTTCCTTGCATGCATTTCTTGCCTGCAATTAAAGTAAATAAACTATTAATTTTGGTCCTTTATTTCTGTTCATGGGATATAGTGAAGCCCTCTGTCAGTCTGTCCGTCCATCAGTCAGTCAGTTTTAAGTTTGGTCGTTTATATCTGTTCATGGGATATAGTGAAGCCCTCCATCAGTCTGTCCGTCCATCAGTCAGTCAGTATTAATTTTGGTCGTTTATATCTGTTCATGGGATATAGTGAAGCCCTCCATCAGTCTGTCCGTCCATCAGTCAGTCAGTATTAATTTTGGTCATTTATATCTGTTCATGGGTTATAGTGAAGCCCTCCATTAGTCTGTCTGTCCATCAGTCCGTCTGTCTGTCTGTCTGGAAAATAAACACCAGTGGATGGATTTTCTTCATGGCAGACAGACACAGGAACCTGTCGTTGAAGGAGCCCTTTTTTATGTGCTCCAATACATAGATGTACAAGTACACACCACAGCCTTTTGTACTAGTCATGAACAACTCAGTCAAACCTCCCTAAGTTCTTTACGCAACAAGCAAATTAATCTTGCCTGAACCAAGAATGGAATCTGGGACCTTATGCGTAATTATAGTAATCTACCATATCTGCTGAAATATGGAATGTATACTTGGGTTGATTGTAAAATTACAAAAAAGGTAGGATAAAGAATATGAAAAAGTCGTTTGATCTTGTCCCAGAAGCAATATTTTGTTATTTTTATAGCCTAGAATTCTCCATAAGTAACTTCATATGTGAATGCTGTGAAAAAATAATCTTTGAATTAAAGAAAATTTGAGCTATGAACAACAAACATATAATGACATCAAAGGAGCTTCTTCAATCAATGTTGATATAATATTGAAATTGTATATTAAAAGTAAAATTAAAACTAAATGTTAACATAACAAACCGCATATTTCTTGGTTGATTATCTCCTCGACAATATCATAGTTTTTTAAACAATTTTCCAGATTTTTCCTTCAGAGTCTTTGTTCACATAATATATGTTTTTGAAACTCAAAACTGATCATAATCATAAGTAAAACATTTAAAAATCAAATCAATTGAATATCAAATATGAATTGATAATATAACATTAAATTACTCAATCATGCCAAAATCCACTATAGCTCAGCGGTAGAGCGTGTACCAATTATGCATAGGTCCAGGATTCAATCCCGGTTCAGGCACTTAGGGCCACGTCGTGTTAAAAGGCTGTGATGTGTACATGTATGCCTATGTGTGAGTGCGAGATGAGTTGTCCAGGGGATGAGTTGTCCAAGGGATTGGTTTTCCAGGGGATGAGTTGTCCAGGGGATGAGTTGTCCAAGGGATTGGTTTTCCAGGGGATGAGTTGTCCAGGGGATGCATTGTCCAACAAATGGGTTGTCCAACGGATGGGTTGTCCAGGGGATGAGTTGTCCAGGGGAAGAAATGTCTAGGGGATGAGTTGTCAGGTTACCCGTGGTAGATATTGTATTGTGACATATAAAGATTAATGAATATGAGTTTTTTTTGTTGGAATTTGCTTCTCCGTGGAATTTCCATTTTCTAGTTCAGATTGCTATCAGGTTATTTTATTGCTTATTTTTACAAAGAAATTCCTACCTTTTTTCTGAGAGCTTGGGGAAGATATAGGCTTTGGCATGGTTGGTTTCTCTCTGCTCTTCTTTGGGTGTTTAGCTTGTTTGGAACCAGCTGCCTCGTCTTCATCAGACACTGATTCTGTCACATACTGTTGGAAACTGGTCTTTAGAGGGATGTAACAGGATTCATCAGTGTTGAGCACTTGTGACCAGTGGACAGATTCAAGGGTATCAAATGGTGAAGTTCCCTGAGGAAATGTGAAAGCTACTCTGACAGATATGAGAAAGACCTCAATGGTGACAATATCGGCAAACAAAAAATTAATCTCATTTGGGGTAATTGTGAATGTGTATATGTAATAAACAATGATAAAAGCAACTGCTTTGAACTGCTGGACAAGTATAGTAGCTGGGGACCAGAAATCATAACTGAACCTAAATGCTTCCTTTCTAAAGTGAGGAAACAAAGCAAACTTGTATGGGAGAAAGCTACCATCGAATTTGTATCCAAATACAACAACAAGGAAGAAAACATTAGGAACTGTGCACCAAAACATGTCTTTGTATCCTTCAATGAGATCAGAAAACTGTTTCTCTAATTTAAAAGCAGGACTAAAAGCCTGGATAATGAATCTTAGAAGACTAATTGACACACAAACTTGTATAATTCCAAACAAAACCTGGATATAACTGACAAGTTTCACTGATGAATTCTCAGCAATGTTTTCATATTCTTGATAACCTTCTGAATATTCATTGGTGCTGATATGGCTCAGAGTGGAGTAATAGCACAGATAGTGAAGCATAACCAAATGACTGCTACTTATGAAATAAACATGGCCGAGTAAATAACTCCGGTATATTTCCTGAAACAACAAGTTGACGATGAATAAGGAAGCACCAACCAAGAAAACCTTCACGTGGAACTCTTGACATTGAGTCATTAACCCATACAGGACACAGACTAGGAACAAACTAAACAAAAAAGTGTTGATCATTCCCCGGGGGTCAAAGTACATACTCAACGCCTGATTTACAATGAATCCCCAAAATACAACTATACAAACAACTAAAATGACCACAGTTCGAACGAGGTATTCTTTTGAGACAACACCTTTATGACGCAACTGGTTTTCTTTTTTAGCAAGTGACCACATAGCCTTTTTAGTTAAATATATCCCATAACCCACAACAAAGATAATTGATGATTTCACAAACAGGAACTGGCACAAGGTTTCAAATGTCAATGGAGTTGTACCACCAGTTGCTTGAACGAGGATGGATGGATAATATGATGGTTCTAATGAGTTATCACTTGTCAAGCCCAGGAGCCAGATCCAGATCTGTGGAAGTCCCACAAAGTTCTCGATTAGTATTGACAAGAAGCGGTAAACACATGACCTTTTTGTTCCTGGATGCGGACAAGGCAGCAATTTTAGAATTCCCGAGAGTGTCAACAGACTACACAGGACAAATCTTCTGTTTATTTGAACCCATTCCACAATTGGAGAGATGGGGTATCTCCAGATTGGTTCCAGGAGGGTCCCATCCATATATGCATAGCTAATCCTGGAGAACTGATGCCTTTCTTGTCTCTTTATCCAGAAGCCTAGCACAAGGGCAGTGTAGAAATACACTATGGTTATCCCTCGTAATAATATATGCATATCTAAAGTTTAGCGGAAACTTTTATTTTCTAATAAGATTCTAGTTACTTTGGCAGATTCTTTGACAGTTTGTTGGCTTTGGTTCTATTCACAGTTTCCCTGTCTGAAAACAAATGAATATATTTTGAGTAAATATGAGTACAGTAAAGGTCAATCTGACCTTGTGGTTGAAGAAAACTGTGTAACTACAAAGAAAAAATGTTTACTCTTGTTGACATGTATACATACATACATTCGCCACATCAGAATACTGTATAAACAGAAATATATTAATATGAAAATTGCAATTGAATAATCCTAGGATGCAGAAATGAAACACAAAAAGTCTTGTTTTACTTCGGTTATAACTTTTAAGTAGTGGTTGTTTTCTTGTAAACTATTGCTTTCAATATACAAATACAGTATGTATATGTTGTTTTCAATTTACAAACATCATACTATTGTGCATACCATATATGCATTTATATATGTACTTACTTATAATATTTAGGCCAATTTAGGTTGTAATCTTTCACTGGTAGTGATGTAACTGCACCTAATAGTTGGCATGTTATTCTGAGAAGTGGGAATCCCCTTTTTGGATGCTTTTTTGTATGAGTCATAAAATATTTACACTCTACTATAACTAACCCCTAGAAATGCATAAGATACTCTGTTTGTCTAATTGTATTGCTTAGTATATTTTTGAAAGTACCTTATAAAATCTAACAGTCATCCGATAACCATTAATAAGGAACAGAAAAATAAAAACAAATAACATAATCATTAGCCAAATGGGCTGCTCATGAACACCAAATGCAAGATATAGTAGTGACTTAAGCGTTGCTACAGGGAATTCCCTGTGATGATGCTGAAATAACTACATTGTAAAGTGGTGCTTCCAAGGGGTCTTTCAAGATAAGGTTCAACAGCATCAAAACCATAAATTATTTGATAGCCTTCAAAATATTATGCATAAGAGCCTATCAATATAGTATAGTATAAGGCCCACCAATGATAAGCAATAATTTATTGGGTGTTTCATATTGATCTGGGATTTTTATGATAGTATACCTAGATGATAAACATGATTTCTCTAAATCTTAAAATCATAGATGCAATATAAGTTCACCACTGTTTTCTCAATGGAACACTGTATCTGAACAGAAAAAATCACAAAGATTACATCATATTTAAGAAAGGTATTTCAAAATTAGAGGGCATTGTTTCTGTGGCACCCTGTATATATACAATATTTGAGCTTTGTAGGAGTTCTTTTTCTCTTTCCAGGGTAAACATCACACAGCTATCCAGAAGTTCAAAGAAGCAATGCATTGTGATGGCTCTCTTTACATTGCTCTATTGAACCTCTCAGTGCAATACAGGTGCCTAGGCCTACAAGATCCTGAGCTAGAAATGCTGCATATACTCATTGGTGTAAGTGGTTTCCATATTCTTAACCAGGCCCGAGCCAGGATTTGCCAAGGGGGGGTTCACTTTTTGAAAAATTCCAGGGGGTTCACTTTTGACAATGTTGGTCCAAAAATGGCTAAAATCACTTAAAATGTGCTCAGAATGGAGAATGGTTAAAAACTGCATGATTTTGAAAGAATTTTTGGTTACGGGCCTGTTAACACAAGTGGTTTTGAGATGTTCATTGTTGTCATTGGTTTCTAGATATTCAGTGGTATAAGTAGTAAATAGATCAATGTAAGTAGTTTCTACATACTCATAAGTGTTAGTGGTGTCTAGGTATTCATCAGTATAAATAGTTTCATGATACTCACCAGTATACCTGATAAGTTTCCAATTCACTCATGGCTAGGCAAGGTGTGTCTGATTCCAGCCAATCCAAACAGAGTATTTCTGAGTGACAGCAGTGCATGAAATAATCAATAATGCATTTGTTGTGTATGGTTACTAAGGTGATGAGATGTTTTGGTGATGATGTTTTTACTTGACCCTTGCATAAAGTTTCATTGAAAATATGTTCTTTTATTGATTTTGTATCTTTTAGGTGATTTTATAGAAAATATTTTGTTAAAAGCAAAGATTTAGAAACAACACCTTCATGGTGTGATTAAGCAAACAATGCACTGAGTACAAGGCTTAAATCGTTTTATACTCATTACTGTAATTTGTTCCTAGATTATGCAGATAGTAAAATCAGTGGTTTATGTATACTCAGGACTGTGTTACTGAACTGTATGGTATTATAATGTTACGGTCACCACTGAAAATGGTGACATATAGCAATATAGTTGTAGTCTGCAACTTTTTTGTGAATGGAGTTTGGCAATCGATGTCTGTTACAAATTCTTATAATTTGCAATAACCACTTGCAGATGGTGACATTTGGTAGTGTTAATGCCTTGTAAATTATTTTATGCTTTCTTCTTATAAAGGGATTCCTGTTACTCTATGATCTCAATGAAGGGTATTTATAGATGTTTAATCTGATTGCCTCATTTTTAATCCAAACTATAGCTAATTCTTCACAAAAGTTTAGTGCAGCATCATTATTTTTATAAATAAATTTATTTTAGTTGTTGGAATCTGATACAGAGATGGCAAAATGGAACACAATGGACTGCCACACAAATAAAGCATTCATTGAACTAGATGATATCCTACTGGAAAGAGAGGAACTTAGCCCTACTGTAACCCTACCAGAGGTTCTGTACTACATGGCAAAACAATGCTTGCAGTTGCAAAAGTAAGTATATCAATTCATTCAAAAGTCGATTTATGTATATCATAATGGTTATAATTTGATTGAGATGTTTAACCATATTCCTCTAAAAGTATATTATTCAATATATTAAACCTCCACTGTCTCGCTTTGAGCACATGAATTTAATATGAATGCCTCCATTTTTCATGATCTTGCTGTTACTTTTTGAACGTGTCACCTGATAACTTGAAAGTCTACCTTCATAGTCTTACCAAGTGGCTATTGATGTAAGTCGTATGCATTATAATGACAATTTGCTATGATATTGAGAAGAAAGAAATCTTGACATAGTCACATATCTGTACTAGGTACAAGCATGCTGGAGAGCAGTATTTGAAGTTACTCAACCACCTTGTACACAACAAACAAGCCAAGGTAAATCAAATCTTCACCTTTGTATAGTGCCCAAAATTCCTACATTATACCACAATTTTCCAAATTTTGAACATAGTAGCCTACATTATATCCTTATTTTTCAAGTTTTCAAGCTCACATTATATTCCAATTTTTTGAGCTTTCATCTGTTTTTTATTTTGTGTAAGTAACCCAAATCATTGCTGCGTGAAATCAAAATGACTGTAGAATGTATGAGGGATTTTGTTGGAACATGCTAGATATCCTTTGCCCTTGTGAAAAATGTATTCAGACCTAAAACTACACTGGACATACAAAGAACAAATAAATCGGATACTGATGTGAAATATAATGAGCCATAACCCTATTAACACTAAACAATTTATTATTTCAGAATGATGACAAACCAAGCGCCATCTATATTCCAAGTATACATAGACTTTTCCATGAGACTGCTCACTCCCTCCTTCTTGCTAAAGACTATGAGAGCTGCATCATGATATGCAGGCAAGCTATTAGCAAATACACACCTCAGCGCCAAAATAAATCTCATACAAGCAACAGATCAGAACATACGAAAATAACTCAAAGTGCAGGAATTGATATACCATGTGAAAGTCAGAATCTAGTCAACTGTGATAAACCAATGAAAAACAATTCAAATGTTAATAAATCTGACATCTCCAGAAAACGTTTACATTCTAATTCAGTAGGAGAAAATGCGAATCTCATTGATGATGAGAATGATTCTGAACTACACCCAGGGATACCAGCTCATATATTGGCACTAGTGAGTCATGAAAAGGATAATGATACAGATGTCAAGTTTAGTCATTTGAAGGATGATGTCATCTCTTTGATGTATCTGACTGAGGCTCTTGTTCAACAAGGGAGCTTTGAATCTGCATTGGAAGCTATATCAAGGTAAGACTATTTATCATTTCTGATTTTGTTAGAGTTTGTGAATTATTTTTTGTGACTGGCATTTTGATGTCACCATCAAGAAGTGGTGACATATTGTTAAAGTCTCCAACTTTTTTGTGGATGGTGTTCGCCATCTGTAAAAAGGTGTCTGTATCAAATGGCAAGTGGTGACATTTTGCATGTTGATGCCTTGTTATTTTGTGTCACCATTTGGCAGTTTTCAGGTTGTACAAGCAACTGACAGTGTCTCTTTAAGGTGGTATACGGGGCATATAAAAAAACGCAACATGTAGTTATCTCGTTAAATCACAAATCTAGTGATGACTACATCAATTTCATTCCATAAAGCCACGTCTCTCCCCTTTGCAATGATATATCATTTATTCACGTCATGTGGTAATGGTTGGGTAAGAAATCCTTCCATTTGCACAGTGGGTCAAAATCGGCTCTGGGCCAAGTTTTAGATATTGCAAAAATCAATACAAGGGCTAAGTCCCAATGGAAACTCCCCTGACTTGATTTGTTGTGACTTTTACTTTTGAAGCTATCTCAGGAGCATCTGTGCTCACAAATCCTACACCAGATATTGCAAAACCTCGAGAAAGAATTGCCCATGGGCTGCTTTTCTCTGCCTTAACCCACAGATGACTCAGGGCTGAACCATGCATGACATGGACAGATGAGCACATCCTTATGTGCAAGGAAGTGGTGGCAATTTGGAGGGGTTATAGGATGTATTCTTGCAAGTATTCTTGAGTATGAACTATTTACTGTCTATGCCACACCTGTCACACCTTCTTCCAATAGCCCCCATGCCCCTTGTACTGACTTTTGCAATGTTTAAAACTTGGGTCCGAGCTGAATTTTGCCCCACTTTGCAAAATTAATGATTATTCCGCCAGCCATGACTCCCTGTGAATGAATGATATTCCATTGCAAAGAGGAGTAATTTGGCTTTTTGGTACATTGAATGAAAAGGATGCAGTCAGCATTGTTTTATGTTTTCTTCCAATATTGCATCGGGCTCCGCACACTGACTTTTGCGATGTTTATAACTTGGCCCCAAGCTAATTTTGGCCCACTTTGCAAATGGAATGATACTCACCCAACCATGACCAAATATCAATGAATGATATATCATTGTAAAGAGGAGACACATGGCTTTATGGTGCATTGAATGAAATCAATGCTGTTATCACTGGTTTTGTGCTTTTCCGAGATGACAATCTGTTGCGTTTTTTTTTGATACGCACTGTACACCTACAAAATTGAAAATAAACACATAACATAATAATGTTTCAAGTTTAATGTTAGAAATGGTTTTGATCCCATCTGTTTGGGTGTAAGAAGGGTGGGGATTAAATGTTGCATTATTAAATGTATTATCTTCAAAGCCAGACAATATTTTTTTATTTTGCAAACTGGAAATCTGTTTCTGCTTTTCAAAATTATCATTTAATACTATGTTATAGCCTATAGCAAACTTTTTGAGTGTATAACTTTTTAAATCTTTCATTTTCAGTGTTCTTTCCACTATTGAAGATATCAAAGGATCTGGTGAAACCCATAAACAATATGGTAAAAGAAAGAAAGAGGAGCAAGGTAAAACAATGGTTTACATCATGCTGAACATGTTTCTATTCCATTATTTGATTTTTTTAAATGCAAAAATTGTCCTTCGACTACGGGACTTCAAGATCCAGAATACCTTCAAAGAATGAGTTCCGTAGCCTTGTATTTGGAAAATGGCAAAATTGGAAGTTTTAGCATGCATGCGTATGATTGATTTTGAAATGAAATGTATGTACTATATACATTTTCAGTGAAATTTTCAAATACAGTAAAAACTACTAAAAAGGCATAACATTCTTTAATTAAGTGGCATTTTCTCTGGACTTATTGATTTGCATCGCCTGTTAACTGTAAAATGCAATTTTTAATTCCATTTTAGATGCAGACAGCTCCAAGATATTCGCTCAACCCTACTACGCATCTACTATACAGTCACTTAAGGGCCATGCATATTTTCTGAAGGGGATAACTCTCTTTAAACTCTCCAAACATCAGGACTCTTTACATTTCTTCATGATGTCATCTCTCTTCTCACCAGGTAAGTTGATCAGATCACCCTCTCACTCCTTTTATTATGGCACAACCAGAAGTGGTTACATATTATTTTAGTCTCCAACTTTTTGTGGATGATATATTTGGCAGTTAGTGTTTGGTGGTAAGTGTTCCTAACAAATGGCAGGTGATGACATTTTGCATGTTAATGCCTTGTTCCACATCTCAGTTTTCATAAGCATTAAAAGGCTCAAATATGTGTGTCCATGAGTCATGGAATTCAAGGATGTCATCAGCAGCAGCCTATTGGCGATTTTCCTATGGATATTCCTACCAAAATCCCCACTTGTTTCGAGGAGTTATGCAACTATTTCCACATTAAAATTTTGATTTCCATAATTTTGCCTGCTGTTTTCATTCATTTTGCCTGTTATCAGAAATGCTAATGAAACTGCTGGAATTGCTTCAATAAACATTTGATCTCCACAAACGTTGGCAGTTAAATCAGTTTGTTAAACAGTAAAGGATACAGATCTTGTGATGATTCCTTTATCCTGACCTAATCCAAACACTAAAGACATTGCAGTATAATATTCACATACAGTAAAAACTGTAAAGAACACTTCTCAGAGACCCAAGACCAACTGACTTGATGTTTAATGAACCTCTATAAGTGGAACACCTCCCTAGGGGAACACTTTTAAGAGGTACCAAATGTGTTCCACTTAGACAGATTTAACTGTATCTAATTTTTAACTTTTCCAGATCCTGTAAGAATGTATGCCACATATCACCACAGTGTATGCTTGGCTGCTTTAGGGAAACCCAGGGTAGGCTATACCAACTGGCGAGATATAAGAGGCCTTAACAACCACAATGTCTATCAGATACAAGAATTAAAGGCTAAACTGAGGTATGAAGATGAACATTAAATATGTGTATTGTAAAGAAAATCACATTTTTCTGAAGTAAGGCTATCACTTATCAGTAAATGTAAAATAAAGTGATTTAAAATCATTTTGTCTGAAATGCTAATGACAAAATGTTTCAATTTTTGTTATCATTGTGAAGTTTATTCGTATTGGACTTAACTGGATAAAATTGAAGATAATATAATTTTTCATGAGTTATGTACCATTATTTTTGCAGCAGGTGCTCAAAGTCCGACCAATCAGGATTGAGTAGAGTAGGCTACTGTACAGAGCTGGAAATGCTACAATTAGATGTTGATGCATTAACAAAGTAACAATGTAATAGACTAACAAAGACACTAGTGAATTTGAGGAAGTAACAGATGAATAACAGAATATGTAAAGACACTTTCATAATCACTTGGAAAGAATCTTGACTTTGTACTGTTCTACCTTGGATAGTAAGGCCTGTGTTAGTTCTTAACAGTGTTGGGACTTCAGAAATAGAGAGGTTGGATAATGTTTCTGTACTCTTATGATGTTCATCACTCCAATGTATTTCAATGTTAAATGCAATTTCACTGTTTGACATTTTTTGTGTTGAATAAAATCACTTATTACACCAATGAATCTCCATGTTAAATTCAAAGTCATTGTTTCTCACACCAATGTATTTCAGTGTTAATTTTAATGTAGTATTTCAGTTTTAAATACAATGCCATTGTTTCTCACCAATATATTTCAGTGTTAAACATAATGTCACTGTTTCGCACCAATGTATTTCAGTGATAAATTCAATTTAGTATTTGTTTCTCACATCAATGTATTTCCGTGTCAAATACAATGTCACTGTTCTCACACTAATGTGATTTCAGTGTTAAATTCAAGGTCATTTTTTCTCACACCAAAGTATTTCAGTGTTAATTTCAAGGTCATTGTTTCTCACACCATATATTTCAGTGTTAATTTCAAGGTCATTTTTTCTCACACCAATGTATTTCAGTGTTAATTTCAAGGTCATTGTTTCTTACACCATATATTTCAGTGTTAAATTCAAGTTCACTGTTTCTCACACCAATGTATGTCAGTGTTAAATTCAATGTAGTATTTCAGTATTAAATACAATGCCATTGTTTCTCACATCAATGTATTTCAGTGTTAAATACAATTTCACTGTTTCTCACACCAATGTATTTCAGTGTTAAATTCAATTTAGTACTTCAGTGTTAAATTCAAGGTCACTGTTTCTCACACCAATGTATTTAAGTGTTAAATTCAATGTAGTATTTCTGTGTTAAATACAATGTCAATGTTTCTCACTCTAATGTATTTCAGTGTTAAATACAATTTCACTGTTTTTCACAGCAACATATTTCAGTGTTAAATTCAAGGTCACTGTTTCTCACAGCAATGTATTTAAGTGTTAAATTCAATGTCACTGTTTCTCACAGCAATGTATTTCAGTGTTAAATTCAATGTCACTGTTTCTCACACCAATGTATTTAAGTGTTAAATTCAATGTAGTATTTCTGTGTTAAATACAATGTCAATGTTTCTCACTCTAATGTATTTCAGTGTTAAATTCAATGTAGTATTTCAGTATTAATACAAAGTCATTGTTTCTCACACCAATGTATTTCAGTGTTAAATACAATATCAACAATGTCTCTGTTCTTTGCCTCTGGATGATTGCTGATCATTTCTCTGATTGTTCTTTCCACATTTTCCTGTTCTGATTGTTCCAGCTTTGATATATAACTTAGTGATTTCAGGTAGCTCATGATGAAATCTATTGTCCCCTGCAAAACAAGAATCATACCTTTACATAGCTTTATTTATACTTAACATTGATGTTGAACATCTTCCTAATATTTGAAACTATGAGATGAATGTCCAATGCCTCAGGGTAATGGCATGAGGTCCACTGAATATCAGCATTTGCATAGACAGACTTATTTGATAAAATTCAATAGTTTACCTAAATCTTGAGCAAAAAATATTTAAAAATGTGCATCGCCTTTAGCAAAGAGAGTCCAATAGAATTCTTCATAAAATACTTTCACAAAAAAGTACTCACAGAGTGTTTCAAATGTTGAAGAAACACATGATCTTCTACAGAGGAAAAACCATGAAAATCCTCAAACACTCCCGCCCAAGCCTTCTTGGATTGATTAGGTGAATCCTTTATTAACGAGTCCTCTATATACTTTGCAATATCGCAAGTGATATCACTGGGTCGAGTTTTATCACGAACATTCCACAGAAAAACTGAAATTAGAGTAAAATATGTTGTAAAACCTTAATTATCCCATCGAACGAAGTTCGCTCCGTCCGTTCGTCCGTCTGGGCAATAACTCAAATACCGTTGGCCCGATTTTGTTAATATTTTGTACACATATACTCTATGGGGGCAGGGTTCACATTTGGTCTGTGAATACTATAAGCATGGTACACTGTCTAATGACTCTTTTGGTAGAAGGCAACCATTTTGAAAAATGGTCACCATTTTAACGTATTTTATTATATCTCGAAAAGTAGTGGAGCGATTTTGTTCATATTTGGTATGTGAATACTATAAGCATGGCACACTGTCTAATGACACTTTTGGGAGAAGGTGGCCATTTTGAAAAATGGCTGCTATTTTTGCTATATACTTTGAAGTGCCAGCCATGGCTGTACGATGGGATTTGCTATGCTTTGGTGTTGCTGTTGTCTAGTTGATCCTAAGCTTATTTGAAAATAATTTTGAAAAAGTGTTAGTATTATGTAGGCCCCTTTTTCAATTGATTTAGACATTTCTGTATCCTAAAACTTTCACAGGTAACAGGATAGGTTCAACTGACTTGTTGAACTTTATAAGATATATTACCTAATCTTCCACGTGGAACCAATACTCTGTGCATTTCTCTAATTGCCTTTTTGTTTGAAAACCAATGTAAACTTTGGGCGCATATTATATTCTGAAATAAAAATGAAATGTGGAATGAATTAATTTCCAGTAAAGCTATAGCCTAATATGAATCATTTGAATCATTGTAAAATGTAACTTACCTTGACTGAGCAGTCGGGCAATGGAATAGACTCTGCAGAACACTGTAAAGTTTCTACATCTGGGGACAGCAGCTTCAATTTCTCTAGGAAATTCTCCAGTGGGTCTGCAGCAAGGATTCTTAAATCCTGAAAATAGTGAAAGAATGCTTCATTATTTTGTGAAGTATCTATAATCTAAAAACCTGATTTTGATTGGCCAAAGATCAGTCAATAGTTTGTCCATTATCATGTAACCATCCAATGCTGTTTAGATTCCCCAAATATGTTGTGGTCAGACATAAACTCGCAAAATGTTACATCAAAAAACTTGTTTTTAAAGAGTATGCTGTATTTACCTTTGTGTCATATTCCAGCAGCTTTCTAGTAAATATCCCTGTACCTGCACCTAGTTCCAGAATATCATATGCCCCTAAAATGTAGAACATTTATAGAAAACAGGCTGTTAAAAATAATGTCATCAGTCTCTAAAATATAGAACTCATTGAATACAGGGTGTGCAAGAGAAATGTTATATGCCCCTAAATATAGAGCACTTGTAGAATATAGGCAGTCCAAGAATTCATTTGTCTCTACAATAGAATTCATTTGTCTCTACAATATAGAATTCTTGTAGAATACAGGATGTCCAAAAATGCACAGTTTGGATACCGCACCGTGATAAAGGTAGTGCAAAGGTGACTCAAAATATATGATATTCAAGAATAATAGCATATCTCCCTAAAATACAGAACTCTTGGAGAATATAGGGTGTCCAAGAATAATGTCATATGTAGCTATAATACATGGAAGATTTATAAAATATAGGGTGTCGAAGAAAACCATCATGTCCTTAGAATTTAGAACATTGATACTCAATGTGTTTCCAAAATATAGCCTCTGGTCTAGTAGAATACAGAATGTCATAGAAAAAATCATATATCCCTAAAATACTATTGTATTTTACATTTTAGCGTGTGCTGAGTCCATGATTTTAGTAAGTTCATGTTATACCATTATTTAAGAACTCACGCTCTGTCTCCAAGTTCAGTTTGTTAAGCACAAAGTTGGTTGTTTCTTCTGTGTAGTCTGGTCTATGACTATTGTATGAGTCCCCCTGAAGTAATAGGTAAATGCATTTATTTAGAGTCCCCATCTCTTACCATATGCTTCCATTCAATTCATTGAGTTGCAGGTCAAAGGTCGCATGGTAAGCTTATAGAAGGGCTCTCGTCAATCTGTGCAGTGTTCATCCATCTTTCCTTGTCTGTCAACAATATTTGGACAAATGAAAACTGCCATTCATCCTCATATTCATTAATTGTGGTTTCATATGTTTAATAATTATACCTATATTAGGCATCTGTGTTCAGGTTCAATTAAAATTCAGTTTTATCTCTACAGCATGATTATTCAGTCAAGGTTAAAAGAATTTATATTCTTAATATTTTAAGTTTCAAGTGACCTCAGTCATGTCATTCTATTCAGGAAAATCCTACTGGTCTTCATTAATAGCAAGTCACCCCCCCCCCCCATGGTACATCCATCCTTTACTTCTAAATGTAATAGCCCATTGAATCTAAGTCACCATTCACTTGAAATATATTAAGGTACAGTAAGCTAGGCTAGTACTTGAGTTACTTACTGATTTAAAGCCCTCCACAACATTGGCATGCAGTATTATTGCATCATTGTTCAATTTTTCCATTGTTTTATTGAGCAATCAATCCAAACAAGGTTAACACTATCTCTGTACTATAAGAACTTGTCCCTTTGTTCTATTTGCCACTTATCTGCTTATATTATACATTAAGCTATTACTTTTATGAACAGACTTCTATCTTGTCCTATCCATTTAGTTTTAGTTTATTAACAAGTCATTCATGTGCTTATCTACTTGAGAGTTTATGTACACCATATCAACAAATTGAGATATCAAACTTGCTAAAAACACTTCATGTGGTGCACCAAAATTCAATTTGATATAAAACTAATATAAGCTTTGTATGACCTTTAAGAAAATCTTGATTGATATTAGTTTGAGCTTAAAATAATTATTACATCATATCGTGCCCAAAAATATATGATCCCCTAAATAGTAATACTATATATTGCCATCATTACATTGCTTAAAAGGTAGTGTAGTTCATAATATACAGAAGAACAATTTATTGGTGTGATTTTAATGAAGTTATTTTTATTGATTAAATCTCTGATTAAATACATATTCTTCTACATCAATAATATGGTATGCATATCAACCGTTAACCATTATGTAATATCTGACAATTGTAATGGATTGTGAGCAGATTGTGACATTTGATCTACTGCAACTGTACAGTGGCTGTTGCTTCCCAAAATAGAGAAAAATATGCAGCATAAAATATAGGGATAGCAGTACCATTTTGCGGGCTTTGATCTTTAGAGCCTTTTTATTTACTCAATACTTGAGTAGATTTTATGCATATTCCAGCCTCCTAGACTTCCATCAACGTGAACATCAGAACTACATTCCTTGCGCTCAAATCATGATTCTCACGTCGCGAATGTGAAATCTTTTGGTGGGCACCCACCATTTCCTCGCTCCTGAACATATTTCTTTTGTGTTTCCTGGAGCTTGAAGATGCTGTTACCTTCAATTAGTGGATATTCATTAACATGCATGAAAACTGAGAAAGTGTTACTTCTGAATTCCTAATAAAAACACTTTGTTGGAATTTAAGTTATGTGTAATGATACAAATAAAATTACAGACTGTGTGGTTCGAAGCACGGATTTCTGTTCGCGAGTTGAGAAATATGTTCGGGACTGAACAAATGGTGGTGCGCGACTAAAGATTTCTCATTCGCCATGCGCAAATCGTGGTTCGAGTGCAAGGAACGTACTTCGTGAGGTCATACCTGATGTTTGCATTGTTGGAAGTTTAGGAGGCCTGTATTCTATACATTTAATGAATGATGTGACAACTCTTAAGGCAAAGGTAAATACTAAATATAAATGAAGTATGTGTTTAACATTCAATCACAAATAAGCCCTCCAAACCCACCTTATTTTGTCCATTAACCATGATGTTCATGTGCTGAATAGCAATGGATTCATTTACAATTTTTTCCCTAATTTACACCTTCTTCGAAGTGAAGTAACAAATTAATATTTGGCTCAAAATATAGAGACATTTGTAAAACATACCACCCTTTAAGTTTCTAAAAGTAGTGAGTTGAGGAACTAAAATCATATTTTCTGTTGTTTTTATGTTAACTATTTTGCACTCTGTGTATGCTCTAACCAAACGTTACCAGCTCCTTTTCACCAAATACTAAAGTGTAACGCCAGTGACGTTCACATGAGTGAAAATGTGAAAAAAGATTAATGATTTTTCCAGGTGAGAATATTTAAAGGCCCCATGTAAAGTTTAAACCACTTTGGCTTATATTGTAGTCTTACCCAATGTTATCAAAGTGTGATATGTGAAACTTTTTTTTTTAATTTCAAAAATTGTGAATTTATTTAAAACCAACTTTTAGAGGTCACTCATATCTTCTAATTAGCCACAATTCAAACCAATGCATAGCATACATCCTCCCATGTTTTTTGCCAAAAAAATTAAGAAAATCAGTTGATAAACAAGCGAGAAATGAACTTATCAGTGCATGAAAATGGTTCTGAGAAAAATGCATTTCAAAATTTTAGTTCTCATAGAAACCAATGGTACAATGATATCTAAAACATAATTTATTCTTCCTTTTAACCTGGTTAGACAATCAACATTTGTTTTCTATGAAAGTCTAGCATATTTAGAAAAGATTGACATCGAAAAAAAAAATTCAATTTTTTTCAAAAAGTTTTTGTTACCTTAGTGACATCACTAATGTTTCAAAATATTTTTGATAAGCTAAAACATTGAAGTGGCCCATTAAATATGACATTTTATTATTGAAATAGTGTGTCTTTTGTTCAATCTTTGCATTGGTGTTAAAAATATAATCTTTTTTGAAATGCATTAAGAAATATTTGATGATTATGAAATTTTTTGTTCAAAAATCTCTAAAATCACTTTTTAAGTCCTGACAAATAGTAAATGAATGATAAAAAAATATTTTCAAACTTTAGACGGGGACTTTAACACTTTATATTTATTTGCCATTGCCTTGTGTTTTATATGTCTCTGCCTTTATAATCTACAATACTTGCTGTGTTATAGTTTTTGACACCAATATATTTCAGTGTTAAATAGGATGTCTATTATGCCCCCCTTCTTTGTGTCTGGGTGATTGTTGATAATTTCTCTAAACTTGCTTTCCACATTGTCCTGTTCTGATTGCTCCAGCTTTGATATATAACTCAGTGATTTCAGGTAGCTGATGATGAAATCTACAGACCCCTGAAAAGTGAAAACTGGAATTGTATATGTGAACAAAAATAATTTCAATATCATCAATATTTATCTATGACAAAGAAGTAATTACACATAGGAGGGGGTGGGGGTTTTAGTAAGGATTTATATCCAATTGCTTGTTGCAAATTCTAGATATGCAACATATTCATTGAACTTTGTACATTAGAGTCTGGAAATTGGCCTGAAAAGTTCCTAAATCAATCCAATGTGATCTGCTCCATTCAAGAAATGGACCAAACTCAGAGATCCCGTTATTTCCCAAGGGCAAGAATAAAGCAATCCGTTATTATGACAAAATTAATATATCATTAGTCATACATTGAGGGAGGGGAGAGGCAAATAAAACGTGTGGGGTTTTCGACACCTGCAATTGGGCAGAAGTAATATATTCATTTATATTGTAAATTGCTGCATTGGTTCATTCTTTTATTGCATTGTTAAAAGTACAACATGACAAAGAAATCAGTTTCATGACATTTTTATAATAGGCCAGTAGAATTTTGATTCCATTTTCATAGAGAATCCATTTATTTCTTATTTCAGTTGAGGTTTCACTCACCGAATGTTTAAAGTGTTGAAGAAACCAATGTTCTTGTATGGGCGAAAATCCATTAAAATCTTCGAAAATTCCTATCCATGTTTCCTTTAATTGGGTTGGTGTGTCTTTTATCACGGAGGTCTGAATGTAATTTGATATATCGTAAGTTATTTTGCTGGCATCAGTTACATCGCGAGTGTTCCAAAGGAAAACTGAAATATCAATAGCATGTTGAAAATGCATTTAGAAATTGTAACTTGAGTGTATCATTTGTATTTTATGCAATTCTTATGAATACTCGCATCCTTCCAACTGTTAAGGAAAACTGTTCATTCAATAATCTAAGCGTTTTCAAACAAATAGGCTAGTTCAAGAGATGCTCACAATAGATGCTCACTTTAATTACTTAAACGAAATCTTTAAAAATGGTTAACATATGCACTTTTAACTCTTCCGTTTACATAACATACAGGGTGGGCCAATAAAAATTGGAATATTTTTCTATTTATTCAATTTTCTTTATTATTGCAGTTCAGTCCACAAAAATTGGCCCACCCTGTGGTAAGGATTTTTTGATCATCCTGGCACACTAATAAACTATTCATTTGTAAATGCTTATATATTCTAGAACATATAATGCTGACACACATTTGCGCCACAAACTGACAAAGGTCTTGAAGATTCTGCCCACAACTAGAGTAATCATAGATAAAAATAAAAATCATACTTCCAAGGCTGCTCTATTTTGTTTCCAAAAAGGTTCCATTTCATAACTTGTATGAATAGTTCCACCACAGTGAGATATATAATATGTTTCGATCTCACTGGTTTCCATGTTATTAGTTGTGGTTTGTGAACAAGATAAATATTTATTGGACCATTATATCAAACAAGGAATCTTACCTAATCTACCATGTGGTACCATAACTCGATGAATTTCTTTTAGAGCTGTTTTGTTAGCAAACCAATGAAAACACTGGACACATACTACATTCTGAAATTAAATATAAAACAGAAAGGTGTCAGAAAGAAAGCGTTTACCATCCACTTAAAAATGCATGTGATTTTATAATGACTGATAAAATAAACTCAAAGAGATCTCAACATTAACAGAATTCCATTTCCTCAAAAGAAATCCTTGTAACTAGACCAAAAAAGCTAAGAATATGGGGGTCCAATAAATATGTCTGATATGTCTAAATCTTAATTGCTCTTTAGCACATTAAAACTAGGCTTCTGGAGCAACTCCTCAAGAAGTTTCAGATGACTAGCTTAACTAGATGTACATTCATGCACAAACATTCATACTTTTGAAATTAAGCAGGGATAACATATTTATTTGACACACTGTGCATGTATAAGTTTTACTATTATACATCCCTCTGCTTCCACCAATTGTATTTAACTTTTTAATAAATTGGTTCACCTCTGTTACATTCCATTACATTCTGTTCATTCCTCAGAAAGACGGATGAATGGACTAAATCAAACTGACTGGATGAAAAGAGGATTTCACTATATCTTTGTTCATTGGAGTAGTGAGCCAAGAGATTCAGCAAATTATGAAACTACATACTACATGTTGCCATATGAGAATAAAAATGTCAGAACTCACATTTTTGTGAAAATGGGAAATCAATATTTGAAAGTTTAGGCATCTGTAACTTCAATACTATCTATCTGTCATTTATGAAATTTTTACATTGTTTTTATCATAAATTTGTGTAAATTCACTAAAAAATTCATGAATTTTAAGATTTTCCAAAACAGTTTTTGCCCGAACCCCCGGAACCCCCCCTGGCTACGGGCCTGGGAATATCACAGAAAGAAAGAGGATGATTTAAATCGTGGAAATCTGTGAAAATCTCAATTTAATTTCCAAAATGGCACTTGGAACATTATTACTCTCAAACGACGATGTATTACCAGAACATCTCCTCAAGAGAGACAATCCTCAGATGTAACATACCTTTACAGAGCAGTCGGGTAATGGAATAGACTCTGCAGAACATTGTAAGGTTTCTACATCTGGGGACAGCAGCTTCAATTTCTCAAGGAAATTCTCCAATGGGTCTGTCGCAATCACTTTTAAATTCTGTAAATACCCAAGACAGCAACATGAGAATCATGTAATAAATGTATAGCATAGCACCATCTTGAGTTTAACCAAAGCATAAGCAATTATTACGATTGTCCAGGAGAGAAACTTAAGAGACAGTTTATCTTTAACCACTCTATCTTTCATATTCATATTCCTTGAACTATAGCTTGAATATTTAGTTCTCACTTACACTAGTGTCATAGTGAAGAAACCTTCTAGTAAATAGTCCTGTACCAGCACCTAGTTCTAGAACATCATATGTCCCTAAAATGTAGAACTCCTGTAGAATACAGGGTGTCCAAGAGTAACATCATATGTCCCTAAAATATAGAACTCTTCTAAAATACATGATGCTTAAAAATAATACTACACCTCCCAAATACAAAGAAAATAATGTCACAGGTCCCTAAAATATAGTTATCTTATGGTAAACAGGGTGTGCAAGTCATCTCACAAATCTGATAATATGAAAAAAACTCTTGTATAACACAAGGGTATCCAAGAATAATCCAGTTTGTCCAAAAAATGTCATATGTCCCTCAAATATAGAACTCTTGTAGTAAAACAGGGTGTCCAAGAATTATGTCAGAAGTACCTGGAAAAGGAATTCTTGTTAAATTCAGCATATCCAAGAATAATATCAAGTCCCTAAATTATATGATTCTTGTAGAATATAGGGTTTCAAGGAAAATGTCACAAGCTAACTAAAATTTTAGGTAGAACTCCTGTAGAATACAGGGTATACAATTATCAAATGTCCCTAAAATATACAAGTTTTGGAAAATACACTGTGTCCAAGAATAATGCCATACTTTGTAATCCCTAAAATAAAGAATTCTTGGAGAATACAAGGTGTCCAAGAATAATACTCACTATGTTCTAAAATATAGAATTCTTAGAGTATACAAGGTCATAAAATATGGAACCCTTATAGACAACAAGCATGGTGTCCAAGAATTATATAACTTGTTGAATGCAGGGTGTCCAAAAAATGTTATACGAGGGGTGATCCAAAAGTCTTGGACGCCCCGCTCTAACTTTGCTATTTTCTAATATAATTGCACGATCATTGCACGATAATAAAGATCAACATCTTAACAACTTTGTGTATAAGTTTCAACAGAAAATAATATATTTTAGCTTTTTGGTAAAGATTTTTTAATACTGGGTCCCTGCCACCCGGAACGGTATTTAAATATAGCAAATCACGTCACAACTGTTATAAAATGGCAAATACCTTAGGTGCGGGTGTACAATCTAACACCAGTCATTATATGAGAGAATTTTCGATTTTCAATCTGAGTGTCAACTGCCATCATCATCTTCACATATTAAGACCTACTTTTCAACATTTTTTCCACGAATTTGAACCCATCTTTCATACCGCTTTACCAATGAATGGAAGACATTTATGAAACCGCCATTCCTTATGTGATACAAATGCTGCTGGAGTGCCACTCTAAACCTCATCCAACGAGTAAAAAAATATTTTCTTTCAACCCTCCTTTCAACTTTGAGAAAATGAAGAAAATCACACGGAGCCATATCTAGACTGTATTGTACATATGGTAGCTGCTAAAGGTCAATAATAGTGAAAATATCTTGTAGTATTCTTTGTTCCACTTTGATTTCTTTCATGATCTGCATTTCAGCAGCCATTTTGGAGCAAAAATGATACCAGAATGAGGGTTGCTTGTCTGATGTCACTTTCTTAGAACTTGACATATATGATCATTGTCATATGTGACATTATAATGAAAACACAATTAATTGGTTGCCTAATAAGAAAGGAAGTAAACTAACATGGTTTAACATTCACAATTCAAAGAAAGACAGTGGTCAAGACTTGCGAAACAAGTCAAATGTCAGCAACATTTAAGGCTGAACGTTGTCATGTGTGAATACCGTTCCGGGTGGCAGGGTCCCCATCTTAAAAACTGTCTAGAAAACTACATAAAAGATATCATTTCTCCATGAAATAAATACACAAAGTAGTTAGGTTGTTGGTCTTTATAATTGGAAAGTTTAAAGTGATTTTATTAAAAACCAACAAAATAAGAGCAGGGCGTCCAAGACTTTTGGATCACCCCTCGTATGTCCCTAAAATATAGAACTTTTACAGGGTGTCCAAAAATAATGTCAGAAGTCACTAAAATACAGAAACATTGTAAAATGCAGGATTCCCAATAAATCATAGCCCCTGAAATATATACAGAATATATGTAGAATATATCTACTCATACTCAATATTAAACATCATATGCCTTTAAACACAAACATATTTACTTTTATGTTATTTAATAAATATGGAGACACATATAGACACACTTTGCTATAATTATTTAAAATGATTTTAGTAGGTTTTCAATTGAGATATAGCATAAAGCTCACCTTCAGTTTCCAAGTTCAGTTTGTTGAGCACAAATTTGGTTGTTTCTTCTGTATAGTCTGGTCTATGATTGTTATAGGAGTCCCCCTATTAAAATATTGAGTACAACATAAAGTTTGTTTCTTGCATTGATTTTAACTTTTATTTGAAAAATGGTAGAAAATTTGAATATTTGAGGAATAAAAAGCTGACAAGTTTTTTCCCCAAAATGTTTTTTCAGAAATCTCTAAAATAACTTTTAAAGTCACAAAAAATAGTAAATGAATGATCAAAACATATTTTTTAACTTTACCTGGGGTCTTTAACAATTTTATCATCTCTGAATTATAAAGCACTTAAATTAGAATTTACAACCCAGTTAACTGACACATGGCAAGTTATTAACCAATTCATTTCTCACCATCTGGTACTGATAAGGGTGGATACTGGATACCGCATCATCACATCTACATTCTACATTATAGATGGTAGCATTATTTAAGAAACAACACATTAAAATGACATTGACATTCTGTTGCCCAAATTTCAGTTGAATAATCATAGCTGTCAGTGATTTCTACAATTTTTCAAGATGACATCCCTGAATTGAGAATGACAGTCCCATACTATATGGCTTATCAGTCTGGGAAAATCTTAAAGTAATGCATGGGCTTTCAAGCTCTCTTGAAAGCAATGATAATTCTTGACTAAATAGATCTATAGATATAGGCCATGTTTACAGTACCACTGTAGTGGCTAGCCCTTATGGCTTATGGGTATAGCTTCAGACTATGATGCGGAAGGTCCTGAGTTTGATTCCCACTCGGGTATTAGATTTACCACAGTCCCTTATTAACATTTCATGTCCAGTATCTGGCTTGTTACACTACATCTCCCTGGAGGTGCCCTCGGGTCATTACATTGGTATCTAAAGTGGGATTTGCTCTTGTGTATATACAGGGTTAAATGGGACATCATCCTTCAATAGGGGATGGTGTAATGACCCTCAATAACAAGTTGCTACTACAGAGCCCTTATGGCTCAGGGGTAGAGGTTCTGACTCTGGAACGTGAGGTCCTGGTTTTGAAATTATTGCACAGGGCATTGAATTTAGCACTACAGACAAGCATCCTGGGTCATTCGATTATTATAGTAGATAACCAAACCAGTCTGGCCCAGTTATTTACTCCCTGACAGCGTAGATCTAGATTTACGACGTCAGGAGAAGATAACTAGGCCAGAAGGGTTTGATTATATAGTAGACTACTCTATATATCCAGGCCTCCTAGACTTCAAACAAGGCATTAACATGACAAAATGTCACCACCTAAAACAATTTGGTCAATTTATTAAAGCAAGTTGGAAAATACCTTTTGACCTTAAGAAGGTTTGATTTGAACTTCTTAGAACATGTAGATGATTTTGAAAAAAAAATTGAAAAAATACCTCTTTGACTTTTTTTGACATTGAGAAGGTCATTGAAGGTCAAATGTAAAGTCAGATTTGAACTTCTGAGAACATGTAGATGATTTTGAAAAAAAAATTAAGTCAATTTGAAGCAAGTTGAAAAAAGACCTTTTTGACCTTGAAAAGGTCATTGAAGGTCAAATGTCAAATCTAAAGTCAGATTTGAACTTCTGAGAACATGTAGATGATTTTGAAAAAAAAATTAGTCAATTTGAAGCAAGTTGAAAAAAGACCTTTTTGACCTTCAGAAGGTCATTGAAGGTCAAAGGTCAAATCTAAAGTCAGATTTGAACTTCTGAGAACTTGTAAAGTCAAATTTGAACTTCTGAAAAGATGTAGATGATTTTGAAAAAAAAATTTGGTCAATTTGAAGCAAGTTGAAAACACACCTTTTTGACCTTTTTTGACCTTGAGAAGGTCATTAAAGGTCAAATGTCAAATCTAAAGTCAGATTTGAATTTCTGAGAACATGTAGATGATTTTGAAAAAAAAAATTAGTCAATTTGAAGCAAGTTGAAAAAAGACCTTTTTGACTTTGAGAAGGTCATTGAAGGTCAAATGTCAAATCTTAAGTCAAATCTAAAGTCATATTTGAATTTCTGAGAATATGTAGATGATTTTGAAAAAAAAATTTAGTCAATTTGAAGCAAGATGAAAAAATACCTTTTTGACCTTTTTTGGCATTGAGAAGGTCATTAAAGGTCAAATGTCAAATCTAAAGTCAGATTTGAATTTCTGAGAACATGTAGATGATTTTGAAAAAAAAATTTAGTCAATTTGAAGCAAGTTGAAAAAAGACCTTTTTGACCTTTTTTGACTTTGAGGTCAAATGTCAAATCTTAAGTCAAATCTAAAGTCAGATTTGAATTCCTGAGAACACGTAGATGATTTTGAAAAAAAAATTTAGTCAATTTGAAGCAAGTTGAAAACAGACTTTTTTGACCTTGAGAAGGTCATTGAAGGTCAAATGTCAAATCGTATATCAAATCTTAAGTCAGATTTGAATTTCTGAGAACACGTAGATGATTTTGAAAAAAAAATTAGTCAATTTGAAGCAAGTTGAAAACAGACCTTTTTGACCTTTTTTGACCTTGAGAAGATCATTGAAGGTCAAATGTCAAATCTAAAGTCAGATTTGAAGGTCAAATGTCAAATCTAAAGTCAGATTTGAATTTCTGAGAACATGTAGATGATTTTGAAAAAAATTTAGTCAATGTGAAGCAAGTTGAAAAAAGACCTTTTTGACCTTGAGAAGGTCATTGAAGGTCAAATTTCAAATCTAAAGTCAGATTTGAACTTCTGAGAACATGTAGATGATTTAGAAAAAAATTTAAGTCAGTCTAAACAGTATTTGTTAAGTTATAGGAAGTTGTAAGAAATTGTTACAGACGCCGGACGCCAACCGCCGGACGCCAACCACCAACCGCCGGACGCCAACTGCCGTCGCAAAAAAACGGAGACCATAACAATATGTCACCACTTTTGGTGGTGACATAACAAAAAAACGGAGACCATAACAATATGTCACCACTTTTGGTGGTGACATAACAACGCTAACATCAGTTCTGAGCTTGGGAACTACATTCCTTGCGCTCGAACCATGATTCTCACGTCACGAATATGAAATTTTTAGTCGGGCACCACCATTTCATCGCTCCTGAACATGTTTCTCCACTCTTGAACAGAGATCCGTGCTCGGGAACAATTTGTGCAATGTGCAAAGTGCATCTGGGTATTTCGGATTCCAAGTGCAAGCAACAACAGGAGTCTGGTTGCAGTTTACATTGACCCTTATACATGTACATGTGTATTTCAATAGTCATAAACTCTCCGCAGCCAATGAAAAGCCATGTTTTTGTTTTTATTACCTAGCCCTTTCTCTGAAATGTCAATGCGTGGGATTGTTTACTGGTTTACCCAATGTCATCCTAAGAACTTAAAAAGTTGAAGTGGATATTTACATGTTAATGCCGACTCTTCAAATGTTGAGGTGCATAGTTGTGCAAGAAACCTTTGTAAATGAAAAAGAACGGTATTATAACAGCCTTTTTGAAACTCTTGATGAATCAGGAAATAAACCTTCAGTATACTGGATCACAATCTCAAAGGTCATTGGCAACAAATTTACAAGTAGCATTCCTTCTCTAACCTGTACAATTTCTGGGAAAACTGCCATAAAATCAGTCGAAAAGGCTGATATGTTTTTAAAACTATTTGCTTCTAAATTTCATATTGATAATCCAGAATCTTTTACTCTACCAAACTTTCCAATGCATTGCAACGTCACAAGTGAAGCTTTATCTACAAATGACAATGAAATATTTGAAATTCTAAAAAATCTGGACACATCCAAAGCATGTGGCCCAGACAAAATCTCAAACAAGATGCTTAAAATGTGCTCAAAATCCTTATCAAAACCTTTGTCTAAACTATTTAACCAAATACTACTTGATCAAACATTTCCTACAATTTGGAAAAACAGATCGGTATGCCCGATCTTTAAAAAATCTGATAAATCTGACCCCGCAAATTACAGGCCGATAACTCTCCTAAATACTCTCTCTAAAGTTCTTGAGAAAATCATATATAAGAATATGATATTTCATATGACAAATAACCATTTACTATACAACTTTCAATCTGGATTTTTAAAGGGACACAGCACGCAAGACCAAATTGTTGCAATTACAGAATTTATCCATCAGCGGCTCGAAACAGGTAATAATGTTAAAGGGATCTTCCTAGATATAGCGGCTGCATTTGACACCGTTCCCCACAACCTACTTCTTTATAAACTTGCAAAGTATAACTTTGATCAACCCACTGTAAATCTCATCAAATCCTATCTCTCAAACAGAAAATTTTTTGTTAACGTCAATGGCAATTTATCTGAACCCTCTGAAGATCACTATGTAAATGCAGGGGTTCCTCAAGGTTCTTTATTAGGACCACTTCTTTTTCTCATTTATATCAACGATTTGCCAGACTTAGTTAAATCACTGTGTTGTATTTATGCGGATGATACATCCATTTTTCGCGAATTTGATCCAGCAAATCCAAATCACTCACTGGCTATTCTTCAAAATGATCTGAATCTGATTTCCAAGTGGTCTGATACATGGAAGTTATTTTTCAAAGCCTCAAAAAGTGCGGATTTGACATTTATTAAATCTAGGCAAGAAGCTCCCGACCTTGCACCCTTATTTCTTGGAAAAGATGAAATTCCAAAGGTTCGATCTCATAAACATCTTGGTGTTATTTTTGACCACAAATTAACTTTTAATGACCATGCTAGACATGTGTCAAATAAGTATCAAAATATGGTAAATGGCTTAAAGGCAATCTCTAAAAAAGTTACCTCAAGACATCTTGAAAAAATTTACAATGCTTTCATTTTACCGATTTTAGACCATGGTGATTTATTTTATGCAGCGGCATCAAAATTTGCGCTGGCCAAACTCGAAAGCACTCATTATAAAGCTGGTTGTATTATAAGTGGAGTCATCCATGGATCAAGCAAAATTAAAGTTTTTGACATCCTGAACTGGAAAACTCTTGAATCTGGAAGAAATTACCATAAACTCTTGTACATGTTTAAAGTCTTTAATAAGATGAAACCTTCATATGTGTCAAATGTATTCAATGCCTATTTAGCTGATCATAACAACACTCAGTTGAGAAGAGTGCTATACTATAAGGTACCTGGAAATATATCAGCCAGGTTATTAAACTCTCCATCATTCCAACTTGGAGCTCTTGGAATAATGTTGATCAATCTCTCTCCAAAATAAAAGAATTCTTGCATTTTAAATATCGCCTTAAGAATTCCATTCAGGATGAAAATATATATACATGTATCATTCCAACTACTAAAATGCTTATATCAAGAAAGAAAGAAATCGCCTTAAATAGACTTAGGGTTGATTTATTTCTAAATGCTCACTTCTTTGCTCACAATTTTAATTCAGTCTTATCCCCAGCTTGTTCATGTGGAAATAAAATAGAAGACAGCAAACATTTCCTTCTCAATTGCACCCTATACAACCCCCAACGGAACAAACTTTTTGCAGAGCTTGCAAAATACAATGTGTTTGATTGTTTCAAGCAAATGAATATGACAAACAAAGTTAAATTACTTCTGTTTGGAAATTCTAATAAAATGAATTTCAAAACAAATGAATCTCTGGCACACGCAATTTCAGATTTTATAGAATCATCAAGCAGAGGTTGATCAGACTTTGTAAACATCCTTTTCATGTCCTAGTGTCACCTTCACCATCATCATTTCATTCTTCATACTCATTCATTTTATCACATCTTTTTAAATTCTTTGTTACATTTATTTTCCAATCAAGTTATTGCCTGTATGTATTTTATCTATTTGTGAATATGTCTGTAATGCCTCAGGGCGATTGACATTATTACACTTTGTTAATTGTAATATACTATTCATGCAATAAATACTATTAAAAAAAAAAAAAAAAAAATTTGTAGCCCGATTACGCCGCAATGGAAGATTGGCTCCCAGAATGCAACATGACATGTGCCAGCTTTCAAAATGCCATTCCGCCATTTTGAAACCTGTCACGAGTAAATAAGATTAACTGATGTTGCATTCTGGGAGTCAATCCTCCTTGGATCACAAACATGGCGATTCATGAAAACATTCGTTCGATTTGGAAGGGAATTTTCCATCATTTGCAGGTATGAACTTTGGATTCATTTATTGTGCTACTTAAAGTGAATGGGAATTATTTTTCTACCTTCTTGGAGAGTTTGAGACACGAAACTTGGAATTTAGCTCATTGTGACAACTTTTGATGGTTGAGTTTTATTTTTGTCCCCCACTTTACTTTCAATTGAGACTGATTGGATTCGACAAGACTCTACTCAACACAGCTGTGCAAGTCCCCAAGATGAGCTAAAGGCGAGATTCCTGTTGCCAATCCTGTTGCTTGTTTTTTTTTTTTTTTTTTTTTTTTTTTTTTTCTGTTGCTTGTTGATACTATCCTTCGCAGAACGATTACTCCAATCTGTGCCAGAAGGCGTCATACATAATCTCATTTTCAAATATTCCTGGGGAAAACGTTTCACTCACTCGTGTGTATACTCACAAAATACAATGTACCCACGCTCCCGGGGGGTTCACTGTATATAAACCTTGACGGGGATCCTCGGCGCACATGGGGTACCTTTTTGGACATTTGGTATGGCAATGGACCCAAATTTTAGGATGTGGTATGAGAATGCCCCCTCATTTAACTTTTGAGAGATGGAAATGGTCAGATTTTTCAACTTTCTGGTATGAGAATGGTCATGGAAAATATGTTATCTCACAATTATGGTATGGAATTAGTCTAGTAGTTACACATATCCTAATATGAGGTTGTTTTGGTTCGTTTTCCTCAAAGATCGCCTTGTTCTTGGGACCTTCTTCAGTTTAAATAAATAGCTTTTTCCCCAGGAAATATTCTACTTTGGACCAGTCATGGCATTGGTATGGCATTGGTCCTATATTTTGACATTTGGTATGGCATTGGTTTCATATTTGGGCATTTGGGATGGCTTTTGGGCACTATATCGGTTGGTATGGGAACACATTCAAATTTGACATTTTGGTATGGGAATAAATTGATATCTGAGGGTTCAGCCTAGGATCCCCGCCAAATTTTGTACACAGTGAACCCCCCGGGCCCACGCTATGCCACTGATGCCTGATATCTATTAATTGCGGATCTCCTGGAAAACAGCCTTGTTAGAAATTCATAGGCACTCCTTATAGGATCGGTAAGAAAACCTACCAAAAGTTTGTAGCACTCTGAAAAAGCCTACTGAAATTCTGAATCTGTTGAGGGTTGTTGTGAATGTGATCCCTCAATATTTTTAGAATTCCTGTGCTGTTAGAGATCACCTAATATGACATAATTAGGGGCTAACGTCGTTATGTTACATAGCTAGCTAAACTTACTGATTTGTAGCCTTTCACAACGTTGTCATGTAACATATTCGTATTGTTGCATCTGTTTTCCATCGTTTATTGCGATTTGGTTGAAACAGTGAAATTACTTTTATTTTCCAAAGATGCACTAAAAAGACAAACGTACAAAATAGTGAATGTTTATCCGATAGACTCATGCGCAAAACTGTTTAGTTTTAAACCTACCATCTAATAATAATAATATCATATAATTCTGTATCATTCATCTTTCTTTCAAGAAGTGTATTTATGTATTTGAAAGGATTCAAAACTATTAGCCTTTGTGAATAAGTTCTACCTTCAACCGTTTGCCAGCACCAGAATTCATTTTTAGATCGTTCGTTAATCTTGTAATGGATTCCCCCAAATGTGAAAAATAAAAAATAGGCTCATGTTTTTACGTAATATTGTTTTTCTAGTTCACACATCTCTGATCTGATGAGGTAATCGGCATGGAAAAAGAGAAGGCCAAACGTCCAGACGTGAACGCTGCATCAGTGAGTAGACTTGTTGTTCATTAGGTTCACTTCACTAGATCTAGATCTAAAATTTCAGAAGAAATTTCAAAATTTTCAATCACAGGGAGGGGGATGGGATGGTGTTACCTTCTTCTAAGGCCACCATATCGTGGCCTTCATCAAAAGATAAATCCCTGCATGTATTTACTGCCCTGTCAACCCTCATGATTAGGCGTGATTGTCACGCATGATTGTCACGCATTTGCTGGAAAAATAGAAATCACGCACCAATTTAGCTTGTATGATCAAATATCACGCAAATCACGCATTTTGTTGAAATTTAAAAAAATCGTTTTTTGTGAAATGCCGACATGGTAAGATACCAAACGGCGAAAAAAAGCTAACGCATTCCGTTTGGTCTTTTCATGCGATTGCTGTTTGTGTCACGCATTTGGTACAAAATATGTGTATATATCACGCATTTGTTTTGAAAATATTTACACCTACCCCCCTTCCCCCTGTTTACGTATTTTAACAAGGAGCGTTAGCGAGCTGGAAAAATTTTAGGTGTCCAAATTCTGCCAGTGTTCACTGAAGCTGTCCGAAGTTTGAAGGAAGGTGTTCAACATTTGGAAGTCACTCATGTTAGCTCATGTTAGATGGTCCCAAGTTGACAGCCCTGTATTTACTCTGCCGGATGTGAGACGTAGACTATATCCTCTAGTCTGAAATTTTTTTGAAATTTGGAATGAAAATATTCAGACTACATCACCTAGTATGTATCCAACAGACTGACTAGAAGTCAGAAGTCTGTTATGATGTACTACTTTCCCGTGGAAATTGCAGTGAAATTTTTTGCACAAAATTATCAATTAGAGGAACCATTTCTTCAATAAAATAAACATTACAAAATTTCAATTAAATAGTAAGGTACAATTAAATGCAATAAAAAGTAACACAGCATATTGTCAAGTGGAAATAAAGCTAGTTGAAGTAACAAATGTGCAAATTAATTTTACCAATCGGCCATTTTGAATAGCACTTCCTATGTAAACAAATATTCCATATTACCAAACTTTAACATTGGTGCCTTATAGTCTGAATATAATTCAGACTAAATAGGATATAGTCTACTACATCACCTATGTTAAATTTGGGATTGAAAATTATTTGTTTACATAGCAAGTGCCATTCAAAATGGCTGATTCGGTAAATTAATTTGCATATGTTACTTCCCCTAGCTTTATTTCCATTTGACAATATGCTGTAGAGTCCATTTCACTGTCTTATTGCGTCAGTAGAACCCCAAAAATAAGAAATCGGGAGACCATTGTGCAATAATATATAGAAAAGTATATTCATGTTGTATTCATGTACGTACGTCCGTCCGTCTGTCCGTCCGTCCGTCCGGGCATTAACTCAAATACCGTTGGTGCGATTTTGTTCATATTTTGTACACAAATACACAATAGGGGTAGAAGTTCTTCTCGAAAACCGATTTTCAAAATGGCCGCCCATTTAAAAATGGCGGCCATTTTAGTGCCGATTTTACAATAATTTAGGTACTGCATATAAAACTGTAATAGCAATATGTTTTAAATGTAAAAAAGTTATATAGGACATTGATTAAGCTAGAAATGTAAATACAGAAGAAATACATGGCAGCCATCTTGAAAAATGGCTTCCTTTGCACGTCATTTTACGATTTTTGCTATAACTTGAAAAGTAGTGGAGCGATTTTGATCATATTTGGTATGTGAATACTTTAAGCATGGCACAATGTCTAATGAAATTTTTGGTAGTGGGTGGCCATTTTTCAAAATGGCCGCCATTTTGATGTGTGTTATTTAACATTTTTTACTGTAAGTCAAAAAGTAGTGGAGCGATTTTGTTCATATTTAGTATGGGAATACTTTAAGCATGGCCCAATGTCTAATGACATTTTGTGTAGTAGGCAGCCATTTTTCAAAATGGCCACCATTTTTACGTGTATTAGTTTACATTTTTTACTATAACTCAAAAAGTAGTGGAGCGATTTTGTTCATATTTAATATGTGAATACTATAAGCATGGCACACTGTCTAATGACATTTAATAGCGGCGTTAAGCAGGGAGATACTTTGTCGCCTTGTCTTTTTAACCTGTATCTGAACGACTTGCCAGAAGTATTTGAAGGTAAAGAGAATTTATTTAATCCCCCGAAACTATCAAGTACATCAATGAATTTGCTCCTATATGCAGACGACATAATCCTGTTATCTGAATCAAAAGAAGGTCTACAACACTCATTAAACCATTTAGAAACATACTTAGATAACTGGAAACTTTCTGTTAATACTTCAAAATCCAAAGTTATCAAGTTCCAAGCAAATGGCAAATTAACTCAGGATACTTTTTGGTACAAAAACCAGCCCTTGGAATGCGTAAGGGAGTACAAATACTTGGGTATTACTTTCTCAATCACAGGAAATATGAAAATAGCAGAATCTAAAATATACGACAAAGGTTTGAAAGCAGTCTTTAAGCTTAAAAGGTGGCTCAAGGATTCTACTCCTAATCCAAAATTAAGTATTAAGTTATTTCGACAATTAATTAATCCAATCATAACATATGGATCTGAAATATGGGGCATCAAAGGACTCAGTAAACCGAATGATTTTGCCAGCTTTATTTCAAAATTTGATAAGAATCCAATAGAAAAACTTCATTTGTCTTTCATGAAACACATTTTAGGAGTTAACAAGAAAGCAACCAATCTTGCAGTATTAGGGGAATTAGGCCAGTACCCAATTATGATTGATATTTTCACAAAAACAATTAATTTTACAAACCATATTAAACAATCAAAGAGCGAGCTTTTAAAGGAATGTCTTGAAATTAATGTTAAAAAATCCCTTCCATGGTTCACAAGAATCAAAACTATAGTAAATCATTTAGACGATCAGCTTGACGTGGGTGCATACATTGATAGATCAAACGATGAATGTTTTGATGTGAATAAACTTACTCTCTCCCTAAAATTGATATGGGAATCATATTGGTCAGAAACACTTAATAAAGACTTGAAAGATCCAACTATTTCTAACCAATTGTCAACCTATAGAAAATTTAAAAAGTTATTTAGTTTTGAAAACTACCTGTTGGATGTTAAATGTTCACAGGCAAGAAAAGCACTAACTCGCTTTAGAATTTCAAACCATAAGTTATTAATCGAAAAAGGAAGATACACCAGACCAATTATTCCTAGAGCAATAAGGCTATGTGAAACATGCGGTTTAGTGGACGATGAATTACATTTTGTTTCAAAATGCCACAAATACATTTACCAGAGAGAATTCTTAAAATTTATGCTAGAAAAGACGGCCCCCGAATGCTCAAAACTTGACAATTTTAATTTCTTCCTTTATTGCATGACTTGCGAAGGTACCGAGATAAACCTGGTCGCAAAATTTATTTCATCGTGCGATGTAACTTAAACAAAGCCAGTTTATTAATAATATGTCATGACCCTTGGTAGTCTTAACGGACACTACTTAGTATAATCTACTGTACTAAAGCTAGTAATATTTAGACTATGACCATCTATATTCTTTGTCATGTTGTGTCTACTAGCCACATATATATACTAGTATGTATTTATTCACATATACTAGTGGGTCTAGTGGCATTATTACGGATGGTGGGAGGTCCTCCATCGTATCTAAGTAATATATTGAGGACTTCCCACCATCCGTGGGCATTACACATTTATATTTCATTTTTGTACTTAAAGGCAGAATCAGATCTATTGGGGCAGGGTTCGAACTTAACTTTTTAGACTGGTAGTGAAAATAGTTACCTGACATTTTTTCTAGGTAACTAAATTCCAAAGTAAGGTAGTTTTTTTACCGGTTGAAAAAATTTCGATAGACACAGTTTTCCTTGACACTAAAAACAAATCTATCGATCTGTTGATCTCAAGTTTATTATAGTTTACAAAATAAACCCTCCCCCTTTAATATGACATTAAAATAAGATATAAAAAGAACTGGATCATACAGGACTATCCTTCTTTCCAGAATGATAGATATAGATATATTTGCCTGAAAAAATAGTATTTTTCTGACTCAAAAGTAAATAGAATTAGCTTTAAAAGACCTTAGAAGAATGTTTCAAGTCAATCAATTCAGAGAAAAGATGTTGTCTTATGAGAACATAAACATTGGTAGTCATGTGATCAGACCAAATTATAATAGACCAATCATGTTGTTTCAACATTCAAATTTAAATTTCCCACTATAATAAACATTCCTAAGTGGCTCAAAGTGAAAGGTCAACCTGCTTAATTTATGCAGCTGTTGCGTTTGAAAGTTTCCCTCCCCAAGATTTTTTTTTTTTTATTTCAAATCTACATTGTGAAATGGGAACTGCAAACTTTATTGAAGGGGGTATGCTTATTGAAAGCAATTACTAGTATTTTTCTCAATAGATGTCTCCCTCACTCACTAATCAACATGAAGTTAGCAATCTTCAAAAAGTATCTCAATAATACGGTGATTTTACCTGAAAATTGCCGATTTTTAAGACTTTATTTTAGAAAAATAAGAAACTGTATGGTAAGTAAACACTCTATCTTATGTTTTGAGAAGTTATAGCCTAAAAGCTGAAGTGAAAGAGGACGAAAAGTGCCAAAGAAAAAAATGTTTTATCACGGCAGCATATTTTCATTCTCAGCATTTTTTCAATTGAGAAGTTGAGTTGACGATCGTATAGAGATCTTCCCATAAACCAGGAAACTGTTTTCGTTACTTGGGCATGTTGCTAGGTAACGATTTGAGAAAATGAAGGAACGAATCGTTACTTCCGCAACGCTAATTTCGAACCCTGTGGGGGTGACAAAATTACAAGCAACATGTACAACTGACCTACCAATCTATTCCTTACCATCTCAGATACAATATCTCCCAAAAGATTCACGATATGTTATAAATTGGTGAAGTTATAATGGATTCGAAGTGCAAAAAATTGGGTGAAAAATGTTTAAATTCTCCCAAATAATAAGAATGGTAACCATTCTTATAGAAAGATAATACATTATCGTAAAAATCTTTAGTTTTCCTGAAATAAAGTGTGCACTTTGGGGATTTTTAGAAAATAGACATGAAAAGGAATGACATAAGCCAGGAATATTCTAAAATTGAAACAATTTTTTGTTCGGCTGCTCGCTAGATCTGATTCTCTCTTTAAGTAGTTTGTAGTTATTTCTATGCTTTGTATATGACCCCTGATGGGGATTGAAATACAATAAAGCTAATAAATTTGAATTTGACACTTTGGGTAGAAGGCGGCTTTTGTAATAGCAATATGTTTTAAATGTAAAAAAGTTATATAGGACATTGATTAAGCTAGAAATGTAAATACAGAAGAAATACATGGCAGCCATCTTGAAAAATGGCTTCCTTTGCACGTCATTTTACGTTTTTATGTCCCCACCACATAGTGTGGGGCCATATTGTCGGCCTAGGCGCGTCCGTCTGTCTGTCCGTCTGTCCGTCTGTCCGTCTGTCTGTCCGTACGTCCGGCAGTTTTCTCCAAAACCGCTACAGATATCACCTTCAAATTTTCAGGGATAACTTATGAGTGCATACAGATGTGGATGAAAAAAAATTAACTCGATACCTACTTCCTGTCGGCCATTTTGAAGTCAAATGCTAAAATCCTTGTCTGCAAACTTTAAGAAAAACTGCTTCACAGTTGCTTTTAAAACTTTAACATCTTGTTCAGCTCACTTCATTCTAGATCTGATTAGGTTTTGGACCTGCTAGCTCAGTCATGTCAGCCATTTTGAATGTCTTAAGAAAAGTTAGCGCGCGATAATACTTTGTATCATATTGAATGGTGTTTTTGAGTTTTCATACTTTAACTATTTAGTAGCTTTATAAATAATTTCAGATGTACTTTGCTGTAAAAGCCTACTTTATTGTTAACAGTAGTTATATGTGATAATTTTGTAAAAAGAAATCAGCAAAAACTCATAAGGACTTTTTTATTGTCGGCCATTTTGGATTTTTCGGTCCTAAAATCTTGTCTGTGAAGTCTTGTCTGCGCGTTTTCAGGTGAACCGTTTGGTGGATCAATTTCAAATTTTCAGGGATGATTCTTAGTATAAAAATCTAGATCTCATTAGTTTTTTGGCATTCTGGGTAAATGTCAAGGCAGCCATTTTGGATTTTCCGTCCTAAAATCTTGTCTGTAAAGTCTTGTCTACTCGTTTTCAGGTGAACCGTTTCGTAGATCAATTTCAAATTTTCAGGAATGATTCTTAGTATGAAAATCTAGAACTGATTAGTTTTTTTGCATTCTGGGTAAATGTCAAGGCAGCCATTTTGGATTTTCCGTCTTAAAATCTTGCCTGTAAAGTCTTGTCTACGCGTTTTTAGGAGAACGGTTTGATAGATCAATTTCAAATTTTCAGGGATGATTCTTTGTATGAAAATCTACATCTGATTACTTTTTTTGCATTCTGCGTAAATGTTAAGGCAGCCATTTTGGATTTTCTGTCCTAAAATCTTGTCTGTAAAGTCTTGTCTACCCGTTTTCAGGTGAACCGTTTGGTAGATCAATTTCATATTTTCAGGGATGATTCTTAGTATGAAAATCTACAAACAGATTAGTTTTTTGACATTCTGGGTAAATGTCAAGGCAGCCATTTTGGATTTTCCATCCTGAAATCTTGTCTGTAAAGTCTTGTTTACATGTTTTCTGGTTAACTGTGTGACGGATCAATTTCAAATTTTCAGGGGTGGTTCTTAGTATGAAAATCTAGAACTGACTAAATTTTGGGCATTCTGGGTAAATTTTAAGGTGGCCACTTTGGATTTTTCCGTCCTCAAATTGTGTTGGTAAAGTCTTGTCTACTCATTTTCAGGATAACCATTTCACGGGATCACCACTTGGTGGGGACATTTTGTACACATTTGTGTTCTTGTTTTTCTATAACTTGAAAAGTAGTTGAGCGATTTTGTTCATGTTTGATATGTGAATACTATGAGCCTTGCACTCTGTCTCATGACACTTCCCGTAGTAGGTGGCCATTTTAAAAAATGGCTGTCATTTTTACATTTTTTACTATAACTCGAAAAGTATTAGAGCGATTTTGTTCATATTTGATATGTGAATACTTTAAGCATGGCGCATTGTCTAATAAACTTTGGGGAGTAGTCGGCCATTTTGAAAAATTGCCACCATTTTTATGTGTGTTATTTTACATTTTTTATTATACATCAAAAAATTATAGAGCGATTTTGTTCATATTTGATATGTGAATACTCGTAAGGATTGCATACTGTCTTATGACATTTTGGGTAGTAGTCGGCCATTTTAAAAAATGGCCAGCATTTACATGTACAGTATGTGTGTGCAATTTTTTAAAAATTTTATATGTGGCTACTTAAAAGCATATTACTTCTTCTGATGACAACTTGACGAGTGAGCAACCGTTTTGAAAATGGTGGCCTTTCTTATGGGTGTTATTTTATGATATTTGCTATATATTTTGTTTGTAAAAATGCCAGCCATTTCTGTTTGATGGGTTTCGCTACGCTTTGGTGTTGCCGTTGTTCTGGTTTTTGGAAGTGAAGTTTCCTAAAATTGATACATGTAATTGTGTGCAGGAAATTTCCTGTTTTTTCCAACAGGAGGGACATAATGATCAAAAGACTGAATTCTCAGGAAATTCAGTCTATTGGATATAGACTAGGTCATGTCATAAAATCATAAAATTTGAAATCAAATGTTCACCATTTTTCCACATGATAATTTGAATTGCGAGTTTTGGTCTTATTAACTCACCAAAAAATCAAAAACACATGAAGTGACCAATGTATTAGTTCACATCTTCTGGATTGCTGAATTAAAATTTACAGCCAGTTACTAATGTCAGACATTACGACATTTCATCACATGCTATCTATTAGCGCTTTTGAAATTGAAATTTCCATTGTAACCTATTACAAAGAGCACCCATATATGAGAGAAGTCAAAACTCACCGGGAATTTCATGTGTGGGAATTTTTCTCGCCAAAAATGCCTTAATCTTAATCTGTTCAGCTTGCAGGATGATACATGCTTATCAGGAATTTGAAAAAAAATCCAGTCAAATATCAAAACTGCTCAGACTGCAACAAGTCCAAGCAGCATATAATGCTCTATATAATTAAAGGTGTCTTGTGTTAAAAGTGTGCATATTTAATGTTGATATATGTATTTGTTGTAGTTGATAGACCTGAAGGCTGAGTTGTTCAGAAAGCAGGAACAGTTCAAAAAACAGAAACTCCAGGCTAATGGTGCTATCATCCGACCAAAGCCAGTTGAAAAGGTGAGATATTAGCAGACAAAGTGAATTATGCATACAAAAATGTACAAATATGCAAATACAATGAAATATACACAAAGAGTTTAAAATCCTAGTATAAATTAACAACAAATAGACCAGCACTCACTATACTAGGATAACCCTACTTTGAAATATCTATGGGATACCCTTTGCTCTTGGAATTCCTTTCTCAATATCCTACCCCTTGACTCACCAATCCTCAAGACACTCACCTACCTAATTCACCCTCTGGAAAATGTCTCAGAGGAGGGGGACTGAAGATGTTCCATTATTCTAGTGCTATCCTAGAAGCTCATAACAAAAAGGGTTTCACCCTTTCCCTAGTTTGGGACACTTTCCTTCTCAGATAACCTTTTCCAATGACACTCATCCCTCCATGTTTAAACCTATTCCCCATTATAAGATGGGTTTCATCTCATTTAATCTGCATAAAGATTGTCATGAACACAGGGGATCTTATTATAATATCACATTGCATTGTAGAAGGGGTCTGTATGGAGCAAGAAGAATGCTGGAGTATTGGAGAGGGCGCAAAAGGACTTTGAGGAGAAAAAGGAAGAAATCAATGTCCTCGATAAATCAAGGTATTTTCATTGGTTTATGCTATAAATGTAATTCATATGTACGATGAAATCAAAATTGATCAATAAGAAGTAAATATTGAATTACTTAGAGAATCTAATTTCCCAAATTTTTGTTTTGATTTATTGTTAATTGCTCATTTAATTGTCCCAAGAAACTGTTAAATAACATCATATTGACTAATTGGCCAGATCATGCCATGTTCTTAATTTTCAAGAAGAATTTAATGTGTCTGTCACATATTGTCACACAGCTGAAGTATTTTATTCTGACCAATCAATATTCAGTAATATCTTGAGTAATGCCCCCCCCCCCCAGTGCCATCTCATCCCCTCCCCTCCCTCAATTGAATTATCATTGTACATATACATATGCCTATTATGCTTGCAGGCAAATGCTGCTAGCCAAATCTGCACTTTATGAGAAGATGACAAGTGGGAAAGATGTCCCAAGTAAGTGTATTTCATAATGTAACCTGCCTAATCAAAGAGGTTCAAGAGATAATATGTCACATTTTAGAATAAAGAGAAAACTAGTGGTTAAAGAGATAATATGTCACACTGAAATAAAGAGAAATCTAGTGGCAAATGACCAATCAGAAGTAAGATTTTTGTGTCATCACCATAAAGTGGTAGTTTATTATCCTAACGAATGAAGTTCGGTAGGGATATAGTGAAGCCCTCCGTCCGTCAGTCCGTCCGTCTGTCCGTCCGGAAGATAACTCAAATAGTAGTAGACTGATTTTCTTCATATTTAGTGGAAAGATGTATATTGGTGAATATTTTTACGCAAAAAATTTTTTTTCAAGATGGCCGCCACTTTATAAATGACGGGACTTTTTACAAAAATCATAAATTTTTCATTCTAAACCAAAGTAATTAATATTATTTTTAAAATTTTGGTAGTATATTCACAACATTTATCTATTTCACATTTCATCCTGACCCCCAGGGGCCGTGTATGGGGGGTCAGGAAAACAGAAATTTTCGCTAATTTTTAGATCTTTCTGAAGTATAGCTTTATTATACTCAAATGAAAGGCAATTAAGAGTAGATTGCAAATATTGTATCTTTTTTCTAATTCGAGCCTTGTAAAATTCAAAATGGCCGTCTAATGTATGATTTCGCAATAATTTTTCGATCCCTTCAAAGTATGGCTATATTATACTCAAATTGAAGGAATTTTGGAGTAGATCACAATTATGAAAATTCAAAATGGCTGCTTTGCAGGAATTCGCAATTCTAAAATCTAATTTTATCCATTTTAACCAAAGGAATGAGTATTATTGATTGGAATTCGGTAATTGATATTTTGTTCGTTGGGATTTGCTACTCCGTGGAGTTGCCGTTATATAGTTGTTTATAGACACTATTTGTTGTGATCAGCATTCAGTGTTGATGTCAGTGTTTGGTATCTGTAACAGTTGTTACTCTTTTGTAATATCAACCAGGTGGTAAAATTAATGTTAATGCTTTGATTATTCTACTCTAAGGTGAAGATGGGAGTGGAAGATTTCTCGTTGACTTTGAGAAAAAGACGTATGAAAAGATAGTAGAAGAACGTGATAATGAAAGAAAGGCAAATGAGGAGAGACAAAAGAAAGTTCAAGAGGAGATAGAAAGACAAGAGGAATTAGAAAGACAAGAGGAGCTTAAAGCATTGGATGAACCCATTCCAACAGCACAATGCCCAGAGGAAGAATGGTTGGTATCTTCTGGTAGAATGAGTCCAATGCCTCCCTCTTTTTTGTCTAATGCACCATAGAACCCTCCCTGAGCATAAACCTATGGCAGTGAATATGATATTCTATACATGGCTCAGTCTTCTCAAGTGTCCCTTTCAACTACAAACAATACTGTACATCATTATAGACCATAGACCCCCAAGTAGTATAATTTGTCAGGCCTTTCGAGTCAGCTTTTATGGAGAATTGGAGATGGGCTCTAATCTTTCAGAGGGGTTCTGAGTCTTGCCAAAAAATGAAAATGATGATTTTAGAAATGCCAACCTCGGAGAAACTATACCAATTCTCCTTTAATTTTCTATGGAACTGCATTAGACAGATCATAGTTTTCTTGAATACATTGATATTCTTTCCTTCCATATCAGAATTGCATTCTGTAGGTGTTAAATAGATGGCTCTTACGTCAATGGACATTACATTTTGCAAAATATAAAACCTTTTGATTACTATCCTTTGGCAGTGTTGGATTTTAAGAGCAGTCTTCTTGTTAGAAATATAGCCTACCAAATATTACTTTTACTACATCTGGCAATATTACAAAGTGTAATATATTGCCCGTTTTATTATTCTCAGGGCTCAAGTTGGACCATTAAGAGTTTATTGATTTGTATTTCTATCTTATAGGGTTGACTACACAGACTCCCTTGGAAGGTCTAGAAGATGTATGAAACAAGATCTGCCTAAATTGAGAGCAATGGATAAACAGTTGAACCCTAATAAAAGGTAAGATTAAATTCACTTAAAGCTGGACTGCGCTCCGAAACGCTATCTTGGGTTGTTTCGGGGGTGAACTTTATCATTTTGAGCCTAATGAAAGATTATAGAATGATGAACAAATGGGGCAAATCTTGTGTAGAAATACTTACGATAAATGTGTCATTTCAAAGATTATTCTTTGAATTGCTTCGATCGGCGCCGACGATATGATTTTGGAAAAGTTTCTAAATGAAGAACGTGATGTCACTTCCGAATCATAGCATTCAAAATAAGTAGCGTTTAATTACTTTCAACAGTCATAAGAAGACGGTGGTCTAGGGGTACAATTCTCGCTTAGCACGCTGGAGGCCCGGGTTCGAATCCCGCATTCGCCTTTTTATTTTTTTTAACTAAATGATTGTTCTTTGATATAACGCAGAAAAAACAATTTTTATTTACATAAACTTTATATTAGAGCTTAAAAATGTAAAAACAATATATGTCAACATATTGCGTTTTGGAGCGATGTGCAGGTTTAAAATCATCATTTTTCAAACTTATCCCTCTTCCAGTTTCAATTTCTGCAATGTGTAGACAGAATTTGCTTTTCTGTTGTTTTTTGCCAGATAAAAGTACTTCTCTATTTGACTGAGCAAAGAACTCATCATAAACTGCAAAGACACCATGTAGAATCTATGCAAAACTAGCTTTTTCACCAGCAGAATTCATTGATTCACCTTGCTGAAAACTGGGAGATATGACTCATGGTCGTTTGTCTTCTAAACATGCAAAATATGGGATGTAAAATTGGATTCACCCACGATTTTCAAATGCTCAAAAATTGTGTTGAACTTTGACGTGTTTAAGTGTAACACTCATATATAGATGGCAGGTCAATTTTCATCTCAACCACTGTCTGTAAATAGAAGCTAGTAAATAGCCAGAAAAGGAAACCAGAACTACACGTTTTGTGTCATTATCATATATCATTGGCATTATCCACCAATTTCTTTTTTAATTCACATTTTGAACTTCAAGAGGTATTTTCTGGAAATTTTTCCATGATTATTAGTAATGTAATTCACCTCTCATTTTCCAGCCAGTTCTCATGTTTTCTTGAAGTGTGCTATGTTTTAAGATAAAACATTATGCAATAATCATGGAATCATCACTTATCATGAGATCATCACCATGTGATCAATATGATATTTTTTCATTTTATTAAAGGATGAACACCATCTACAATCGACAAAACAGTCTACAATCCATATTATCCCATGATACTCCTACTTTTATTTTTGATATTTAAAAAAAGTTGTACATGTATTGTCCTGCTTAATTCCACTCATGAAAATGGTATTCATTTTCTGGTAATTTTTGCCAAACAAGGTTTCCTATTTCATTCAGTTGGGTCAATATAGTGTGCTATAATGATATTCTTATGCGAAAAACAATATTTTCGTAACAAAGTTGAAAATAGAGATTTTGAAAAGTAAGAGGTATGGTGTCATGTTATTGCCTATTAAACATGGTGATTTCATCATCATGCTCTGACACAAACAGTTAAATTCATAGAAATCTGAGTGATAAGAGAATGCCCATTCTGATACTCATAGCATCTTTCTGTTTCACCTGAAACATCTCAGGGCTGAGAAGAAATGAGATGTCATGGTTTATCATGATGGCGAATGCCCTGTAATGAACATGATACATATTTTTGAATTTGTTGATGTTGATATGCTTATGTTATGCTGTTTGTGTTTTGCAATAAAAAATTGTTTATATTTCAAAATGTCATGAATTTGTATTAAGTCATATTTTGTAGACTAGATTCATAGTCTGGTTTAGTTTCATACAAAATTCAGATATGGATTTTGAACTAATGATTTTCATGAAGAGAGTTATGAATATCATGGGATGAAAAGCTTATTTACCGGTAGGGATTGAATATGAGTTAATTCAATCCCTCCCACTTAAGAACCTCTATTTTTACTTATTTATTTAGTGATCTCACTTATATTCCTATCAAAAACAAACAGAAAGTAAAAAAGGGTGATATGATCTGAAAAGATTACATTGTGGTTGTTATTTCTGTCTGATGATTTCATTTTTCTATTCTAAGAACTCATCAATGATGATTTAACTCTTGTGTAAATGTAGATCAAAATTAATTGTGTTATAAGGGATGGTGTCCAAATGATGATAGTAATTGTAGGAAAACAAACTTTACCTTTCACTTGAATTTTTCAAAGCTTAAAAACTTCAATTGTTCAAAAATTCTACACTCATGAAATATCATCATTACCCCTTCCCATATGACGAAATCAATTCCATTCTTCCATGACTGTTGACACCATTTCATAGGATTCTTATTCACCGTTAAATGAGAGAGAGAATTCATCCCAGGAGTGAGGATTTTTTAGATGCTTATATGCCAGGGAGTCTTGAAAAGGCCGGGTGTCGGGTGTGGTATGGCAAGTGATTTTAGACAGTTATATCTTTCACCACGAGTACCTTCTGTGCATAAATACAGTGATTTTCATATAAAAGATAATATGCATTCTTTCAAGTGAAGTGTCCATAATGATAAATATATCAATCCAACTCTCTGGAAAATTGTGGATAAGGACCTTCTCACTAAATTTTAGGCTTGATTTCTAAAAAGAGGGTCTTGTTTTTCTCAATTTAAACATATAAAAAGATTCTTCTACATTTTATTAACATTAACATTTCATCTGGAATAGAGGATAGGCATTGAAATGCGATAAAGTTAAAAGCCACATATCCCATGTTATTTTCCATAGGGAAAACTCATGTTATCCATTGTTTTCAGCATATTTTTGGTTATCGAAAATTGATATCTTCAAAACTAGACTTTCAATACCATTCTACTTTTGAAGAGGTTTTAGAGCCCTTGTTGAATAATTTCTTAATGCAATAAAAATCAGAAAAGCAAGATCTTCTTTTGAGTAAATAGGTTCAACATTTTCAAAAAAAAAGTTAAACTTTAATGTTTACATTTTTCAAATTGTTCGATTGATATTTTATCGTTCTTGAGAATGTACTTGAAAGACAATATATGTGTTAAGGAGAAATGCCATATTAATGTTAAGAAAATACCCATGGTGAAAGATATAACCATCTAAAATCACTTACCATACTACACCTGGTCCTTTGACTGTGTTTGTTTTGTCTAGTGAACACTAGAAAGAAGGCACTAGGCCTTTGAGTAGTCTTGCTTAAAAGACCCTGTACTCCCCCCCCCCCCTTATCCTTCTCTGTATATTGCCAGGTAAAGAGAGTGAAGGTGACGGGGGGGGGGGTGGATACAGTCTTTGGGCAAGACTAGCCTTTGAGAAACTCTCGATTTGCAAATTATCTGTAAGCCTGTAAACTCAGTGTCTACAACAGATCTTTCAATGATGCATTATGTTTGAGTCTCAAATTCTGCTTTGTACTTGGTCCATGATGCTTTTTTCACTCGGAGTTAAAAGGTAGTTCTCTTGCTTTATGTACCATGCCTTAATATAGCCATATTCTCTTTGTTTAAAACAAATTGATGTCTGGTGCTTTCAGTTCTAAAATTCAAGACAACCACATAGCAGAGGTATCCCCTGACTTGATGTCTCACGACATGTATAGAGAGAAGCTACGGGAGAAATGGGAGCAAGAAGAAAGAGAGGCATTGGAACGTCCTGTTGGTCCAACACACTATTCTAATGTACAGTATGATGGTAAGAGCTCATTTTCATACATGTCAATTTTGTATTGTACGTTTACACATAGCTTGCTATGGATTTGCCTTCTAACCAATTAAAATGCAGTATAGCAATGTGTTATCAATGGTTATATGGCATGTCTGTTCATCCATCTATCCATCCATCTGTCAGCATCAGTGGAACAAATTAAAACAGCTTTTAGGTGGTATGCACTTTCTTCTTGCCTGCCATCCTCTTTGTTTTTGAGTAATTGGCAATTTTGACATTAAAGTTACATTTTCTTTTTAAATTAAAAAAGATATTCTGTTGAGAAAAAAATCATAACATGAGGCTTATCAGATATGGGCATTAAGAAAATTCCTATGCTCATGAATAACAGGATTTTACATTAACTCATTGAAACTAAACAAAAAGTGAAACTTTGTTATTTCAAAGAATATCATACTATGTTTCATGTGGTAACAGTTCACTGAGCTAGCACAGGGGCTGTTGGTCTTATCAGATTCCAAGCTAGCATATGGTCCTTGTAAAAAATTAGTATGTAAATAGTCTTGTATTTAACTATGAATATAATACAATACTCAATGCATCATTTTTTCATTGAAAAGATAGGTTCTTGTGCTTAAATCTTTTACATGTGGTTAGCTACTCGTCTGTTCCGAGATTCAATACAGGCTTTGTCATACCAATATAGTTTTGAAATCATGCATGTTAACAAATTAAAACGATCTTGCATGTATTCATTGTATTGTATTGTTTATTTATCCAGCTCAAATACACTAAATAGAGTCAGTTACAATGATAAAGTTACATATATTTATGAACTCCTACAATAAATGATAAATTGAGTTGTGAATTAGTTGAAATAAGAATCATAGATCCTATAGGTCCTATGCCAGTATACAGAGTGTCTCAAAAAAAATGTTACACTTACAAAAAGTTCAATATCTTTCATAATTTTGACTCTTCCCCTAAAATATACTTTGGATACCAACAGACAAATCTTTCTCGAATAAGTTGACACCATCAGATTCAAAATCTGTCCTTGATTGGCTCCACAGGACAGCTTTTAGGGTCCCATAGTAAAATCTGACTTGCGCCAACTTCTAAGTAATTGGATGGACCAAATGACAAAAGAGGAACAGTTTCTTTAACATTTAACTTTCTTCTGAGCAGAAACTTGACCTTTGCGAGTCATTCTGTAATTTTCCTATTTGTCTTACATATGGTCTTTTGGTCTATCCACATAAACATTGTGGTCCCCTCAACGTGTTGAATGTGAAAGCAAATCTGAGGATCTGAGGTACCCTTGCCCATATGCGAACATGCATTGTAATATCACACTGATTCCATCAATTATTTTTGTAGAAGTTCATTTAGGATGTGATGCTGTAAAGCGCTTTCAGAGGCCCTTAAAAAATTAAGGATGTAAAGTGGGATGACCCTGGGGGCCAATCAATAGGGTAATTCAATGCTACTTTCTGATTTCCAAAGAGTTCTACCAAATGATCTGCCACAGGCCTTTGCACCATCCTTTTGCCATCATACGTAACGAAATTGAACCGTTGACAATGAAATGTTGTATTTCTATCCAGGAAAGAAACAACTGGATCATTGATGATATCAAGATATCACTGTCCACAGCATTCACACCAAAAAAGAATTGATCACCACACGTCCAACCACTGAGAGGTTGGCGCAAATCAGATTTCACATGCGTCTATAAAATCTGTCCTGCGCAGCCAATCATGGACGGATTTTGAATCTGATGGTGTGGATTTATTCGAGAGAGGCTGGTCTTTTGGTATCTAAGTATATTTTAGGGGAAAAGTCAAAATCATGAAAGATATTGAACTTTTTGTAAGTGTAACATTTTTTTGAGACACATTGTAGTTAAACATTAAAGGATTTAATTGTTTTGAGTACACTAACAATAAAGGATATTCTGCATCATTCTGTTCTCAACTAACAGGTACTTCTAGGAGATATTTGTACAATTAATGAACATACATATATATGTCAAGCTAAGTTTCATGGTGAATCATAGAAATTGATATTCAATATAATTGAAGTATACATCCAAAAGTAAACAATACAGCATTATTTACTATTAAATCTGCAAAAAAAGTTTTCATGTGTGCAATTTTGTAATTTGTGTACATATGTGATAATTGTGATATAACTAAGTATTTCTTGACACAGTTTACTATACTAAATCCTCTGCTTTGTGCCTTTAATCTCAGCAATTAATTCATCTTGGTTTGTTGAGTTTGATGACTCTATAAATATGCATCCAGAGAAATATTGAAATGCCCTTTCGAAAATGAAATGTTGAATGAAGAAATATTTAAATGAATAAAGTTTAGCTTAGTTCAGTTTAATTACCTCACGTTTGAAGAGCTCTCATGTATTGTACAACTTCGTCTACATCCGGTTTCTTTCCCATTGGATTACACAGGGGTGCGATTTTTAATGCCGCTATATACAACAAAGCTTTTTATACAACATATATTTACAACATATACATTATGTTATACAACAAAGCTTTTTGAACTATAATCCCCAAATCCGAAGAAATCTGTAGTTTAAAATGCCGTCTAATTCCAGTGACGTCACTGATTTCCAAGAAATTGCTCAGACGCCATTGAATATCGAAAAAATATAAGTAATGTTACTTTGAATCTCAGATTATCTTTCTGATTATTGAATAGATTAGATCATATAACTATGCTTGAGGGCTGATGGAAGATCGGAAGCTGAAACACTGTCATTTTGTCAAGATTCACGCTAGTTTTATCAGAATTTGTTGAAATTTTGTTCGAGTAATCGTTCGCCATTTTGATGCTATAGGGCCTACATACGCTATGATGTAATCATTGACCAAGGAAGTTAGCGGATCGTGACCTTTGACTTTGCAATCTCCGGATGTTACGTTCAGAGTAATCGACTTGTTCGTCGGGCCAATGAAAATTTTCCCTTCCAAAGCGATGCATCATGGGATATATTTATGTAAATTACCACCTGAACTCTTATCGTGAATTGGAGTATTATTAAGTTTCTGATTTGATAATAATGTAACTGTTCAACCAAAAATGTGGGATCTAAATGTAGGGCCTATGTTGTGGCATTGATTCTTAGTTCACTGTTCTTCTATTTCTTTGTATCCAAGAAAAGCTGACAAGGGTGTTTTGGGCTCCTGTTCAACAATAACCTTCACATACATAGTATCATCTACAACATAACCCTGACTTGGGTCAAGTACTGTTGCTAGGTCAAGGAACTTTGGTATTCCAGTAGGCACATTGCTTTCAGCAACAGGCTTCCCCCAGGTGTTGAGTGCTTTGTTAGGTCTAAAGGCATCCATGTAGTCTTTCTTTGAGTCAGTCTGGTTCATGATCCCTAGGGTTATTTTCTGGTTGAATGGCCAGGGGAGGAGCGCATCGAACGGACTCTTACACATCATTATGTAAATGCTCACATGCGTTCCAAGACCGAGTCCATCACCATTCGGGTAGACCCTGATTTTCAACTTGTAGCCCCCTCTCCTTGTGTAGAAAGCTGGTGATGTTATACTTGCTGGATCTCTGACTTTTGCTGCTTGAAATTTTGCCTGGAAATCTTCTATTGGTAGTATCATGATTCCATTGTGCACTGCTAGTTGAGAGTCAGCCATAGCTGTATCCAACTGCTTGATTGAATCTTCCTGACGAGTGATGAACTTATCAGTGCGTTGGTGCTGGACAAACAGGTTTTTCAGAACTTGGAAGAAATGTTTCTGGATTCCACTTTCTAAGTTCGCCAATCTGCTTTTTATCCATTGTGATTCTTCTTGCAATACTTTAATCACTTTGTTAAATATTTCTTCCTTTTCAAAGGTAAGATCAACTGTGTCCTTTATTATAACAAGTTTATGTCGGTGTTCTGTTGTGTCTACTTCAATTTGATTTTCAAGAGTGTCAAGTTTTTGTAAGAAGCAGTTTTCTATGTTTGCTAGATCTGCTGCAGTCTCATCACTCAATAATGAACAAATCCTTTTGGTATCATTAACTAAATGAAAGAGGTCAGATGTACGATTAGTAGTATCTATAGCTTCTTTTGTAAGATTAGAATCAACCTTGCTCTGTTCATTAGTGTCTCTGGTGTTTTCTCCTACCTCAAATTTATTACCGATACTGCCTCGTAATGCTTCTCTGTGCTTTGCTTTGCTCTTTTGCTTTTTACTGTGACCAGATATACCTTGGTAACCTTTTGCTTTTTGGATCTTTAATGTTGCTATTTTTGCCTTCTCATTCCTCTCTTTGTCATTATCAGCATTCCCCAGTTTGGCTTCTGTGTCAGCTTGGAGTTGATCCCCATGACATTGCCTTCTAATTGCCATACTCTCTTCATGATATATAGCAGCTTTGGTGGAATCACCTTTATCACTGTATACTTTTCCAATATTCTCCTGATCACCATAAAGAATACTCCTCATGGTCAAACTTTCTCCATGATGTTTAATATCTCTTTTGAGGTCACCTTTATTGTTATATTCTTTTCCAATGTTGTCCAGTGAGGCTGCTATGTCACTGTGTGGTTGATCTCCATAAATTTCCTTTCTCATTTCCAATCTGTTTTCATGATATTCCATTGCCTTGTCAGAGTGTCTAATGCTTAAATAAGCATTCCCGATGTTGTTTAATGAGTCTCCTTTGTGGGGGTGTGGTCTGTTCCAGCGTAGCTGTTTCAATTTTTAATACTATCATGATAGTAATGTATTTCACTGTATCTAAACAAAAAAAGGAAAACACCAATCATAAGAAAGTACAAAATGAATGGGGAAATGTGAATTCATGTATTAAGCAATAAAATCCTGATTTTTTAATTTTGCCATTTCTTACTAAGAAACAGATAATCATAACATTAATCTAAAAGGGAGAAATGTAGAGAAAGACTCTGTCTATCTATATCTTCATCCTGGAAATAACTTAAATACTCTTAACTTGACATTATTCATATTTGTTATAACTCAAAAGTATTAAAAGAAAGACAAAAAGATCAAAGAACATAAAGGAATACCGTTTGCACAATTCAAAAAATTATGAATAGGGACTCCATGTCAACAAGTTTTTTCAAAATGTTACACCTATTTACTCAAAAGAGGATCTTATTTTTCTGATTTTTTTATTGCATGAAAAGATTATTCAACAAGGGGTTAAAACTTCTGCAAAAGTAAAATGGTATTGAAAGTCTAGTTTTGACGATATCAATTTTCGATGACCAAAGTTATGCTGAAAACAATGGATAGCACTTACTTCCTGCGAAAGCTATTTGGATTTTGATATAATATCTTTCCCAAGGAGCATTTTGACAGCTGAATGATTGTGACCTTTGAAATCGAATTAAGTCGATCCGCGGCTTACTTTTGGTCTCTAACTGTGTCTTACATCAGTATCATCAATCTGTGTAAGTATTAGAGCGCTAAAATACTTCTTTTTCGATCAAGACTTGTAAATTGTTCATCGAGTGAATGATTTTTAGACCTATTTCCAATATGGCGGTTTGCTAGGTGCGAGATACGCAACGAACAAAATGAATTTTGAGAATTAGTTAGGTTCGGACAACCTCCGGAGATTTACGAAAATGTCCGAGCAGAAAACGCCATATTGGAATTAAGCAGTAAAAGCATTCACTCGACTAATAATTACAAGTCTTGATCAAAAAGGAAGTACTCCAGCGCTCCAATACTTACATGGATTGATGATACTGATGTAAGACACAGTTAGAGACCAAAAGTAAGTCACGGATCGACTTAATTCGATTTCAAAGGTCACTATTGATGAGCTGTTCACTTCCCCGTTTAAGAGCCATAAGTTTCAAAATCTAACATGGCTCTCGAAGTGAGTAAGATAGCACAAGTTTTCCCTATGGGAAAATGACTAGGAATATGTGGTATTTAACTTTAATGCATATCAATACCCATTCCCTTTTCAGAAATTGTTAATGAAGTGTAGAAGAAACTTTTGATATGTTTAAATTGAGGAAAACAAGATCCTTTTTTTTGAAGTAAGCCTTAACATTTTTAAATAAAAAAGTGCCAAGGTGGGGTCCTAAACCATAATTTTTCAGAAAGTTTGTTCGATATTTTACTATCATGGGGACTTCACGTTGTTTTAATAAAAACCACTGTATTTATGGCCAGAAAGTACATCTAAAATACTGCACATGGACCTTTAGAGATTCAACCAGCAGGTCTCCATGCATGTGAAGTTCTTTCATTTGATTTCATTAAAGAGTGAATGCTTTCAACTCGTACCTGTCTAACCAATATAATGAAAGAGCAATTAAGTACACCAGCTAGAGTCGCTTTACTCTGAGATTTAGGTTGGAGACCAATTATGAAGCAAAATAGATTATTTTATTTACTTGAAAGATTAGAGCTTAAAGTTGTAAGATTTTAGGTGATTTAGGTCTTAGTATAGTATTCAAAATTATAATCAATATAATAAGAAAATAATGCATATTATTCCATAATAACATGTTTTCCCTGGGAAAATAACAGGGAATAAAAGTGTTATTTGAAAAATCCCGTATCAGATCCCGTATCAGCCAAAATCCCGTATCAGATCCCGTATTGGATCCCGTATCAGCAAAAATCCCGTATCAGATCCCGTATCAGAAATATTCCCGGTAATTTCTCTTGAGTTTTACGCTTTTCGTCTAGCACATCTCTACAGGAAGTAAAAAAATCGTTTGGAAAATTGAAATTATTGAAATTATTATAATTTTATGTCACAATCATTGGATGATGACATACAAAAATTGAAAAAAAAAAATTATGAAATAAATAGGTTATTGATGGTCGTGATGGAATATGGATTTATTCCTTGAGAAAATATGATATTGGCCTCAGAAAATATCATATTGACACTCGGGCTATCGCCCTCGGTCAATATGATATTTTCCTTGGCCAATATCATATTTTCCCTCGGAATAAAATCCATATTCCATCCCTCACATAAATAACCTCTATTTATCTATTTCGCTAATTGTTATCATGAGTTTTTATCTTGCCACCTGAAATACCCATAATGTACATATGCGAATACAATTTTGATGCATTATTTATAAGGATAAATGTAGGCTGTTTCAACTGAACATTTACATAAGCTCATTGAAAGTATGGCTGATATTAATTTTATTTACTCAGTGGTCCCCACCTGGTTATAAAGCCTTTATAAAAAATGTATGAACTTCAGGAAAGTTATATTTTCATCATTTTCACCAACAAAGAGGTTGATTTATATTCAAATATTTTACCAGTATGTTAATAGTAAAACCCAATTTCCGAAAAGCTATAGTCAGTCACAATATACAATCAAATATACCCAGTGGCTCTAATAATTGAGTAAGAATTTCTCACTTCAGTTACTATTAGATCAAGAATTCAGTTTATCCATAATGATTCATATTTGATCATACAAAAAATGTTTATTCAAAAAAAGGATATATTTGTTTGTTATAAGGTATGGGGGATTCAGATTTTTTAATTTTTTAAATTGGTTCAACACATGGTATAAACACATTTTGTACATGCATAATATATTGCTTAATTGGAAGAATGATTCATAAGTAATAAACTTTGCTCTTACCTCCTTTTAGGTGTGGTCCTGGGTTTAACTCTACACCTCCTCTAATCAGCAGTAGCTTAATAACATTAGAAACCTTCCTCATTGAATCACCAATGTCACAAATGTTAAGTCCATGTTCTGGAAATGAAATATTTGGGCCTTTCCTCAGCAGAACTCTTGCTAGGATTTAAGACTTTGGCAAAACCTATTGGCAAACCATGATTGTTTCCACACTCTAAACTTGACCAAATACTCAACTATAGCATGTAAAGAGGATAAAATGTAACATAAATATGATTTATCATCACTGAACAGTAATGTTGAAGATGTTTCCGCCTGAATATTTCCTGGTGAGAGCCCTACTCAGTATTCAAACAGATAAGATTTATGTTTGTAGCATAAGCAAGGTTATACTAGTGATGTTGATTTCATCTCCCTTGTGTTGATGATTAACTGTGCTGTATTGTCATTGTTTTTTGAATTCCATATTGTATAAATGTACCAATGATCCAACATCCCTGTTCAGCACCAACTCCCATTGCTGTCCTTGCAATTAATTGTCATTGTGGTGGAAAATGTTATATGTTTCCTCGTATTACCATGAAACTCGTATTGATTAAGTGCAACATAATGAACATAATACGGGGAATCCCCTTCAAAGATGATGCAGCAATGAAGTGGAATTTTCCCTTTAGAGAAGTTAACCAATAAACTATTTTTATGCTTGAGGTTATTTGAATAGGTTATTTGCTTCTAGTCAAACCTTTCAAAAATATTTGAAAGCATGCTATTCAGCAGAATTGATTGCCTTTGTTATATGTAAACACTTTAAAATAAAAATGAATTTTCTGGTTTTGGAATTTGTGTTTTATATGATTGTTGTCATGTGGAGAATAATAACTAGATTTTGGAAATTGAACGAAGTTCAATTTCAGACTCCAGATCTAGACTTTTTTTAGCCGAGTCATCCAGAATAAGCCGAGTCATCCAGAATAAGCTGAGTCATCTAGAAAGAGATGGATAAATAAAATAGGAAGGTAGGATAGAATAGGAAAGAACGATAGGATAGAATAAGAAAGAAGAATAGGATAGAATAGAATAGGAAGAAAGGATAGGATAGGATAGGATAGGATAGGAAGCATAGGAAGGAAAAGATATGAAGGAAGGATAGATAGGAAGGATAGGGTAGGATGAGATAGGAGGATGGATGAATTTTTCAATATTTTCTTCTCTACTCTTGACTTTCTATCAGGATATCATCAGATCGATTTTTCTCGAAATTTCAAAACGCCATAACTTTCGAACCGGAATTCGGATCGAAATTTGGTTTACAGATTTGGATTCCTGGGGAAATTCTACCCCTAATTGATGACTCATACCTTGAATTTGGAGAACTTTTGTTTTGACCTACTTTCTGGACGCCATATTTCAAAATCGGTAAGAGTAACCAAAAAACGGATGGCAAGTACATGAAAGGGCTGTTTCTAAGGTACATGATGAAAAAAAGATGAAGACGTTTCGATAAATAACGACGAAGATAATAGACAGAAGGTTGAAAAGACAGAAGGTTGAAAATGTAAGATTTGACCTAGTTCTTGACCTTTGACCTAGATAAAAATTTGACCCAATTTCCGAGGAACTAGATACTGGACCTGAATTGAACATATACAGGACTTGACTCAATGTCTTCTAGTTATTGAGAAAACGTGTTAAGAAAAAGAATAGATTTTGGAAATTGAACGAGTTCAATTTCAGACTCCAGATCTAGACTTTTTTTAGCCGAGTCATCCAGAATAAACCAAGTCATCCAAAATAAGCTAAGTCATTAAGAAAAAGAAGGATGGATGGATGGATGGATGGATAAAAAAGGAAGGATAGGATAGAATAGGAAGGAACGATAGGATAGAATAGGAAAGAAGGATAGAATAGAATAGGAAGAAGGGATAGAATAGGAAGGAGAGGATACGAAGCAAGGGTAGATAGGAAGGATAGGATAGGATCAGAAAGGAAGGATGGATGTATTTTCAATATTTTCTTCTCTATTCTTGACTTTCTATCAGGATACCATCAGATCGATTTTTCTTGAAATTTCAAAACGCCATAACTTTCGAACCGGAAGTCGGATCGAAATTTGATTTGCAGATTCGGATTCCTGACAAAATTCTACCTCTAATTCATAACTCAAACATTAAATTTGGCGAATTTTTATTTTGACCCACTTTTCGGACACGCCATAACTTCGGAACCGGAAGTCGGATTGAAATTTAGTTTGCAGATTCGGATTTCTGAGAAATTTTTTTTTAAATTTATAACTCAAACGTTAAATTTGGAGAACTTTTTATTTTGACCTACTTTTCGGATACCATATCTCAAAAGTGGGTCAAAATACTTTCTGACGGCAAAAGGCTAACGCTATTAGCACACTCTTGGCTACATGTATACACAATTTTGAGGAATATAATTAAAGTGTAGTGTCAGAATGGCAAAAATAAGGATAAACTATGAATTTGACCTAGATTTTGACCTAGGGATTTTGGTGTCCAAATTTTGAAGTTAGGTAGCCTTCGAGGTTCCCTTCTTTCATAGGCTTTCATTATTTTAAGCTGTACTTAGTCTATATCTCGTATTTTACACTTCAAAAAAATCTTTTTTCCCATTGACATAACATGGGGCACCAAATTTAGCGATTTTTGAGCTTTCAAAATGACATTACTTCCGAACCGGAAGTCGGATCGAAATTTGGTTTGCAGATTCGGATTCCTGGAAAAATTCTATACTTAGTTCATAACTCACACGTTAAATTTGGAGAATTTTTTATTTTGACCTACTTTTCGGACACCATATCTCAAAAGTGGGGCAAAATACTTTTTGACGGCAAAAGGCTTACACTATAAGCATACTCTTGGCTACATGTATACAAAATTTCGAAGAATATAATTAATCTGTAGTGTCAGAATCGCAAAAATAAGGAAAAACTTTGAATTTGACCTAGATTTTGACCTAGGCATTTTGGTGTCCAAATTTTAAAGCTAGATGGCTTTTGAGGTCCCATTCTTTTAAAAGCTTTCATTATATTTAGCTGAACTCAGTCTATATTTCGTATTTTTCACTTCAATAAAATCTTTTTTCCCATTGACTTAACATGGGCTCCAAAAGCGATTTTTGAGCTTTCAAAACGCCATAACTTCAGAACCGGAAGTCTGATCCAAATTTCGTTTTCAGATTCGGAATCCTGAGAAAATTTCCTATAAGACTTATATCCTGGACATTTAATTCGGAGAACTTTTTTTTGGACCTCGTTTTCGGACACTGATATCTCGAAATCGGTTTGAGATATCAAAAAACTAAATCGACCCTAGATTTTCTACTTTTTTATAAGGAACTCAATGAAAAAAATTCGGATCGAAAATATTGAAGGACGACCGAGAAAATCGCAAAAAGTGACAAAGTACTGGATTTGACCTAGTTCTCGACCTTTGACCTAGATAAAAATTTGACCCAATTTCCGAGGAACTAGATTCTGAACCTAAATTGACCAAACGATTGTCTTAACTAGAGATTTTACAGTTATTGAGAAAACTTGCTTAGAATAATAATAACTAGATTTTGGAAATTGAACGAAGTTCAATTTCAGACTCCAGATCTAGACTTTTTTTAGCTGAGTCATCCAGAATAAGCCGGGTCATCCAGAATAAGCTGAGTCATCTACAAAGAGATGGATAAATAAAATAGGAAGGTGGGATAGGATAGAATAGGAAAGAACGATAGGATAGAATAAGAAAGAAAGGATAGGATATGATAGGAAGGATAGGAAGGAAAAGATACGAAGAAAGGATAGAAAAGATACGAAGAAAGGATATAAAGGAAGGATAGGATAAGATCAGATAGGAAGGATGGATGAATTTTTCAACATTGTCTTCTCTACTCTTGATTTTCTATCAGGATACCATCAGATCAATTTTCCGAAATTTCAAAACGCCATAACTTCCGAACCGGAAGTCGGATCGAAATTCGATTGAAAGATTCGGATTCCTGACAAAATTCTACCCCTAATTCATAACTCATACGTTAAATTTGGAGCTTTTTTATTTTGACCTACTTTTCGGACACACCATAACTTCCGAACCGGAAGTCGGGTCGAAATTTGGTTTGCAGATTCTGATTCCTGACAGAATTCTACCCTTAATTCATAACTCATATATTAAATTTGGAGAACTTTTTATTATGACCTACTTTTCGGACACAATATCTCAAAAGTGGGTCAAAATAATTTCTGACGGCAAAAAGCTAACACTATGAGCATATTCTTGGCTACATGTATACACAATTTCGAAGAATATAATTAGAGTGTAGTGTCAGAATCGAAAAAATAAGGAAAACCTATGAATTTGACCTAGATTTTGACCTAGGCATTTCGGTGTCCAAATTTTAAAGCTAGATGGCTTTTGATGTCCCCTTCTATTAAAGGCTTTGATTATATGAAGCTGAACTCAGTCTTTTTTCCGTATTTTTCACTTCAAAAAAATATTTTTTCCCATTGACTTAACATGGGCACCAAATTTAGCGATTTTTGAGTTTTCAAAACGCCATAACTTCCGAACCGGAAGTCGGATCGAAATTTGGTTTGCAGATTTAGATTCCTGGTAAAATTCTACACCTATCTCATAACTCATATGTCGATTTCCGATAACTTTTTGTTGTGACCTACTTTCTGGACGCCATATTTCAAAATCGGTAAGAGTAATCAAAAAATGGATGGCATAGTTATGAAAGGGCTGTTTCTTAGCTACATGATGAATAAAAGATGAAGACGTTTCGAGAAATAACGACGAAGATAATAGACAGAAGGTTGAAAATGTAAGATTTGACCTAGTTCTTGACCTTTGACCTAGATAAAAAATTGACCCAATTTCCCACCAACTAGATTCTGAACCTAAATGAACTGTATAATGGTCTTTGCTGGATACCTTATAGTTATAGAAAAAACGTCTAAAGAATAATAAAGAATAATAATAAGAAGAATACTGGCAAAAACAATAGACTCCAGATTGACATCTGGAGTCTAATAAGAAGAAAAAGAATAATAAGAAAACTGACGAAAACAATAGACTCCAGATTTCATCTGGAGTCTAATAACCATATCCACTCTGTTTCAAATGTCTTTCCCAAAATAGTTGGTAAGGTCTACACATTCCAGTTAACTATAGCTATAGTCAAGTAGTAGATCAAGTTCTAAGATGAAAGTCACACGACGCTCTTAGCAATCTACTAGCATGTGACCATTGTTCCCATATTATATTAAAGACTTGTAAAAAAAATCCCAACTGTATTGACCATTCATGATGCACAATCTGTTTCTGTTTTCATTTGGATTTACAAATCATATTATCATCCCACTGAATAAAGTTCATTAAGGGATAAAGTCCAGAGAAGTTCTATTTTTCTTGACATTGTTTTTGTCAATGTTGCAATTCTTGATTTACAATTTTGCAATGCTTCAAAACAAAATCCTCAAGTTTACATTTTTGTAAGCTATTGAAATAATATAATAATATTGTAATAATATAATATATAAATATTGTAAATTGATCATCAAAAATCATCAAAACCAACATTCAATTTCTATAATGACAACTTATATTTATTTTTTTGTGAAATCCAACTAAACCTCAGAAACAACACTGAATTTTTAACAAATTGTGAAATTGTAAACCACTTCTGTGAATTGGAGTTTCTCATTGAAACCAGCATTGAATTTCATCATTCACAAATTATGAACTTATAATACAACTATAAATGGGAAACAATGCTCTAGAGATATTAAGAGTGCAATAGTATTAACATATTGAAAATAATAGGTGCAGATATATCTAAACATTTAAAGTGATCTCACTGAGGACATTGTAGGTGTTTTTAGCTTTTATAGGTATATTCAGTATGTATCTATTAGTATTTCATACATGTACCTACTGAGGTTCTAGGTACATAACGAGCGGGAATATATACTGTATCTTGGGAGCTATCCCCAAGGCCCAGGACCGGGATGGATACACGCGCTGTATCCATCCCGGTCCCGCTCCTGAAAAAAAAATTCACATAAAAAAAAATTTATTTCAAATTTTTTTTTTCAAAATTATTTTAATTTTTTTTTTAAATTGAATGTTTTTTTTTCAAAAAAATTTCCAAATTGTTTTTTCAAAATTTTTAAAAAAAAATTTTCACATTTTTATTTATTTTTGAATTTTTTTTTCAAAATTTTTTTTTTACATTTTTTGAAAATCTTGCAAACTTTAAGACCAAGAAAACGCTTACCTTAAGTATGTTTTGGAATTTTGGATCTTTATAAGGTATGATGTACCTAGAACCTCAGTAGGTATGAAATACATCTGTTATGTACGGTCGGTTTTGGATACAGGGTTTATCCCGCGGGAAATATGTGTATCTCCCTCGGTGCCTGTGGTCCCTAGGGAGATAAACCCTGTATCCAAAACCTCCCAGTACATAACCCTCATCTATGTGATTTGTGATTATTATATCATATTTACTGATCTTCTATTTCCTTGTAGCCAAGGAAGGCTGATAGGGGTGTTTTGGGCTCCTGTTCAATGATCACCTTCACATACATGGTATCATCTACAACATACCCTTGGCTTGGATCTAGTACTGTTGCAAGGTCAAGGAACTTTGGTATTCCAGTAGGCACATTGCTTTCAGCAACAGGCTTCCCCCAGGTGTTGAGTGCCTTGTTAGGTCTAAAGGCATCCATATAATCTTTCTTAGAGTCCATCTGGTTCATGATCCCTAAGGTTATTTTCTGGTTGAATGGCCAGGGGAGGAGCGCATCAAACTGACTTTTACACATCATTATGTAAATGCTCACATGCGTTCCAAGACCAAGACCATCACCATTCAGGTAGACCCTGATTTTCAACTTGTAGCCCCCTCTCCTTGTGTAGAAAGCTGGTGATGTTATACTTGCTGGATCCCTGACTTTTGCCTTTTGAAATTTTGCCTGGAAATCCTCTATTGGTAGTATCATGATTCCATTGTGAACTGTAAGCTGAACGTCAGTCATAGCTGTGTCCAACTGCTTGATTGAATCTTCCTGACGAGTGATGAACTTATCAGTGCGTTGGTGCTGGACAAACAGGTTTTTCAGAACTTGGAAGAAATGTTTCTGGACTCCACTTTCTAAATTGGCTAATCTATTTTTTATCCATTTTGATTCTTCTTGCAGCACTTGAATTACGCTGTTGAACATTTCCTCCTTGTCATAGGTTAATTCAACTGAGTCCTTGATTACAACAGCTTTATGTTGGTTTTCTGTTTTGTCTACTTCACTGTCTATACCTACCTGTCTCTCGAGTCTATTTAGTTTTTGTAAGAATTGGTTTTCTATGTTTGCTAGATCCGCTGTAATGTCATTACTGAGAAATGTGCAAATCCTCATAGTGTCCTTTATTAAATGAAGGAGCTCTGATGTGTTTGAGATATTTGTAGCATCTTCTGTACTTCCAGGTTGTTCTCTAGTTTCTTCTGAATTGTTGTTATTTACTTTCCCCATCATTTGAACATCAGTACTTTCCACAGGGGATGCTGTTTCGTTATGTTTTGGCTTTGAATGGTTCTGTTTCTTCCGTCTTTGCTTAATATCTATAATATTTATAACAAAATGTGATAATTAATAAGAAAGATTTTAAAGACCAGGTATGGTATGGTAAATGATTTTAGACAGGCAAATCTTTGAAAATGATTATTGTCTCATCAAAATAATTTCTTCCTATTGATGTGCCCAGTATTATGAAATAATTATCAATTCGTCTTTCTGAATACTCATGGATCAGGACCTTACCTTAAATTTTCCAAAATATCTGACTTTTTTCTATAAAAATGATCTTATTTTTCATATTTAACCATATCATACCTTGAAAAAAGCTGTAGTTTTGCGGAAGATTTAGAAAAAATGTGGTAGTTTTACGGTAGATTTTAAAAAATGTTGTAGTTTTACGGTAGATTTCGAAAAATGCGGTAGTTTTTTCGGTAATTTGTTGAAAAACTGATACTTTTGCGGAAGATTTGCAAAAAAAATGCGGTATTTTTACGGTAGATTTTGAAAAAATGCGGTATATATTTCTGAAGGTTTATTCACCGCAGCCAGAAGGGCGAGGTAAATACATCCCTAAGAAATATATACAGATATTAAACGATCATTAAACATTAAACATTAAACATTTTATCATACTGAAAACAAATTCACTGGTGATCCACTCAATGACACTGGAACCGTTTCGGTAACAAAATGTCAAAACGTCGAAGGCACAATTTTTTCTTTTTTCCTTATTTCACATGTTGTAGGCAGAATTCCTACATAATCCCAACTACATTTTTATCACAAATGTGTATTAGTATCATATGATTAAGAAAATGTACACATTCGCGAAAAAAATAGTTCAGAAGACAACGGAATCGTCAATTTAATCCCTCACTTAAGTTACCGAAATGGTATTTCAAAAAACAGTCTGCACTTTTAACATTTACCGTTTATGTAACTTAAGTGAGGAATTAAATCAACGATTCTGTTGTCTTCTGAGCTATTTTTTCAAAAACATGTACCTTTTATAAAACATATGATACTGCTACACGTTTTTGTGAGAAAAAATGTTGTTGGGATTCTGACAACAACGAAAAAGAAAAATCGTACCTTCGACGTTCCGACATTTCATTACCGAAACGAACCGTTTCGGTAACCAGCGTAATCGAGGGGATCACCAGTGAAATTGATTAAACTATGTATATATGACATTCATTACTGATCATAACAAACCAAACTACGCATATTTCATATGCTAAAACAATTAGTTTTTTGTCATTTCCACTCACTTATTTAGATGAAGCGCAACTAAAATCATATTTTTGTTGCATTCAGAATAGAGATCTGTGTACAAAAGGGTTTGGTTAACTACAAAAATCATGGCAGAAAGAATGCCTTCAAGTGGTAGTTGGTGTTTGGACGCCAGCTTACTTAGATAAATGCGCAATAACCTGATGACTACAGACCTGCCGATACCTATTTATATTCAGGTTGGTAAAGGAATATTACAGGGACAGTGCACGAAGACGAACAAAAATGCTGTTGATTTTAGCAGAAATACGGTAGATTTTCAGAAATTTACGATCGATTTTCTAAAATTGACAGTATATTTTATGGCCGTTCTCATGGAAAAAATGAGTTTTAAAAAAAAATTACGGTAGATTTCGAAATAAATGGTAGATTTCTTTACAAGCTTTTTTACGGGGGAAAAAATGGAATTTTTTTTCAGTAGTTTGTCATTTTTTTTTCGGAAAAAACGAAAAATTTACGGTAGATTCCCGTAAAAATATGGTAGGTTGGCAGGTATGCATATGCACTATTTCCTCTTTTACTTCTGTTGAGTCCCAGGATCAAATTTTGCTATGCTGGAATGGGACAAATGAATCATGGAATCCCTACTATCTTCAATGCAAATTCCGAGGTGGTACTATTTTACTTCTACTGCAGTAGAAACAAGTGAATTAATCAGCTGGCCCACTGTCAGATAAGGACACATTTATTCATAAAAGAGAAAAATGTTCCCTCATAGATTTTGATACTGATCACTTGAAATAACACATTGCTATCATGTTATAAGATGTGCCAAAAATACATATTTTAGTAGATTAGAACCATGGATATTTTAAAAGAATTATAAAAAAGATTCAAACAGAAACTGCCTAATACTTACAAATGAGACAATACCCAGCATCATGGCAGTTCGTAATGTTTAATACCTTTTGATTTTTCATTTTTTAATGTTGTCCCTTGTGTTGTCTTTGCTCTTAGGGTTACACCATCAATTTCCTTTTCGGCTTCTGCTTCATCAGTATGTGGTTGTTTTCCATGGAGAAGTCTCTTGATTTCTGAACTCTTTTCTTGATATTTCATTGCCTGATTGAGGTCACCTTTACTTTCATAGATTTTTCCTATATTCTCAAGTGCATTTGCAATGTCAGTGTGTGGTTGATCCCCTTTAAGAAGTTTCATCATGGTCAAACTTTCCTCGGTGTAGTGTATTGCCTTTTCAAGGTCACCCTTCCTGCTGGCTGCATTTCCAATGTTCTCCAGTGAGGCTGCTATGTCAGGATGTGGTTGATTTCCATAAATTTGTCTCTTGGTAACCAGGCTTTCTTCATAATATTGTATTGCCTTCTCAGGATCTTCAAGAATCTGGTATGCTTTTCCAATGTTGTCAATGGAAGCTGCTACTTCCATGTGTGCTTGATTTCCATATAGCTGCTTCCACATAGACAAACACTCTAAATAATATTTCAAAGCTTCTCTGGTATTCCCTAGACTCATGTATCCATTCCCAATATTGTTCAGTGATCTTGCTATGTCGGAGTGAGGTGTGTTTCCATGAGAAGTTATCAGCTTGCTAAGAGCATCATGACAGGACTGAATTTTCTCGTCTCCGAAATCTAAAATTGAAAAAGACATGATTGACATTTATTATCCCATCGAACAAAGTTCAGAGGGATATAGGGAACGACTCTGTCTGTCCGTTTGAAAATCGAATGAAGAAACTGATGTAGCAACAACAAATGGCTTCTGTCCGTTCTTCCGTCCGTATTTCCTTCCGTTCGTCCATCCATCTGTCAGTTTGTCCAGGCAATAACTCAAATACCATTTGATGGATTTGACTCAAATTTATAGGCTGATGCCTTATGGAGTTAGAACCTCTGCTCCAGAAGAAATTTTCAACATGGCCTCTTAATTCGAAATGGCCACCATTTTTTCGTAAAAAATATAATTTTTGATAACTCAAATACTAGTTAATGGATTTAGTAAATGAATTGTATATGCTGATGCCTAGGGACACAGGAGCCATGCTGAAGAAGAGATTTTCAAAATGGCTGCTAAATATCAAAATGGCTGCCACCATATGTAAACAAATGTTATCTTTGATAACTCAAATACCAGTCAACAGATTTAGTTCAAATTTTATAAGATGATGGCTAGGGACAAAGTAGATTTGTTCAAGAAAGAATTTTTAAAATGGCGGCTAAGTTCCAAAATGGCTGCCATTTTTCATAAAAAAACTTAATCTTTGATAACTCAAATATTAGTTATAGGATTTATATTATACGGATTTGGTTCATATTTTATATGCTGATGCCTAGAAACAAAAGAGCCATCTGAGGAGATTTTTCGAAATGGCTGCTAAATATCAAAATGGCGGCCATTTTTTGTAAAACACATAATCTTTGATAACTGAAATACCAGTGAACAGATTTGGTTTAAATTTTATATATGATGATGCCTAGGGAAAACATTTTTCAAGATGGCGATTGAATTTCAAAATGGCCACCATTTTCGTAAGAAAACGTGATCTTTGATAACTTAAATACTAGTTGACGGATTTTGTTCAAAAGACCATGTGCAGTATGGCAAGTGATTTTAGACGGTCATATCTTTCCCATGAGTACTTTCTGAGAATGAATATAGTGGTTTTTATTAAAACAGTATGTTTTCTTTCAAGTGAAGTCCCCATGATGATAAAAATATCAATCGAACAATTCGAAAAATTATGAATATGGACCCCCTGTCAACATTGTTTTCAAAATATTGAACCTATATACTCAAAATAGGATCTCCCTTTTCTGATATTTATTGCATGAAAAGATTATTCAACAAGGGGTCTAAAACATCTTCAAAAACAGAATCGTATTGAAAGTCTAGTTTTGAAGATATCAATTTTTGATGACCAAAATTATTAGGTAGTAAGCTAGCACCAAAAAATCTACCGGCTTCTGAACAAATCGAAATTACTTGTTTCTTATGTATTTTTATGTGATACTTCAGAAAATTTTTGTCTGACGCGCCGTATCCGGGGCGAAAATTGTGAAAATTAGGTTTTTGACCCTAAAAAGGAAAATTACAGGGGATACATTATCATCATTGAATAATTAATTCAGTTGGTCTTCAATCATCATAATAATTTTATTGAGAGTTGAGATCATTCTGAGGTAGTATGTAAAGTTTCAATGGTCTGTCACTCATGGTTGCCATGGAAACCACAATTTTTGCTGAGAAAATCCCTAATTTTGGTTAAACCTGTACCTGTACATAATATAGAATGTGGATTATTTTTCAAATCAACAGATATCAGAACATTTTAGCACTCTAAAATCACCAGGGCTGTCCAAACATTTGTTTAAAGAGTAAGAATATTGCAATTTATATGACTGGTAAGTGTCAAAGACCATACAATTTAAAGTGGTCAAAAGTGGGCATCGCCCTCATAATATTAGTTGATTGCCATTCTCTATAAATACAGAGTTTTTTGACTTTTGAGATACATTTATATTGAACTTCTTTGGTTATACTTAATATCAAGCATGTTTACATCTAAGTGTTATAGTTATTGCATGGGGATACAGGGGGAGAGGGGGGTAACAGAATTGGGAGGGGGCAGAGCTTATCTGCCTAAGTTTAAATCTCATCTACATGGTTCTAGATATCATAGGGTACATCTTCTGGGTCTTATTATATTCATCTCAATATATAAGATATTAGAATTTACATGGTTGGTAAGTATCAAAGTAAGTGACCATAAAAGACCATACAATTACATAAGTGATCAAAAGTGGGTGTTGCCCTAACAATAGTAGATAATTCATTCTCTATGAATATGGAGTTTAACTTGACTTTAAGATATATTTTTACATTAAAACTTCTTTGATTACACTTAGTATTGTAATAGTTATTCCCTGGGGGGGGGGGGGCAAGGGGGTAGTAGCAGAAATGGGAGGGGGCAGAGTCAGTGGCCAGTCAGTCTTAAGTATTAATATCATAGTCTAATCATTTTCATTCACCTCCCGATGTTAGATGTTAATATATTAACAATATCATATGGGAGAATATACCACTACACTTGCAGATTTGAGAATCATTCAGTTGAATGTGTCTATATGGCGCTCCACCTTTGCCTTTTAAAAAGGTGCTCTTGCTAATTTGCCCTTTCTGCATGGCACTTCATCTGTGAATGTGTAAAGTGCTAGGAAGGCTGTATATATGTCAGGGTCTATATTGGAGGAAATACCACTGACATCAGTCTTCATTTGTTTCCAACTCAAGTATCCAGCAGCACACTTTGCTGTATTTGCTTCTTGGTTTCATCATCATACAAGAACTCATTCCAATCTTTAGGGACTCTTGTTTTTCTACCTTAAATAGGGCAAGGTGTCCCTCCCCTCTTTCAGGTTCCTTTATAGAACTTTTGATGTAATTATCACATACAAAAACTAATCAATCTGCAATTGTAGAATCTTGAAAATAGTCTCCGCCAGATCCAGAAACAAAACTAGCTTTCAAGTTGAATTATGGTTTGGGATAGTTGGGGTTTGTTTTCCTTATGACTTGTATACATTTAGAAATTCTTTTTCTTGCTGGGTTCTATTACAAATTTTAATCCTTTCCCTTTGGCACTTGTGGGTACACATACATGTACGTTCATAGTGATGGGTTTCTCTGTTCTTGCAAGAAGTCTAGTCAGTGTTCCTAGAGCCCAAGGCACAGGGCTCAATAGGAACTGCAGGAGACATTCTAGGCTTATTTTATGTTCCTAAGCAAGATCGATGCTGTTCAAAGATGTTTCATTCAGAATGTATTTGTATAAGCTTGTTTTGAGTACTTTTTTACTGTCACTGTCACTGTTGCTGCTGTAGTTTGCTGCTATAGTTTTCAATTTCATATGTTTTATTATTCGATCATGAAATCTTTTTTTCACCTAATATCAGATGGTATCTCTTCATGCAATTTCCCCTTTTGACTAAAATTAGATGAGATCTGCTGCGACATCATTTGGCACAGATTCTCCTTACGATACACCGTAGAAATGACCTTCATCCTCAATGGTAATTGGATCAAGAAAGTCTTTGATTGCGGTGTCTGTCATCTTTATGTCTTTTTCTGTACTTGAAATTTGTGCCTTTCCAAGGTCATTATGGGTGTCACACTCATCTCATATCTAGATAATTTACCTAATTTGGTCTTATGAAGGACTGTCTGATTGTTGTTACCATCTCATCCATATAACCACTTATTGTCTGTATGGCCCATATTGCAAATCCTCATATTGAACCACCAGATGGACTTGAATGGAAACTAAATGACTCCATCATTACAGTGGGCATTTACTGATATTCTCATACACGAGATTGGTGATATAGCAACACCAGGAGATGAATAAGAAAACCCCAGAAGATGTACCCTATGAAATCCAGAATTAAAAAGATGAGATTTATACTTAAGGCAGATTAGACCTACGCATTCTAATTCTGTTACTACTCACCCCTCACCCAGTCCCAATGTAAAAACTATAATACTTACACAGATGTATTTACCGGAAATGCTTGACATAAATTAAAATAACAGCAGTTCAGTATAACTATGAATGTATCTCATATTTATCCAAAGAACCAATCATCTACTATTGTTAGGACGACACCCCCTTTTGATCATTTATTAATATGTAATTGTATGGTGTAAATCATGTAAATTGTGATATCCCATATATTGAGATGAATGTGAAGAAGACCCAGAAGATGTACCCCATGAAATCAAAAACTATGTAAATGAGATCTATACTTAAGAGATTAGGGTTAAGGGATTAAGGGGACGAGTTTTCCCTATGGGAAAATAACATGGGATATGTGGTTTTTATTAACTTTAACACATTTCAATACCAATCCCCTTTTCAGAAATTGTTAATATAATGTAGAGGAGACGTTCGATTGTTTAAATTGAGAAAAACAAGATCCTCTTTTAAGAAAATAAGCCTAAAATTTTTTTTAAAAAGTGCCAAGGTGGGGCCCTAATCTATAATTTTTTAGAGAGTTTGATTGATATTTTACTATCACAGAGACTTCACTTGAAAGAAAACATATTGTTTTAATAAAAACCACTATTTATGGCCAGAAAGTACTCATGGTGAAAGATATGACTGTCTAAATTCACTTGCCATACTGCACACGGACCTTTTATAAGCTGATGCCTATGGACAAAGGAGCTACACTGATACAAAGATGTTTAGATTGGCTGCTAAATATCAAAATGATGGCCTTTTTTCTAAAACTCAAGTACCAGTGAACGGATTTGGTTCAAATGTTATACAATGCCTTGAGACACAGTACCTCTGTTTGACCAAGAATTTTCAAAATGGCAGCTGAAATTTAAATGGCCGCCATTTTTTGTAAAAAATGTAACCTTTGATAACTCAAATAGCTGTGAATGGATTTTGTTCACATTTTATATGCTGATACCTAGGGACACAGTAGCTCTTGCCTGGTCTATTCAGTGGAGTAGAGAAAATTCTTTCATTTTAAGTTTCATTCTGTGTTTACTATATGAATGGGACTAGCAAGTAACCTTTGTGAAAGTGGTTAAAGGTGAGATAAGGAAGTTTGATGTATTAATAGTAAGTTATACAGTCACTCTTCCCTTTTCTCTGTGTCAGTAATAGGCCTACCTAATAGATTTTGAAAATGAATGTGACTGTCACTCATATACCAGTATTTAGTATTTATTTTTATCGTCATACATCTAACAATTTGCACGATAAAGAGTCTATTAGATGTATGAATAAATGAGTTGCTTGCCATATTCATCTATTAATACAGCAAGACCTGTTGCTGATGATGCTTCAATATTCAGACCAAAATATCAACGAATCACTGAACTACGAAATATAAAATCAACAAACCAAGATTAGAATGTCACATCTTCTCTGTGATTTGGTAATTTTCATATTGAGTCTTTTAGAACTTAGCAGGGAATAATTAGTTTTTACACTATTTAATTTCTGCTTATGCTTCATGGTTGAGAAAACAAAGCTGATACAAATGTATCCCTGTACACTAAATGCTGGTAGGTAAGTAAGACAGTCGCCCCAGGTAGATAACAATAATGACTAGTTGAAGGCTACATAATGGCTAGCTTGACTATTGTATATTGAGCACTACTGGAAAGTAGGATTTCCTCTAGGATGAAGGGATAGGGAGTTTCATATCCTTTCTTTTCTTCATCCTAGGATTTCTTATATATCTACCAAAATTTTATTGTTGCAGAGAAAAAGTGAAATGGACCATGATGGAATGGAATGAATAAAAAATATGTTTAACATTTAAACTGATTTAAGTCATAGGCTCATATGATGTATTAGTCTTACCTCCGTCTGTTTCAATAACCCTTGGCCCAGGGTTTTTTTCGATTCCGTCTGTTTCAATAACCCTTGGCCCAGGGTTTTTTTCGATTCCGCTTATTATCAGTTGTAGCTTGATGAGAGTTCGCCTATCACTCAGTGTATGGAAGAATGTGCTCTCATATTTACTTATTCTACAAACATCTGGTTCATGTTGTGTAAATGTTCCAGTTGAATCCTGCCTTATTCTTGCATTCATTAGAATACTCAGAGAGAGACATGCACATAAAAGCATGAGTACAAATTCATATTGGATTCTTCGTGTATCAGTATCCATGCTACATGTGTTACTAGTGTGCCTTTTCTTTGTCTTTGGCTTAGATTTGTTAAATTGCCAAGGTTGAGTGAACTTACCAATGGCTCCACGCCACTGTTCAATGCTCATACCCATTCTTAGTGTTAACTATTCATATGTGAGTTAGCATTCTGTCAACAGCTGTAGATTGTTCTAGTATATTGGGGATTCCCCTATTTAAGAATACCATTCATCACCAAATTAGTTTCATAATCTCTAATCTTTTATCTAAAGTTAAATATTGATTTATGTGTTTTTATTTACTGATTCGTTTGTCATATGATTACCAATCAGTTTATACAATATACATCCACTGTAATTTGTTTAACCTTTTTGAAATTACATAAAATTTCAAGTATCCAGAAAGTAAATATGCTTATTATTATTAAGGTTTGTGTTACTATTATTTTTTGTTAAAGGAAGAATAAGTCACACAGGGAGTGAACAAAGTTGACAAAATATTGACAATTAATCACAATCAAACATGATCTGTATCTCAGTTATGTAGAGTAATATCAAAAGAATTTATCAAGAGCCATAAAAAATATACCTGAAGGTACTTGTTTTCTAAGTATTTGATTGTTTATATCATTTTAACCATACTAAAAAAACATGAGGTGGGTTAAGCAGGTTAGTAACAACATACACTGAACACTGATTAACTAGAATGGTATTGTTCTTGGGGATGATATAGTATCTTATTTTTGTAGCCTTAGTCAGTTAGGTTATTACTCGATCATGATAAACCCATATAATTATAAAGGATGGACCAAAGAACTTATATACATGCCCCTAATTTTGATATTGCATTTAGGAAGGGTGATCATAAAGTTCTCTTAATAAATATTTAGTTTTTATTAATTTTTTTCAATAAATTTATTGAAAGATACAAGGACTATTTAATCCAGCAAAAATATTTATATTTATAACAGAAATACTCATTTGGAAATAATGTTTCTTTGATATGAAAATATGTGTATATTCACCTTGTAGTAAGAGTGCAACCAATAAAAATGGCACCATTTTATAAGCTCTGTGTATTATAACAATGCGATATTTTGACATCAAAAAAGCTGATTTCTTCTAGATAGCTACTTCAGGTCTGAATTTAACTATCAGAAAATAAAATTCCACGTCAGGTCTGATCGCGCAATTAAATCTTTACTGTTGTTTTATTTAGAAAGCTATATCTAGTTTGATTTAAATTACAACCAGAAAATAAAATTTGAAGTCAAATCAGGTTGCTTTGGATTGAAAATGTTTGTTAGTCCTTAATAATCTTTCACCAGCAATAGGTCAAATGATCACTATACTATTCTTCTTTCTCAAATTTATAATTTGTGTATCATTTCAGAGGTACGGTCACATGGTGTTGGTTATTACCAGTTCTCCAGGGATAACTCTGCCAGGGAGGAGGAGCTAAAAACTCTTGGAGATCTGCGAGAAAAGGTAAAAATGTAAAATACCACAACATCATGAATCCTCAAAACAATTTAATTTTTTGGGGTTGACACTGGTTTTAATGGAGCAAATACAGAGTTGGTCAAAAAAAACAATACCCAAGTTTAAAGATGAATGTTTCATATGATATATCTTAAACCATGCCATGTATTATATATCACAGGGCTCTTGCCAGGCTTTTAGACTGTGGCACAGCACCACACTCTATTTAGCTCCCTCCACACCCTATTGGCAAATCATGACTGTTTCCACAGTCTAAACTTGACCGTATACACAATGATAGCATGTAAAAGGATAAAACATAACATAAATATGATTTATCATGATTGAACGGTTATTCTGAAGATGTTAGCTCATTTCCTAACAATATGACACCATCCGATAGAAAAACCTTTGTTTTCATGTGGAGTTACAGTCTGAAATTGACACCAGAGGTGTTATGAGCGACCAAACATCAAAAATGAAAATTCTTGAATATCCCTTCATATTGCAGTCACGGCTGGACTAAATATGCTTGACTGAATCATTACAAAATATTTAAGAGTAATACACAATTGATAGTTAATTAAAAAGATATAAGTATTGGTAAATCTTGCACTTAATTTGTTTAAATCTACCTCTTTTGGTGCCAAAGGTGCCAAAGTTCAAATTTCCCTCCATTTTCCATAATTTGGAAATTCACAGTGAATATTTTTTTGGTCACTCATGACACGCCTGGTGCCAATTTTAGCCTTTAACTCCACAAGAAAACAATAGTTTTTCAATCAGATGGTGTGATATTGTTAGGAAATGAATTATCTTTCAAATGATACATGGTATGATTTAACATATATCAAATGATATTCTTATTCAAACTTGGGCATTGGTTTTATTGGCCCACCCTGTATATCTAAATCAAAATAAACATTTAAGAAAGAAACCTTTCAGCTCACATATGGTGAGCTATATTGCAATCACCATCATGCTGCCAATCCATATTCCCTATGACTTTCAATTCAAAAGCTTACCTTTCAAAATGACCACCCAATTTGTCAAGGAAAAAATATTTTGTTCTCATAGTTAATACAAAATACATCTTGCCATAACTCAGCTATTTAATTGCTCTTTGTCCAAGTATGACCTCTCTCGTACTTTTCAAGTCAGAGTTCAAGATTATTAAATCATATCATTGAAATGTATGCCTATATTTCATCACAAGATTGAAAATGTTAGACTTTCAAATTTGACTATAATCACTACATTGTGTACCTGTGGTTCTTTATGTGAAAGAAACAATCAGCTAATTCATTAATCAATCAAGTAATATAACATACAAATCAACAAATAAAATCCAACTTTGAAACTTCATCAACATCTTCCAAGTTAAATCATTTTTTGGATGTATGTTTTGTATTAATGGCAATATAGTTGTTTTATTCCTCATATCCTCATTATTATGTGTATGTCAGAGGTTTGATAATAGTTCAATTGCTTTATAGACAAAGGTACAAAGAAACAAGCGTGAGGAGTTAAAGGCAAAGCGTAAAGCAATACTAGATGCTAGGCTTAACAAGGTTAAACACCGGAAGCTGGTGAGAGAGGGTGGTCCAGGAATATTGGAGCAAATTAAACAAGGTACATGTTCATGTTAACAGATATTTCTTGAATTAATATTGACTTTATAGTGGTCTTATCTTGATTTATAAGACTCATGTTAGATCTATTAAAATATTGAGTGGATATTTTACGTAAAACATAGAATTAACTTTCCATAAAACATAGAATTAGCTTTCCTTGAAACCTAGAATTAGCTTTCCATAAAATATAGAATTAACTTTCTTTCAAGCTTTGAAAACAAAAGTAAATACATCATGAAAAAGGTATTTTTATGTTGAAAAATATTTCTGACCTCACACCAGATTACTTTTTATTTTACTTGGTAAGTGATAAACCTTTGTCTTGTGTTGATGTGAAATGTGGGTAGATAGTTTGGTGGGCAGACAGCACCAGAAGAAACATTTCAGATGTTATGGCAGACCAAGATCTGATTCAATTTTGGACATGCTGGCTAATATATATTTGCTCTTAAAAAGTGATATCTCTGAAAACATAAATACTCCATGACTTGTTATTTTAATTTCTTATTTTCATATATGTTTCATATATTTTCTTATGTTTGTAATATCTTAAATATAATATTCATTTTCCCAAAAATTAATGAATCAAATTTTTACAATTCTAAGTATATTAATAGTAACACATTTATAGAATTTAATGTGTGTTCTTTACAATTAAATGGAATCATGAGCCAAAAAGAGAAACAGAAAGTTTATTTTATTTCTTATTTTAATCTTTTAACAGAAAGATTATTTTGCTCAGAAAAATGTTGCTATAGTTGAAAACCCATGCTATATCTGATAAACTAGTATATTACTAATTATTTTGACATTAGATGCAGAAAAGGAGGAAGAAGTGAAGGATGCTGAAGATGTGATTGGTCCAAAAGTTGAGGACATGTTACGTCAAGCGAGGCTAGAGGCAGAACTAAAGGAAAAATCACTAGAGCGTGATGACAGGTGGAAACGTGATAAACCAATGAGAGAATGGGATAAAGGAAAGAAAGGTAGAAATATGTTCATTATCTCATTCTAAAAATAATTATTATATCATGTCAGTCCTTAAAACACAATTGCATGATTTATCTTGACACTTATATTGATTTTCATAAAATGGGTATGTCATGCATATGGGTTAGAAATCCCAATTCAAGATTTCATTTGACTGTTTGCTTATTTGCAGATAATGTAGTTTTAGTATGATTCTGGCAAACTTCAGATTGATGAAAGGCTCAATAAATGTATTCTTAAAGTATCTTTAAGTTAACGGATCTATTGTTTATAACCACTTGACCAAAACAATTGCACTGAGGTGACATGCTCTTAGGAGTGTAACTTGCTACTTAAATGTGTTCACATTGCAATGTGTATTGTGTAATATTCTTTAGAAATTCATATTATATTATATCATATCAATCTGTTGTAGAACTCTTGAAGAGAGAAGACGAGAAAATCCTAGATGACAGACCAAATGAATTTGCCCCTCCAGCAATGTATTTCACAGATCCACATGAAAATAAACGTCAACAGAATATGAATTTTGCTCCCCCTCAAGAATACCATCCGAATAAGAGACAGAAAAAGAAAACTGAATTGAACAATAAATCGAATATACCCATGTGGAGACAGAAAGACATGGATGATCAGTATGAAAATCCAAATCTGATTATTAATAATAGAAGACATGATTCCATCAGTTTAGGGAGACCTGCTGAAACAGAGACATCTATTGCTGGAGATTTGAAACTGCAAGATATACCTCTACCAAAGCCTAAGGAGCCACAATCTAAGGCCCAATTTCAACAGGGTCGTAATGATCAGCAAGAGTCTCATCCTGATAGCCAATACTATTCTCATCATGGGAATTCTAATACCCCCTGCCATAATCCAAATATCAACAATACAACAGATCAGCAATACAATATCTCAAATTTACAACACAATGAACCGGGTGCCTCTTGTGAAGAACAGCGTTATTTTCATTATTATAACAATAACCCTGCTCTGACCAATCAAGGATTGAATATGCATCAGAATGTTGCCGATGTTGACACATCTCTTAATAATACAGAAACATTGATTGACAATTCACAAATTCAAATACCTTCCCCGACTGATGCTTTATTTACGCAGCCTCCTCCGCCCAATTCTTCGCAAAACATTTTCCAAAATGCTACAGTATCTGCGAAGTTCATACCAAATGATCCTCATAAAGTCACAACCAAAGCCCCACAAATTATACAATCTCAAGATCCAAGTGATGTCACAATGAAAGTGAGGGATAAAGATGGCGCTTGGAAGGTGATCCCAGATGAACTCCCTGAGCCCCCTACGATTGGTCAAACTTTGTACTCTGCTCAGCGCCCGATTCACAACCCTGAACAAAGCCCATATAACCAACCTTGGAGTCTACAAAAGTCAGACTATGAGCTTAAAAGTCCCCATGTTCACAAACAAAAACAAAGTATACCATTTTTACCACCAAATATTGAAAAGAAGAGTGATGGAGCTGATGCTGTGAAGAATGTTATTCCAAAGGAGCGCCCTGATGAAGCAAAGGAGGTGAATACCCAGCCTGCAATAGTTGTGAGTGTAAGAGACAATATAAATGATATACCCAATGAACCAAAGGAACAGCCCACTAAGGCTGAGAGTACCATGTCCCCTTCAGAAAAAATTCAGGATTTTATGAAACAGTTAAGTAAATAAAATTATAATAGATTGCCTTCTCATCAATACCATACATATCTATAGTTCACATAAATGCAATATGATATATGAATGAGCGAATGTTTCAGTTTGCAAAAAAGCTTGACATTTATTTCATCAAAATCAAGCAAAATTATGTTATCAAAAATCAATTTATCAATCACCTATTGTTTAGTATTTGTTGTGAATGAAGGAAGTCAACTCAAATTGTAATAGGCCCAATTACTTTCATCTAATTTTCTTAATTAAATCAATGCATTGATGTAGGCTCTAATGTGGGTTGTGAAATTAGCCAGGAGCTAGTGAATCTGAACAATTCAACTCACTTTTGGCACCAAATGTGATGTTTCTGTTGTAATATTTAGACATATTATCTATTTTCAGCATTAATGTTTTTATATATTTGACAACCAGTGTCACTAAAGCACTAGAATTAATTATTAATCTATTTCAGTTAATAATAGCGCAGTAATCAGAAATCACATTTTATTTATCATGACCTGAATGTACTTCTGTGCTTCTATTCCCTCTCTCTGCCTCTGGTATATACTTGTCTATTCTACATGTACTTTTGGCTTACTCTATTTACAATTATTCTTATATTAATATACTATCCCATTTAAGTTTGCTAAATACAAATATGGAAAAAGGAAACTTTCTAGTGAACAATTTTCACTAAATATTGACATACACGATTTATTTAGAGGACTGCACGGATGCATGTAATGACCTCCAACTTCACAATTGTAAACAGGTTCTATAAGTAAGTACAGAGTACAAAAAGTTATAAGGACTTTTTGATAAATGTAAAATTGAATTGTATTACCACAATAAATAAAATTTGTAAACAAAAAATGAAGTATTCACATATATTATCTAAAATAAAAATTAACACATAAACTGTTTTGTCCATTTGTATTTAAGTTCCATCAATTGAATTGTAAGAATGTAGATAGGTCATCAAACTTGATTTACATATACAAGATGTACCGATCATATATATATATTATACTAGTCTAGTGTATAAAATACATATTTGATCCCAACAAGACCGATTTTCAATTCACCTCAAGTTTCTCTATGTTTATATGTCTATAATATCAATGATACCTAAAATGACAACATAGTTACAAAGCCCCCCTTGTGGATAGAACGTGCTTCAACCATCCTTGGTCCAAGGGTATTTCAATTCTTTTCATGCTGAATTTAAGCATAAATGAAGTCCTTTGAAGAAGAATGGTTTAACTTCCTATTGTAATACTGAGCTCTATTCATATTGGAACTCCAACCCAATTTTGTCTAACTTTGGTCTTAGGTATTCATCCATTCTTTCACTTTGGGCAACAGTCAGTTTTGTCTTCCAGTCATCAATAACACCTATAGTGGAATCAATTGGTGCAAGGCCCCCATAGGGACCTTGCGTTTTCATACTAAAGTTCGTTTTGGAGTTTTTTCTTATTGTTCTATGTATTTCAAGACATTTTAGAGACAGGGCCCTTTTTCTAAAGCCCTTTTTAGAAAAATAATTGAGATTACAGAGGATACCCATTATTACTGCTTTTTAACACAATTTTAACAGAAAATTCAAATTTCAAACTCCTTATCTCACTATAATTCACCAATGGAGAATGGAAGTTGAGCAACCAAACTTGGCACAAAGTTGGACCCTAAGATAAGCTCTAATCTGAGAGGTTTGATCATTTGTGAAATCATATATTTGCCTAGCAACCACATAGCAACCATCTAAAATAACATATTTTACAATTTAAATCCACTTAATATATGCTAGGATGCTATAAGACCATAACAAAAAGTCTTATTATCCTAAAATACAACAATTCAAACATATTTTCAGAAGTGATATCACCATGTTGCATAGCAACAACATGGCAACAGGTTACAATGCCCATTTTGACATTTGCACACCATATTCCTATTATATACTCACTTGTATGCTTTTGGATCCCTTCCACATTATTTCTTAACATACAGAAATTGTATTTAAGCATAAATGATGCAGTTATGCCTGACTATTTTCCCTAGCAACAGCTTGAAATAATGGTTAAATTTGCCTAGCAATGATCTAGCAACAGCTTAAAATAGCAGTGTTTCTCATAAAAATCTCACTATATAATATACATCCACTATTATTTACTTGAAGAAAATTAATATGTATGTCTTTTAATTTATAAAGCTTTGTTGCTGTAGTCTGTTGTGTAAAGCATGATGGGACATTTCTTGTCTTATATTTATCAAATTGCAAAAGTCCTGCAATTCATGTTTCAGTTCTGAGATAAAGTAAAAAAATATTCATCGTATTTATTTCAGCATTGATACCCCTAAGATAATACTTTATTTGGGTTAATTGCTACAATATCCTTGGCAGTTGCATAGTTTCGGTGCAGTAGAATGCACCATGGCATTTGCAGTTCCCTTTGCAGTCACATTTGGTGCATCCTCATTTAATTATGACTTTACATGCCTCGGATGCTTGCAACAGTATTGTCCATCTGGGTCCGCACAATCCTGATGCGCTCCTAAACCATCCCAATAAGCTTGGTAAAGGAAGAACTGGATCCACTATATACCATTGCCCCCATACATGTGCTCCTTGGAGAGCTGCTCGCATGACATGATAGAGTGCTGCATCGCATGTTGCAGGTATTCTTTCGGCATCCATCTGTCCTTGAGTTGACATGTGCCTGCACATGGTATTGAGATTTGTCTCACTGTTTGTAGGCTGGTAAACCAGGATAAGGAACCTCTCAATTGTGCCCATAACTCCTATTGTTACGGTTGATGGGCGATCTGCTAGAGTCAAAAGGACACCTGTTAGATTATTACATAAGTTCCATTGCTTGAAAACTGTCACCTTGCTCTGATGGTAAAGTCAAGATGTGGTATTAGTTCCAGTATGGGCATGGAACATTGGCAGCCCACATGATCTTTGTGGTCGTAGTGCTCTAGCAATCTCATGAACTGGAATGTAGCGATACGTTTTGCATTTTGAAAATGCTCAGGCTAAGGATATCACAAGAACATTACTGTCCACTGATCTTATCATAAATGTCCTGCAACTTTTTCCGACATCATGAGACACGTGCAAAAACATATATGTATCTGCCTCATGACATTGTTAATTTTCCACATTTGGATAGTAATATTCCATTAAACCAAGCACATGGGGTTTATGTATCCCAGCAGGGCGTGTTCAAAATATTAGTATATAGATTTTAAATCAAGACACCATATTTTACTGATTAAATCCTTAGATCAAGGTTATACTTGTTAAAAGCTTAAAATCCTATCTGGGCTTTGCTGAAACATACAAGTCATTAATTTCAAAGTTTCAAGTTTTACCACTTGAGATGCTGAAGGATGTAGGAATCGTGCAAAGAGCTCTATCTTTCAAGAAAGTCTTGTCAATTGCTTGGTAGTTTGGTGTTAGGATAGGATTTCTCAGAAACAATGATAACAAATATATAAGCGCAAGCGCCAAAGGGAAAGGACTAAAAGTTGGAACTTAGCAAGAAAAGTCAAACTTTAAGTGCATAACAGTCAAGAAAAAACAAACCCCATATAGCCCAAAAGCATGATCTAACGTGAAAGGAAACAATGTCTAATACCCCCCCCCCCACCATTCAAGAACCAATATCACAATCCAGGAACAGGGACATTTCATTCATACTCATATCATTTTCATTCTAGATAGAGTTCTTTGCATGACTAGCAACTGTTACAAGACATATTATGGCAGACGGTAGAGTCTTTGTCTCAACCATTGAAGGAGAGTGCATCAGTAATCCTGCTAATTATGCCATAATAGTCTCTGCTCCCAGGAAGAGCCAGATACACATATGTTTTTGGATGTGTCTCATGGTGTCGGAAAAGGTTGCGGGACATTTATGATAAGATCGGTGGACAGTAATGTTATGATAGCCTGTGCCTCTGAACTACAGATTGAGATCTATGTAGCATTTTCAAAAGGCAAAACTAACGCTACATTCCAATTTATGAATTTGCTTGAGCACTACGCTGCCAATGTTCCACGCCTTTACTGGAACTGATACCACATCTAGATTTTACCATCATAGCAAGGTGACAGTTTTCAAGCAATGGAACTTATGTAATGATCTTACAGGTGCCCTTTTGACAAGAAGCACATGTATGGGGGCAGTGGTATAAAGTGCATCCAGTTCTTCCTTCACCAAGCCTGTGGGGATGGTTTAGGAGCGCATCGGGATTGTGTATACCCAGATGGACAATACTGTTGCAAGCATCCGAGGCATGTAAAGTCATAATTAAATGTGGATGTACCAAATGTGACTGCAAAGGGAACCGCAAATGCCATGATGCATTCTACTGCATCGAACTATGCACCTGCAAAGGAACTTGAAGCAATTCACCAAAATAAAGTATTGTCTTAGGGGTATCAATGCTGAAAATGTATCAAGTATCAATGTGATGAATATTTCGTGTTTACTCTATCTCAGAACTGAAACATGTAAGACAAGAAATGTCCCATCATGCTTTACACAAGAGACTAAAGATTTTTAAGTGAGTAACTATAAATCTTTATAAATTACAAAAGGCATATATTGATTTTCTTCAAGTACATATAGTGGATATATAGTGAAATTCTTATGAGAAACATTGCTATTTTAAGATGTTGCTAGGTCGTTGCTAGGCAAATTTAACCTTAATTTCAAGCCGTTGCTAGGGAAAATGGTTAGACATAAATGCATCAATACATATGCCATATGTTAAGAAATAATGTGGAAGGGATCCAAAAGCAGTGAACATATAATAGATATATGGTCTGCAAATGTCAAAATGGGCATTGTAACCTGTTGCCATGTTGTTGCTATGTAACATGGTGATGTCACTTCTGTAAATATATTAAAATTGTTGTATTTAAGAACAAGAATACTTTTTTGTAATGGTCTTATAGCATCCTAACATATATTAAGGTTTATATGGTAAAATATGTTATTTTAGGCGGTTGCTATGTGGTTGCTAGGCAAATATATGATATCACAAAAAATCAAAGCCCTAAGATTAGAGTTTATCCTAGGATCTAACTTTGGTTGCTCAATAACCCATTCTCCATTGGTGAATTATAGTGAGATAAGGTGTTTGGAATTTGAATTTTCTATTAAAATTGTGTTAAAAAGCAGAAATAATAGGTATCAAGTGTAATCTCAATTATTTTTCTAAAAAGGGCTTTAGAAAAAGGGCCCTGTCTCTTAAATATCTTTAAATACATAAAACTATAAGAAAAAACTCAAAAATAAACTTTAGTATGAAAACGCAAGATCATTCACCAATTGATTCCGCTACTATAACAAAAGAAATTCTTAACTACTAAATATCATTTCGTTGAAGGGATTAAAATTATCTCAATAAAGAATTAGCAGATGAGGCAAAGATTAAAATTTCATTCTCAATGTTTCTTTTTGACAATGGGGAGGTGAATATAGTAGCATTCCTGATTTATTACTGAGCATGCCCATGTATCACTTGATTAGTCAGTGACAAATTTTTCATCACTGAGTTACTAGAGAGATTTCGCATCTCATAGGCCTATAGCATGTTTATTGCTCCCTATAGCGTATAGCTTATGATGCGTTTGATTACGTCTTGCGCAGCTCCATACGTCCATAAGCGTGATATTCAAACAAATCGTCTCTCTTCCTCTCGTCTCTTTTTGTTTCAAATATTCTGAAATGATATGTAATTAAAAAACTACCAATGCAATTTATGATCATGAAAAATCTTACCTGTTCTCATATGTGCACATTTGAAAGCATCGGCATCCACGGGTAAATTAAAGTTCTCAAAAGCTTTTCCAGTTTTAGAGTCTTTTAACATTTGTTCAAACTGTAGGTATTCCACCATCTTCTCAATGCGGTCATTAGATACGTTTTTGTTGAGAAACATTCCTAGGCCTTTGATGACATCTTCCATATTCTAGAATACATCGTTGTAGCTGTAGAAACATGCTATGCTAAAATGCTCATACTGTGCAAGTTTAACAATATGCTTAACTTTTTGGGATGGAAAATCTTTTGATATTATATATCTTTTGAAAGAAAAATTGTTTTGAACCTCATGAGAGTACATAGGTGACTAATATGTATGGACTAGTGTCTAAGTCATACTCAAATTTGAAAAGAACGTGCGTATATTTTTTTTAGAAAGTATGCAACAGAACAAATATTGTACCTTTTTCATATCCTCGTAAAAGATAAAGTGAATGTTTCCCATCATTTTGTCTCTGTTTACCCACCAAGTACTGATGTGATTGAACCAAGTCCCATATAAATCTGTAAGTTAACAAATAGTTATCAAAGCCTACAAAATTCAGATGGGATATAGTCTGTCGGTCCGTTTGTCTGTCATTTGGTCTGGTTGTACGTCAGTCTGTCTGAAGTATAATTCAAATACTACTAGACGGTTGATGGAAAGACGCAAAAAAAAATTTTCTCCAAAATGCCCATCACTTCAAATAAGTCTTAGGCTTTACTTAGGAAAGGGCTGATTTAATTCAAAATTTTTTAGTTATGTTATATGCGAAAATATTTTAAGCACAGGACTATGGGCCGTTGGTGATTTATTACACAAAAATCTTAAAACTTGGATTGAACCCCTCATTTTAAACTTCAAACGGGAACCTCGTGCATTAAAGCACCAACAATACACCAACATTCACCTACGTTGATCCTGACTGTCTGTTAGCATTGCATCAATACTTTGGTCATACGTAGGGACCACATCAAAATAATCAGTAACAGTTCCATAACTTGCAATGTGATTGCTAACAAGGACCGACTTGGGGTTCCTTAGGACAACAACCTGTAAGTCAAACGCGATTACATATAATGCACAAAACTGCGAAATGAAAGAAGTGTTTATGTAGTGCTGAATTTTTGCTCATTTTCTCTTTTCATGCGCCAATTAGTTATAAGAAATAGATACAAACGCCAATATGTAATATATTACATATGAAATAGCAGCAAACCTTGCAACCTCCATGTTTCACGGATTCTGGCATGAAGTCATAGCAAAGATGTGTCGAAAAGAGGCGAGGGGATGGTTCGTTCTCAGCAGCAACCATGGGGTTGACTTGCCCCTTCATACCTTCCACGCTCATTTCAGCTTTTCCAGTGAGTACTTGATACAATAGAGAGCCATCGGGTTATTTTGCATTTCGGACAACGGCTTGTTAGTAGAGAGATTTCGCATAGCATGTTTATGACGTATAACTTATAAAGCGTTTGATTATGCCATCATTTATTGCGCAGCTCTATACGTCCATAAGTACGGAAAGCGAAAGGGGATATACCGCAGAATTTAAAATTCAATGGAGTTTTAACATGGGAGTGATATCACACACCGCGGCCCAGTCAGATATATTTCTGCGCACTTTATTTATTTAATTCACTTTGCACAACGCGCCCCCTGTAATTCATTCAGTGCGCAATTAAAAATTGTTTATGAGTGTACGGAAAGCGATAGGGGACATGCGCATAATTCAAAATCCAATGGAGTTTTAACATGGGAGTGATATCACACACTGCGGCCCAGTCAGATAGATTTCATCGCGCACTGAATGAATTACAGGGGCCGCGTTGTGCAAAGTTAATTAAAATAAAGTGCGCAGAAATTCCGGCATTCAGTGCGCGATGAAAAAATGATTATCTGTGAATAAATAACGAATAAAAATTCGTGGCACCACGAATTTGATTTTTTTCGAAAGACTGCGGAGTGAACCAGCGAAATGACAATTTTGGATAATTTTGATGGCTCTAACGAGGAGAACTTTGAGATTTCCCGATTCTAGCGCGCAGTACATCCAGGACCATGATGCGCACTTTTATTAGATTCGATTCTAATATGGTTTCAAAGATAATGTTCATTAAAAGAGGGCGTATGCATACAGATTACACGTGGCGTTAAGTTGAAGTGACCCTTGCAAAGGGTTCCATTGAAAATATATTATTTTGGGCCATTTCATATCTTTTAAGTGATATTGTATAAAACATTTTCAATGTTTGAAAATTATAATCTTATAAATAACATTTTATGTAATAAAACTCTAACTGAAATGGTAAATACGGAATATGATGCAATACAATGCAGTGCAATATGATGTAATACAATGTGGTGCAATATGATGTAATACAATGTGGTGCAATATGATGTAAAACAATGCGGTGCAATATGATGCAATACAATGCAGAGCAATATGATGCAATACAATGTAGTGCAATATGATGCAATACAATGCGGTGCAATATGATGCAATACAATGCAGAGCAATATGATGCAATACAATGCAGTGCAATATGATGCAATACAATATAGTGTAATATGATGCAATACAAAGCAGTATACTATGATGCAAAAAATGCAGTGCAATATGATACAATACAATGTAGTGCAATATAATACAATAAAATGCAGTGCAATGCCATACAATGCAAAACAATGTCATGCAGTGCAAAACAATGTAGTTCATTTCAATACAATGCAGTGCAATACAATGTGGTACAGTGCAATACAATGCAGTGCAATACAATACATCGCAGTTCAATACAGTGCAATACAATGTAGTGCAATGCAGTGCAATAAAATACAATACAGTTACAATGTAGTTCATTTCAATACAATGCAGTGCAATACAATGTGGTACAGTGCAATACAATACATCGCAGTTCAATACAGTGCAGTGCAATACAATACAGTGCAATATAATACATCGCAGTTCAATGCAGTGCAATACAATACAGTGCAATACAATACATCGCAGTTCGATACAGTGCAATACAATGTAGTACACTGCTGTAAAATACAATGCAGTGCAATAGAGTACAATGCAGTGCAATATAATATAATACAGTGCAATACAGTACAATATAATGCAATAGAATACAATGCAGTGCAATACAATACAATGCAGTGCAATACATTATGGTGCAGTGCAATATATTGCAGTGCAATACAATACAATGCAGTATAATGCAATGCAGTGAAACACAAAGTGGTGCAGTGCAATACAATACAATGCAGCGCAATACAATGTAGTGCAATAAAGTACAATACAGTGCAATATAATATAACACAGTACAATACAGTACAATATACTGCAATAAAATACAATACATTACAATACAATACAATGCAGTGCAATACAATAAAATGCAGAACAATACAATACAATGATGTGCTATACAATACAATACAATACAATACAATACAATGCAATGCAATTCAATGCTATGAATGTACACCTTCTACAGTCAAATAAACACAGATAAAATTGTAATAGTATGTTAGTGTATGGAGTTTGAAGTGGGTGAGGGATACAATTACCAGTCTGCTGATTGATGACTTAATAACTTAGAAAAGATCTCCTAGCTTTTAACAGGTGGCACTTATGTCTACCTTACGTTCTTAAACAACAATCTCGTCTAAGAATACAGACCCGTATCCTGAATTAACCTGGGGGAGTGGTACCAAGGGGGAGATTTTGCTAAGAGGGGGGGGGAGCTTTTTGACAGTTTTGGCAAAAAAAATCATGCGAAAAGTGCTAAGAATGGTGAAAAACTGCATGATTTTGAACGAATATTTGGCAAGGGGAGGGGGTGAGGCCCCCTGGCTACGGCCCTGGAATATATATAGGAACTTTCCTTCTCCCAGAAGAAATGGTACACAGGTATTACATCAATCATTCTGGTATTTTGTATACGAAGGTCTGTAGTACACTTTATTGAAAGATGGCAGTGTACACTGTGCACTTCCATTTTGAGGTCAGTTTGACTTTATAATTCTGCGCACTATAATCTGTAATTCTCATAGATATCCTCGCTAGAGGCATCACTGTGATCCAAAATTACAATTTCGCAGGTCAAGTCTGCAGTCTTTCGAAAAAAGTTGAATTCGTTGTGCTACCCATTTCTTGTTGGGCATTTATTAACAGAAAACTATATTTACATCGCGCCAGCATATACAAGCTTCAGCGCGATATTTTGAGTGTGTTAATATTCTGGCTAAATAAAAAAAGTGCGCAGAAATCGATCTTACTGGGCCGCGGTGTGCGATATCACTCATAAACAATTTTTAATCGCGCACTGAATGAATTTCAGATGGCGCGTTGTGCAAAGTGAATTAAATAAATAAAGTGCACAGAAATATATCTGACTGGGCCGCGGTGTGTGATATCACTCCCATGTTAAAACTCCATTGAATTTTAAATTCTGCGGTATATCCCCTTTCGCTTTCCGTAATGAGTGATATCGCACACCGCGGCCCAGTAAGATCGATTTCTGCGCACTTTATTTATTTACACACTCAAAATATCGCGCTGAAGCTTGTATATGCTGGTGCGATGTAAATATAGTTTTCTGTTAATTAATGCCCAACAAGAAAGGGTAGCACAACGAATTCAACTTTTTTCGAAAGACTGCAGACTTGACCTGCGAAATTGTAATTTTGGATCACAGTGATACCTCTAGAGAGGATATCTATGAGAATTACAGATTTTAGTGCGCAGAATTATAAAGTCAAACTGATCTCAAAATGGTAGTAGGCCTACACAGTGTACACTGCCATCTTTCAATAAAGTGTGTACTACAGACCTTCGTATACAAAATACCAGAATGATTGATGTAATACCTGTATACCATTTCTTCTGGGAGAAGGAAAGTTCCTATATGTATTCCATGGCCGTAGCCAGGGGGCCTCACCCCCTCCCCCTTGCCAAATATTCGTTCAAAATCATGCAGTTTTTCACCATTCTTAGCACTTTTCGCATGATTTTTTTGCCATAACTGTCAAAAAGCTCCCCCTCTTGGCAAAATCTCCCCCTTGGTAATACCACTCCCCCAGGTTAATCCAGGATACGGGTCTGTATTCTTAGACGAGATTGTTCAAGAACATAAGGTAGACATAAGTGCCACCTGTTAAAAGCTAGGAGATCTTTTCTAAGTTATTAAGTCATCAATCAGCAGACTGGTAATTGTATCCCCCACCCACTTCAAACTCCATACACTAACATACTATTACAATTTTATCTGTGTTTATTTGACTGTAGAAGGTGTACATTCATAGCATTGAATTGCATTTCATTGCATTGTATTGTATTGTATAGCACATCATTGTATTGTATTGTACTGCATTTTATTGTATTGCACTGCATTGTATTGAATTGCATTGCATTGTATTCTATTGCATTGTATTGTACTGCATTGTACTGTATTATATTATATTGCACTGCATTGTACTTTATTGCACTGCATTGTATTGTACTGCAGTGTACTACATTGTATTGCGCTGCATTGTATTGTATTGCACTGCATTATAATGTATTGCACTGTACCACATTGTGTTGCACTGCATTGTATTACACTGCATTGTTTTGAATTGCACTGCAATATATTGCACTGCACCATATTGTATTGCATTGCATTGCAGTGAAATGCATTGTATTATATTGCACTGTATTGTATTGCACAGTATTGTAATGCATTGTCTTGAATTACACTGCATTTTATTACACTGCATTGTAATTTATTGCACTGCATTGTATTGTACTGCAGTTTACTGTATTCTATTGCACAACATTGTTTTGTATTGCACTGTATTGTATTGCATTGTAGTGTATTTTATTGCACTGCATTGCACTACATTGTATTGCACTGTATTGAACTGCGATGTATTGTATTGCACTGTATTGTATTGCACTGCACTGAACTGCGATGTATTGTATTGCACTGTATTGTATTGCCCTGCACTGTATTGAACTGTGATGTATTGTATTGCACTGCATTGTATTGCACTGTACCACATTGTATTGCAATGCATTGTATTGAAATGAACTACATTGTAACTGTATTGCATTTTATTGCACTGCATTGCAATACATTGTATTGCACTGTATTGAATTGAACTGCGATGTATTGTATTGCACTGCATTGTATTGCACTGTACAACATTGTGTTGCACTGTATTGTATTACACTGCATTGTTTTGTATTGAACAGC